ATCGGCATGTTGATCAGATGGCATCTTATTTGGCGGAGACTCCATCTAGTGATCTTGGCTTTCAGCAATCGCCAGTGTCCTACTGGCTAAGCAAGCGTACAACGTGGCCAGAGCTGTCAGCAATGGCACTAGACATCTTCGCCGTGCCAGCCATGTCCGACGAGCCAGAGCGATTGTTCAGTAACGCTGGAAACACGTTGTCACCGAGAAGACGTATGATGCAGGACGACACTACTGAATCACTGATGATTATGAAGTCTTGGCTTCAACAGGACGTCGTCAGCATCACGAAAGACGAAATGCGGCGGCTTAACAGCATGACTTCAGCCGTATTGTCAATACCTCGATCTCCGTCTGTCGGTTGAAACCTCGAACGGCGACTGATCGCCACGTCACGCACGACACGTCGTCACGCCACTACCAACCTCCAGCGTCGCGCGGACGACGTCGCTACGACATCGTCATCCTCCGTGTCGGCCCGAACACTCGGTCCGAGAAACCACCCCTCGGAGAGCATTGAAATGCCCCGAAAACACCGGGTCAGACATCGGCACAAATGGTCCAGCTGTTATGGCTCTGGCCATCTTAGCTCAGCGGTAGAGCAAGGGGATCGTAGACTCCAAGGTCGCGAATTCAATTCTCGCAGGTGGCTGAACTTTTGGCCTTTTGGCTCAAGCCGAGTCAAGCAAGTCAAGCCATCCCCTCGGACCTCTCAAGCAAGTCAAGCCCACGGTTTTGAGGCCTCAAGTCAAGCCAAGTCCAGGCTCCAGACTTGCTTGACTTGCTTGTGGCCACCTCTGCGTCTGAGTTCATCAAGGTTAGAATCGAGGAGGCAGAGAAACGGCTCTCTCCCCCAACAATGGCTTAAAGTGTTGTAGGGGCCCACTATATGCTCCGATGAAGTAAGGACAAGCTTGACGTGAGATTCGAAAGAGACTTCACAAGCCTGGAGATCTAGTAGTCTCGTAGGAAAGAAGGTGGGCTTTCGCGGATGTCCACACCTCGTGTGGTGGCTCTTACAATCCTGTAGCCAAGACTTCGCAAGTTCCAATGCTCCGCCAGCGCCGGTATTTGCTCCTTGAAGCACCCTCGTAGCATGATAAACATTGTTAGGTAAAATAAACCACGTTGCAGTAACAGGCCGTTTTCTGGAAACGGGGACCTCTTGTCCGGCCTCATTTAGGGTATAGCAAGGCTCTTTACCTGAGTGAACATGTCCCTCAAAACAGCCAAACGTGAGACGTATACGTGGGCCAGTATAGTTGAGTTCCATGTAGGTAAAGCGACAGCTTTTAGAGTGTCGGGTCGTCGGGAGCGAGTTTTCCGATTTTGATGCACGATTGTCCCAAAAGTTGGAGCATACTGGACAGCCGTTCCTTGACGCGCTGTGGAGATCGTTGACCTTGGTGTGATGCGGTGTTTCCCTACATGAGAAACCCATGGGCCATAAGGGTGACGGTTCTAGCTCAAATATGCGTAATATGCGAAGTTCTGGAGGCTCGTCAACGATCCGTGGCTCGTTAGGTCTAGCCGCCCAAAGCTTTCGGATCGAGTCCTGGCACGCCTGACAAAGCATGATTGATGCCCAATATCGCCCGAATGATTTCAAGAGTGGACGGTAAGACGCAATCCGAGTCTAAGCCTGTGCTGAGGGCACAGGCGAGTAAAAAGGATGGCTAGAGACGGCCCCGATGGCGGCTTCGCGCATACCAGCGTGGTGGTTCTACGTTTTCTTTATGACATCTGGTAAGCTTGCACCTGAGACTTCTCTGCCGAGAGAAAATCGCCGAAGCCTTGCTGTATGATCTGCGGATATCGGAATATGTCAAAGTCTGAGCGTATGACTGACCGAGTGCTCGATACTGTCTGGGCACACCAAAGATCAGTCCAGGACATGACAAGCCCCACACGCGACTCCTCACCGGGCTAGACCCTAACAGACACTGTTGCTTCACCAGCGGCGCAAACGGACACGGTATAGTGTATGTTTGGTTTAAACGACTCGACACAATATCTTGGAGCAGCCTACTTATGATGAAACGAAGTGCCAGACTACACCGAAAACGCCACAATCCACCTAGAATTCCCTTCCTGGAGCAGTAGGATTAGAGCGGACGATATTTGCCGTCCAGTCACGCATCTGATCGACGAAGTCTACGTCTACCTTGCCCAGACGATGTGCTCCATTTTTCCCCAGCAATCGCTCGCTGAGAGGGCTGTCGTCGCCGCGCTTCTGCCACTCCTCGCGCAGGTACTGAAAGAAGTCGATAGGATCGAAAACCTCATTGACCTTGGTCTCCTTTGCTTCGGTGACATTTCGCACGAGGTGGAGCGGGTTGTTCGTGAAGATTCCCTGCAATGTGATGGCAAAGCCGAGCGGATCAGGTAGTCCCGAGACGTTTAGACTGGTCTGATAGTAGCGATTGGTATCCTGCTCGTTCTTCGAAGCGTTCAGATTGGTCTCACCGGAGGAAAGCTGCTGAGGCCACTCGTCGCGCTTGCTGTCATACTTCCCCACAGCGACCATGTCTCGAGGGAAGAAACGCATACCCCGATTTCTACCGTCAGCCTCATCTGCCGGCATGTAGTCACCATCAGTTGTGAGGATAATCTTGCCTCTCACTTCATGGAGCTGTAAGTCGTTCATGACCTTCGAGCCATCTTCCCACCATTTGTATACCGTTGCTGGCTGATCGGGATGGTCCTCCCAGAACGGCCTGGTTTCGTCGACGAAGGCAGCCAGCCAGTCAGTCCACCGATCCCTCGAGCCTGGTGTTGCCTTTTCGTAACGCGCATTGACAATTACTGTTTCGCCCGTGTTTGCACGGAGGAATGATTGTAGTATCAGCAAGACGGCACTCCAGGAATGACCCATTTCTGCAAGACCTACACTGATAATTTAGCAAAGTAAAGACTTGCGGAGTCTACGATCTCGCAGTTGACCTACCATGACGTGCGTACAGGAAGTACCGCCCCTCTTCGTGCGTGCTGCCGTCGTCCTCACGGCGAAGTACTGGAAGTTTGTTGAGGTCCAGGCGAATATCCAGTGAGCGCACACCCATCTGAAGCTGTTCCCATAAAGAGACGTCCTGGCAGCGAGGATTATCGATGAACACGGGTAGAGGGCCCCAAGGACGAGTAACGTCGTCATTGTTGCCAGTCCAACCTAGGTCAGGTCTCACGCGACCAATACCATGCAGTGCGAGCGTTTGATGAGTGGAAGGTAGATTGACATGATGCAAAGCGATGTCATCCGGCAGCCTGCTCATCCAATCGGGGAAAGTCTCGTAGTCGTACTGAATGTCCTCGCATCTGAAGGTTTTGGCGCCCGCATCCTCATCACCAACTTGACGTACCGCGATACTGTCCTTGTCAGGCTTTCGCATGAGCACCTTACTCTCATCTCCGCGCCACACAAAGCGGACAAGTTTATCGTCATTGGGATCATTCGCACTCTCGACGCGGAATTGAATGTTTGCGGCTTGCAGATGGCCCGGGGAACATTTGACGCGGTGGCTACCAGTCCCCCATTCATCACGCCAGACCCCAGCGTATGTCCCGGTCTGCAGATTGCAAAGCACGAATACGTCGGCCGGTGCGCCCGGCGGACGGGCTATGAGCCATTGGTGGAACCGCCGGTCGCCCGTGTCGGCAGCTTGGGCATCAATGTCGTCAAAATACCATTCGCCGTTGACGGGCCGTAGAACGCCGTTGGAAGACGGTACCGTAAGGCGAACAGCGCCAGGGGAAAGAGCGGCTCCCATGACGAAGTTGGGCGCGGAAGGTGCGGAGGTCCCTGCAGCTGTCGATTTGGGCGGCGTGTTGCTCTCGGCCTCTGTCTTTCTTGCTTTTACTTTAAGCTCGTTGAATAATTTAGAGATTCTTCCCAGAGGCATTGATCGCTCGAGGTCTGAATATTCCACTTTCGCACTTCTTTCTCGATTGGCGCATGGCGTGATGGATGATTCTGGCATCTGTCGCGAATGACTGCAGCAAACAAGAGAGACCCACGTGGCGTTTTGACGGGGCGCTCACTGGCCGAAATTGCGTGGCACAGCTTGGCCTTCGCCGCGCACGAACAAGGCGAGAACCAGGCACATGTACGCGGTATGACATCGCAGGAGATGGGTTTTTACGCCAAGGACTTCACATTTGTTCAATTAGATCATACTACACACGTGCGTGTCCAGCTTGCACTTCATGAGCTGGGCATTGACTACACTCGGAAACGGTACGAAGGACGCGCGCAACTTGTCATGGATGCGCCTCGACTTTCCCGAGATGAAGTAGAGACAGCGCAAGATGCCTTGACAGCTCTAGATATACCATAATGATTACTTTCTTCAAATGATACTTTTCCTTTCGGGGAGCGATGACTTCGGTGGTATAGACTCTTCCACTTCTGTTTCCCTGGCATTATGCGAAGACTTTGCACTCGCGAGGCCATTTTGCACCAAGAGCCTGTGGTTATTCTGTAGAGGTGTTCAATTACCTGGTTCTAGCAAGGGGCGATGATCATTGCAGCGACGCCGACTGCAACGGCTGCAGAACCGGCTTTGAGGCCCATGAGGTACATCATTTCGTCGTTGTTCAAGCCATCGTCCCATGGAAGATCAACTCTTGCTTGTACGACGGCGATTGTTTGCTCCGCGCGTTGTGACAACACGGCATGGGCCTCAACTTCTGGGAGCTGGTCGCGACGGTGGGACGAACGCTGTCGACACATACACGCCGCTTCTCCTTCACCGACGATTGCATTCTGCGGCATGAACTTTACGCCTAGTACGCGCTTTGTATCGAAAATGGAAAGCTGAAGGTGTCTCCGTGTATTGCGGCGGCAATGAATCCCGGTCCTGGTACAGCGGCCGCAAGGTAATCTAGAGGAGGTTCGAGGTTCCATTTCGCCTGAGCCCACAGCGACCTTAGACCTTGATCGATTATTCACCGTTGTGAGCGAAACTTTCTCGGTGAGCTGGTCGGAGAGCATACTGGCAACTGCTTTGTACGCTACCAAGCCAAAGATCAAGGCCGGATTTGGGAAGCCGAGTTGCTTCGTTCGCTGTGGCTGGACAAACATTTCTGTGTATCCCCCTACGTTCCGAACGGAATAGTCTCGCGTGACTCGCTGCGTAGCAGCCTCCGTTTGAGACGTCGTGGTGCTCATCTCGTCACACCTCGTGCGGCTACTGAGCTGACTATGTGTTTGTGAGGCCAAATCGCTCTGAGTGATAGGCTCATTGAAGACCAAAGTATTGACTGGAAGGAATATTACCTAGGCGATGAGGAGATAAGCTCTGGAACAGTCACTTACACGGCTGAGCGTCGTAAACAGCCGGAACGGCAGGAGCACCGGCATGATGTGTTCTTGCTACAACTCACTGTTATTACTGAGCAGGAAAGGCGACCAGCGGAATTGACGTCACGAGCAGCGTTGGTCTAGGGCGTGACACAGATCCATCAAGTCATCGTGAATCTCGCAGCTTTGTAGAAATCCTACGCCAAGAAGTGTGTCGATGTCGGTTTCAGGGATATCTTAGCAGAATCATATATCGGATGAGCCTGCAAACCAGGGGTGAATTGGTGAATGCCCAGGTGCGTGTTCTTATGGCAGCGCTTCTTATCGCGACGGCCTACATGGAAGGTCTGCCGAGCATGTTCGAAAAGCTACCCGCGCTTTCCACTCAAGGCACGCGACATCGTTCGCTTGTGTTGCAGGGTTTGCCTGTTCATTGTTGCGACAAGATCATTATTGGCCCGAGATAGCGTGTATATAAACTCGGATCTTCGCCCAGACTCTCCGCGCCATCACACATCCATTCGGCTCCCTGCGGTGTCATCGGACTTCACGCCAACCAGGCGCAGCGAGGGAATTTGCGCTCTTCGCTCACCATGGCCGCCACGGACGTCAAAGATCTCCTGGAGATCGCGAAGCAGATCACGAAAGCGATGGAGTCAGGCGATCCGGCCAGCACAATCCTGGCCCTGATGAAGCCGCTGGAGACTGTGAAGGTGACCGAGGACTCACTCCGAAGGTCCAAGATTGGCGTTGCGGTCACAAGGGTGCGCACGGCAAACAAGGATCCTAAGATTGGCGAGCTCGCAGGGAAGTTGGTAAACAAGTGGAAGCAAGAGGTGTCAAGGCAAAAAGCTGCGAGCGCCGGCGCGAGTCCAGCAGGAGCGAACAAAGCGGCTTCAGCAGCCACAAACGGAGTTCAGATTCCAAGCGGCAGCCCTGCACCAGCCGCAAAAATCAGCTCAGATCCAAAGAGGGAGCCACCGAAAGACAGACCAAAAGTCGACATCGAGAAGCGCAATACGACGACCGACGGCATCAACTTCAAACTCACTGGCGAGCCTGTGCGAGACGGCTGTATAAAGCTGATGTACGATGGCCTTGCCTATATGTCCGAGCATGCGCCCAGCGACATTCTCAAAGTCGCGCAAGCGATCGAGACCGCAGCCTTTGGTCATTTCAAATCTAGCACGAGCGCCGAATACAAAGCGCAGATCCGCAGCCTATTTCAGAACCTCAAGATGAAACCCAACGCCAATCTCCGCCAAGACGTCTATTCTGGAGCGATCTCACCACAGACATTTGTCGCTATGACGACGGAAGATCTGAAGAGCGCGGAGAAAAAGGCGGAGGACAAAGCGCTGGAGAAAGAGAACATGAACGCGGCCATGACGGCGAAGGAGGAGAAAGCGATCAGCACAACCATGCAGTGCGGAAAGTGCAAGGCATTTAAGGTGAGCTACTCGCAGGCGCAGACGCGAAGCGCCGATGAACCGCTCACAACGTTTTGCGAATGCGTGAGTTGCGGACATCGGTGGAAATTCAGCTAGAGAGCGGATCTATGAGTCGGTGGATGTTTTGATGTACCAGGACATGTATTTTATTACGATAACGAAATCTCAGCGGCGCTAGACTGCGCTACGAATCATGGCCGATGGGCAGCAGCAGTCAGGGCTATCGTGCGTAGAAGTAGAACAGCGTTTCGAAGCAGTCTGTATATTGACCAGTTTCTATCAATCGTCGAGGCGTGTTTTCAGCGCTTCTCGGGTTTTTGATGGCCGGTACGTGCTGTCCTGTGGACGCACGCGCGTGTGTATGATACTTCAGATCTTCGCTCTGACGAGACCGATCCATGCCTCCCACAAATTTGCGCATCAGGACTTCGCGTGGCGGATGTCCGTTTTGTAAGATCTGGCCGAAACATGAACAAGATAGCATCAAGACTTGAGCACGATTTCGACGTGGACTCAAGTGCGATTGCTTGCGACCACATTTCAAGTCGCGGCCAAGAAGGATTGAGAGAGTTTCTGGCGGCCTTCATCTGGCAACCATAACGGAGAAATCATGTTTTCGATTCAAGGCTTTTGATGTTCATGGACCTATTCACGATGACCACTCTCGATAAATTATGTGGCTGCCCTTTGTCATCTAAGAGCAAGGTTGCAACAATCCATCTCCCCGGTCATTATCATTCCATCGTGTCGATCGTTTCATGGCTGATGGTCAGGACAGTTCGCCTGTCTTGGCTTAGTCAGCCCATCACGCTACGAAGAAGTGAATTTCGGTAGACGAGTACGGTACATCCATCGCCGAATACTTCTCCTGACCCAATCATGGCATGTCGCCACGATGGCCTGTTCGGCATACCTTCAGAGGTGCAAGACGTTTGAGGTGAGGCAGTTACACTAGGCAGCATCCCACAATTGCGAACGCCGCAAGGAATGGGACTCCGAGGCAGCGGTTCGTCTTTGCAGGGATCGCGAAGTTGGGCGTAGGAGTTGGCGTTTGGGTTCTTGAAACGCTGGAGGTAGACGATCCGGACGTCGGAGCGCTGGATATGGATGATCCGGACGATGACAGAGAACATCCCTTGGACGCTTGAACGTAAAGATCGCCTGGGCATGGTCCCTGGTAGATGTTGCCTTTCGCACCACTCGGGGTCGAATATTCCCCGCTCACGACATTGCCCTCGTATCCCGTTGCGCCATACCACCCGCCGGTACGCTTGTCGATGCAGAATGGAACATTGTTCAAATCGTTGTTGAGACAAACTTGGTTCGACTGGCCTGCATACGGATGTGGGTTAGAGAGGACCGCGAGGTTCGAATCGGGCATTTGGTTTTCATACATTTGAACTCATCATGGTCGCGCCGTTTAAATCCTACGCCGTTGACAGCATCTGTTCCAAGCTGATTCCAGTCGATAGTTCCTCCTCCATGGGACGAGCTTGACGTTCCCGTCGGTCGTGTAACTTGAAAGTTCCCAGAAGCGGTGCTACTGACCGTACCGACCGTACGAGTCGTACCTTGCCACGTAAATGTGCCACTGTACTTGCTCTGTGGTAGTGCGACTACCGTGTTGCAGAGTTCTGCAGCCGACTGCGGATCATCGGTCAGTAGATTGATCGATCGCGGGATCGTGCGATTCGATCCCGCGGTAGAGAAGTGGACTTACAACAAGCAAGGATGGCACGGCGAGGAGTGTAAGAAATGTTACCCACGGCTGACCCATATTGTTGTGTTCTCGAGGGTTGTCGATGCGAGTGAAATAGCTGGACAACCAACAGTGAATATGGTCAACAGGGATAATTACACAATTTGAACGACCGAGGACTTTAAACCACGAAACTATATATCCTTTTGATTGCGATCTGGAGCTTCTGGAGCGCAGGCACACCTTGGCAAGCCAAGACCTTCCGAGCTTGAGGAACCCTCAGCGACTCGGACTTTGTTCACGAAGAAACAGGTCAGGCCACTGGCGATGTCATTTTAGCGCCTGTCTGCAGACTTCGGCCGCTTGGTCCGAACGTTCTGGACCCTAGCGTAGATCTTGGCTGCATAAGAGGGTAGCCAATAGACGACATCTTCCAGAAAGAAAATAGCCTGGATTCTGCCTATAAATTCACCTGGTCGTGGGGTGCTGGACGGAGATGTAAGAGAACTCTCACAATCAAAGTACGGCATGTAGGCATAAGGATCGTCGGCGGTTAACTGACACGTCATTGTACATTGTCGCATAAAAGCACTATTTCGGGATCTCCAGTGCTCTGAGAAGTCACGAAGGGCTTACCCTTTCGCGAATATTCTCACTGTAAGTTTTCGTTATCGTTCGAGCTTGTCGTCTGGCAGTCTTTTCTACCTCTTTCCAGTGTCGTAGCTGTTCTCCTTGGCCTGTCAGAACGCGTATAATCGGCCATGTGGCTCCAAGCGCCGGCGTTACGCGAGGAATTTGCCGACAGGATCACATTCTGTAGTGTTACATACCTAGGTACTGAACATCCCTGATATATAAGGCCCGACGCTCGACTGTCGCATTATAGACTGTCGTCAAACTCAACGATACTGCCTTCCAAAATTGGCCGAAGCGAGAACGTAGACTGAGAGCGACCGAATTGTGCACGAGCGACATCTAATTGCAGGAGTTTGGTTGCAAAGAGATGTCTCCGAGCAAGACCTATTACATGTGCTATCCCGGGTACAATCCCCCAACGAGCGAAGTGAAATTGGGATCCTTGCTACTCTCACCGACAGATTTGGACGAGAACGAACCCATCAACAAGGATGCTGTTTTCGCGCCCGAGCTATGGGAAGTCTACACTTCCATCAAAAGGTGCCACAAAGGGACCTGGACGAGTAAAGACACCGCTCGCCCGAAACTCACCGAGCAACCGATACAGCGGATCTTCGGCGCTGAGAAAAAGCTTATCTGGGAATTGACGGCGGAGTTCGACACTTTCAAGACCATCTATTTTGAGCCGTCCGCGGAATACATCCAGAAGACTTGCGAGTACGATAGTGTGCAGCGCATGCTGGAGACACGTGCGGGTTTGGATTTTGCAAGCGATGACAGACACTTCACCTCAAAGAACCATGTCTGGCTTGTCACTGGGTTGAAGGTCTTCGAAGGCGCCTCATTGTCATGTCTATCATATTCGTGCAATTCTCTGGAATCAAAAAGGATTAGATTGGCCTCGAGATTCGCACTCTCTTTCGACTGGGAAGATGAAAAATATACAAGAGTTTCATTTGGTACAGTGGGAGAGCAGATCTTTGCATATCACCTCAAGCGAATCACGATCGGAAAGCCCCCAAAATGCGAGCCTTACGAAACGGGCAAAAGGTTGACGTTTCAGGGTGCAAAATCCTTCAAAGATCCACCTTCTGAAAAGATGTATAGCCGGGAGACTGACAGGGATAGTGACAGTGACAGTGACGAGGAGACGCTCGATGGCGAACATGAGGGTGGAACGGTTTATCGGTGGGCGCCTAGCTCACGGAGCTGACGCAATTTGCATGAATAATACATCTGAGACGGAACTGTTATGGGCAATACAGTCTAATCGAATTGAAACCAAGTCGTTCAATTGTCGCTCTACTCTCTCTAGTTATTTCCTTGTGATTATGTCTTCGAGTTGTATCATGATCGCGAATTCAGCTTACGCATATGGTTCACAAGGATATTGACATGGTTGCTCTTGCCAAAGAATGGCGAAAGGTTGTTGTCAATCAGCACACCGGATTGAGAGAGTGCATATAGGCCGCCTGCAATGTAGAAGGCGCTCCAATTGTGCCTCTTCCACATTCCAGCCTAATCTCGTACCACATTCCCAGACTCGCCGGCGCCAAAGCCCACATGACAAGACTTCGAAGGGATAGTGTACACCTAACTTACCGTCGATCTGCGTTGCCAAGATTTCGACTATGTATCCGCTCGACGCGGCTTCGATGAAAAGATCACCGGCCAGCGCCGGGCTCTCTTATCGCTTTTTAGGCAGAGCATATGACTAATCTAGCACGAGTCATTGGAGTCTCAACGCGGTATAAGTGGCGTCTTGATCGTAATGCTCGTTTGAATTTAAGTATACGTCCGAAGCACTATGAGAATGTACCTTCCGGGTTCATGCCGGACAAAAGCATTCAACATGGATCGCGCAAGGAATCCTCTGAAGCACACGCCGAGCTTACACAAACGTGCCAGCGTCTACGTATAGTAGAACACAGGAGTTGCCCGAACATCTGAGTCTCCAAAAGTCTTCTCGCTACAATGAGGAGTACATAGCGAAACCTGCGCACATGGGCGAAACTACAACGGAATGCGGCGAGGAAGTCGCGGCCCACTTTGCCCTCGCCCCGGGCTATCGGAATCTGAACCATGGTATGTCGGCTCCCCTCGACGACGACGTGGACTTACTATAGCAGCGGTCAGGCTCCTATGGCACATACCCTTTGCCCGTCCGCCAGGTGCTACGCGGCATCCAGGAACGCACCGAGGCCCGCCCGGATGCCTTCGTGCGTTACGAATACCGCACGCATCTCCTCGACACGTCGCGGCACGCCGCCGAGGAATTTCTGTGCGCGCCGCGGGACACTTGCGTGCTAGTGCCGGACACTACGAATGGGATCGAGACGGTCCTACGGAGCCTGGCGTGCGGCGCCGGCGACGTCGTAATAACCTTTGCTACGGTCTATCAGGCCTTCGCAAACACCCTCGCCTACCTGGCGCAGACGACCCAGCTCCGTACCACGACCGTCGATTACACCCTACCCGTCTCCGACGCCTCTATCTGCGCCGCGCTCGAGGCGGCCATCATAGCGGCGCGTGCAGCCGGGCAGACGCCACGGTTGGTGCTGTTCGACACGATCAACGCCTTGCCGGGAGTACGCATGCCGTTCGAGCGCCTGACGGCTCTGTGCCGCGCGCATAGCGTACTGTCGTGTATCGACGGCGCGCACGGCATTGGCCAGCTACGGCTTGACCTTGGCGCCTTGGACCCCGACTTCTTCGTCACCAGTTGTCACAAATGGCTATACGTGCCGCGTGGCTGTGGCGTACTCTATGTACCGCAGCGTAATCACTCTCTGCTTCGCTCTTCGCTCCCGACTAGTTTTGGTTTCGGGTAAGGTTTCGTGGCGAACTTTGCTAACATCGGCACCCTCGACGATTCATCCTATATGTGTATCCCAGCTGCGATTCGCTGGCGTGTCGCACTAACGTGGCAAGGGCGGACAGGAGAGGAGGCTATCACCGCATACGGTCTTCATCTCGCCCGCGCTGGCGGTCAGATCGTGGCGGAGATCCTCGGGACCGAAGTGTTAGAGAATGACGAAGGAACGCTAGGGAACTGCGCCATGACCAACGTTCGCTTGCCGCTCGCGCTGACGCACGCTACAGCCCTCGAGGATGCTGGCGGCTGGATCATGGAAACCATGATCACCAAACATAGCACATCCGTCAACGTCTTCTCCTACGCAGGCGCGTGGTGGGTCCGACTCAGCGCGCCGGTCTACGTCACCTGCGAGGACTTCCGGACGGCGGGTTTGCAGCTGCGCGAGATCTGTGAGGACATGAAAGCTAGAATATAGCGGGAAGGTAGTAGTAAATCGCTATGAGGCGTGGTGGCGCGAGATCAAGCAAGGAGTCGGATAGTATGAGACATCCGTGACAAGCCCACGCGCGGCAGAGTCATCATGATGCAAGACTCGCTGTGGTCCAATGCATCCAAGTCTCGCACCTATGATCTATTCAGTCCAACACATATTGTCTGACAGAGCAGAGTCTTACAAGGTCGTTGCCGATTAAATGACCCTTTGCTGATTCCATCGAGCTGGAACAAACCCAGTGTAGCAACTGTGCAGTCGGTAATACGTCATGTTCAAGATGCGGAAACCAGCAAATCAATCGATTTCGATTCGATTCGATTCGATTTGACTTGAAGCTAGAGACTTAGGTCGTATACTTGATGTGTTACAAGGCTTGTGTGATGTCCTGGCCAACATAGGTGGGCATTATACAGAATATTTCATGTTCCGGTCACAAGACTTTTGGTCTGCTCGGAACCTGAAATTGACCACAACATCTTTCCCGAACGCGCCGATGGAGTAAATCGGTATCTGAAGCATCACACTCAAATTGTTGGGCTTACTCCCATTCAGGGAAGCTGGGCACTCCAGGGGCATGTTGAAGAACGGCGGGGCGTTGTAAATGGCTTGCTATACACCTGCGGCGATAGGCACCGAAGCTGCGGTCAGGACGAAGCCGATCATCATTCGTACCGTCGCTCGAGCGGACAATTTGGTCTTTTGCATGTAGGGAAAATTCCAACGCTTGAGTACAGGTACTGTGATGAGCACGAATATTGGATTCAGAGTTTGGAAAGCATCATTTGGAATCCCGTAAGTCGTCATCTGCCCGGCCTGAGAGATGAGGTCGGTGGTATTTTTGTTCGTAGTAGAGTTAGATAGTAGGATATATAGCCCTTTCTGTGGGTTAACTGACAATGCATAGCAAGACTGAGTCACACACGTACCAAATCTTGCACACACCGAGGGTTTGCCGTAGATCTTCGATGTACTGTCCATCCCAAGGGACAACCCGACCGTGAGTTTCCAACTGGTAAGCCGGCTCTGCAGCGTTGAGGCGGAAGCCGCCCTTGACCGCACAGCCGAACAGCTCTTCGTGCTGAGCGCAATGTTATATATCATGCCCAACTCGTCAGGCCGGATTTACTCCATCCTCGTTTACGAAAGGAGGAACCGGAGAAGTGTCATCAAATTGAAGGGGTGGGATGAGAGAAGAACTTATCAAGACTATGCTCTGTTGCTGGAATTACCATCAGGGAGTGCAGCCGACAATGGAGTCAATAAAGTGAAGGAAATACCGGCTGAACATGGGTTGCCATCCTCGAACGGTGGTATACCCAAGTAGTCGCTTATCCCTCGATTGACGACATGTCTAATGTTGTTTGTCACATCGAAGTGTCGCGATTCAGGATTGAGAGATTCCGGGAGCATAGATGCAGTCTGCGCAGACCTTCACCAGCCTCCTTACAGCGGGCGTGAGTCCATGGTGCATACGGCATGAACATGAAAATCTTACATTACAGAATTTCGTGTCGTACTCTGATCTATTTACACCATTCAACTCATCAGCAACACTACTATTTCTTCTTCGACCTCTCCCTCGCCCTCTTCTCCCTCTCATACTCCCTACTCGCGGCGCCCTCCTCGTTCTGCACCTCAGCGACAAGTCTGCGGTACTTCTTCTCATACTCGACGTCACGTTCCTTCTTCTCACGGAGCTGTTCGCGGGCGACGAAGTTTGCGTCCTTGCGGAGTTCCCGGAGGGCACCTTTGCGCTCGCGCTTGTACTCGGCCTGGAGTTTCTTGCCATCGGAGCGTGCTTTGTCGGGGTCATAGTGTTTGTCTGGGTTGAAGGATTCTTCGAATTTGGGGATGCTCATGCGGATGGGCAGGGGACGGTGGTGGTGGAGCTCGAGGGGTCGGAGATTCAGGCGGGCGGTACTGATTAGGAGGGTGAGGCGTGCGTGGGGTTTGCGGAGGTTGAGGCGTTTGAGGAGAGAGAGGAATGGAGTGAAAGTTTGGACGAAGGCGGATTTGTCGTGGTACATGTCGGCGGCCGTGAGGAGGTTTTCGATATGTGGATCGAGGCTGAGGGTAGCTTCAGTGCTTGCAGCCGTGAAGAGACGCTCAAGATAGCGAACAACTTCGGGGATGTAGCGTTTGCTGAGGGTCTGGTATTTTAAGCATAGTGCCACGAGGAAAGCACCAGTCCCCATCGACTTGTCATCTTCATTAGCGCCGGGAGCAGGGTTGTTGAGGCTTAGCCACTTTGCCATCAATGTGATTGCAGGCGTGACGACCTGATGCCAGTGGTCACTAGTTGGGTAGATGGAGCCAATGGCAGTCAGTATCATGAGATCGCCCGCCGTCGGCTGCCCTCTTTCGTGGAAAGCCGCCAGGTGCTTGCGGAAAGCATTCGCAATCTGCGAGGGATACGTGCGGGAGAGCGAGTGTAAATGTCGAATGACCTGCTCAGCAATAGTCATCGGTTGACCTTCTAATGCCATGTATGAGAGATGATCGACAAGCGCGCAGGAGAAATCCGCCATCGAGTCTTTGTTGGTGGCAGAGAGGGATGGATGGTACAAAGCTCGAATGCGTTGGATGACGGTGATCAATTGATCCGCTGGAAGCGGCCCAACAATCTCGAGAAATTCTGCGTGATTCCGAGCACAAGGATATGTGTAAGCGATTCCAGCAGTGTTAGATCCAGTGGCCACACCGTTGGCCTTTTTGCTGCCTGCAGCCTTGACCATGTCGTCGCCCAGAATGTCACGAATGAACTCATCCTCTTCATCTTCCGCAGGAGCTCGGCCTTCGCTGTCGTCGGATTCATCGTCGCTTTCGTCCACAGAGTCAATGTCACTGAGGCCTGCCTCAGACCCGCTCGCAATAAGATCCTCGTCCAACGCAAATTCATCTTCGTCGTCAAGCACGAGAGCATCTGTCGCCTTGCTTTTCACATTGCTCGATGTGAATCCGAAGTCGACCGCTTCATCGAAATCATCTTCGTCGGGACCTGCTTCCTCCACGGCTTTGATTTGTCGTTCATCGTCAGAGACGTCTTCGCCCTGCATACGTTTCAGTCTCTTCTCCTCCAGCTTGCGCAACCGTTCAGCTTCATCTGCGGCCTTCTCTTCAGCAGTCTTTGATCGATCTGATGGTTTCGCTCGAGTGTCCAGCGCGAGCTGCTTTAATCGAACGTCATAATCTCTGTCGACCTTGGCGCGGTCCATGCCATCGAGAAGTTTCTGCCGCTCAGGGTTGATCTTTGGCCCGGCATCCTCCGCACTTGAGCTGACGGGCTTGGCAGCAGGCTTTGGTTGTTTGACTCCGTATAGCAAAGAAAGCACGTCTCCCATGTCCTTGTCTAGAGCCTCCCGCAAATCGTCGTCGTCCTCCTTGACTTTCTGTCGCTCGTATTTGTACATTTTGGACTTTGCAACCACCTCTTGCATGATCTCTTTCTTGGACCTTTTCCGCTCAGGCTGCTCGTCATCTTGTGCGGTGTCCGCCGGCTCCGTGCCATCATCGTCTTCAATATCCCGAGGCCTCTTCTTGCGGAACAACTCCCCGTCATCACCCTCATCTTCGTCAGACCCATGAGAGACCTGCTCATCAAAGTCGTCTGCCTCAAGGTCTTCAATACGTTTCCCGCCATGCGTCAGACCGCCACCAAAACCACCGCGCTCGTCGTCACTCGCCTCGAGGTCAAAGAGGCTTGCGCCCTTGCGACGATTCTCCTTCTCTTTCGCAAATCGCATAGCTGCGCGCTCCTCCGGGGTCATGTCCACATCGCCCTCGCCGATTCGGCGATCGACTACACCTCCAACTTTATTCCTGCGCTGCAACTCTGGCAAGAGGGTCGCGCGGCGCATCGCTTCACCATTGCTTTTGCTCACACCAGGGCGATGGAGGATGTCTTTGTATTTGCCGCCTTTCGTGCCATTAATGTTCGACTGTGACGCCGAAACGAATTTGTCCGGCCGACCAGTATTTGCTGCTTTGTATTCGAAGGGATTGAAAGACTCGCGAATCTGTTGCAGAGCGGCGCCACGCTGGACGCGCTGGGCGGTGGCTTTGTCGCCCGATGCATGTTGGGACTTTTTCTGCTTTTTCGATTTTTGAGGACCTGTGATGCCTTGTTCCCGCAGTGATGCCTTTAGGCGTTTCAGCTGCGAAGCAGGCATATCTGGGTATCTCGTTGAATGGCTGAGATATTGGCCGTGGGATTCCAAATGCCGAAACTTTTTTTGAAGCTTCATCGATAACGCCGGCTCAGTCGCTGGAATGACTAATCATCAGGGTTGATACGGGGTCTGTGCAGAAGCCTGAGGCATGAAATCCAGCAAGACGACACGCCCGCGAAACCCATCGCACAACGACCATGATCATTCTTACGCCTGCCATACCCTGCTAAGCCTTGCTTAATCTGTTTCCATGCGATCACTTTCGCTTTTCTCATTCATTATAACTCGTGCGACTCGTCGGAGATCGAAGGCCACTAACGGATGTTTCCAATTTGCAACCCCGGGGCGCAGTCCGGTGTTTCGTTCCGGCGGAGGTTGTCCACGGGCGGGGTCTACTCGTCCCCTTGGAAGGACCAGCCAGTGCCAGTGTTACCTCTTGGTTGAAGTGGAAGATAATGCCACCCTGTATCTTGCCAGTCGTGTGCTCCGGCACAAGTCATCACCTTGTCTCATCACATGGTTCGTCGGGGACAAGTGGTCGTTAGCCGGCCTGTGCCGTCCAACTCTGATAGATATTATACCAACCCTAAGGACACCTGGGCAGGCCCACACGGGCAGGCTAGGGATCTTGGAAGTGCTCAACGTCACATATTGCTCGATTGGAAGGCATTGCTAACACCGGAATATCTATTGAGAGCATAAAGCGCCATGGACTGTCTGAGCGTGTATAGAGATGCAGTAATGATAAACAGTCACGGATTGACGCGCAGCGCATCTAATTTCAATCTGCGCTCCAGCTTCGAGATTTCACTGGACGCAGACGCATGACGGCTCAGACCTCTAGCTGCGAGGCATGCCATGCTCTGACAAATTCTCCGGTCATTAGGATGAAGTGAGACCTCTGTGTTCCATCACCCACGCTGTCTCTAGAGTTTTGGTTGATCACAGTTTGACCGGCCGCGCGCTCGACGTTCCAGAGAAGGCTGCGTTCCGATGATCACTTGGATAGTAATCTACATTCTTCTTCGAGAAGCTCCCACCAATACCTTAACAATCGAATTCTGAACATTACCCATCAACATTTCGCAATCGTTTCCGAGTCTCTGCACGAGTGCCTTTCTCTGGTCCAGCGGCCAGCAGCTTTTCGAATCCAGCGATCCATCCCGAATGGCTTCGCGCCACGCCCGATACAGCTTACTGGCCACCGAGCCGCGCGATTCGGAAGAGGCGACGCCAGCTATTAAGACTGCGGCTGGTCCACTTGAGAATGGAATCGAGCCACGATACGTAAGGAATGATGCCGGACCAGAGACCAGATTGCCAAAGCTGCCCCTCGCTCTGTTCCAAGTCAACGTCACAGCATTGTGGCTCTTCACAGCAGCAATATGTGCAGCTGCGATCGTGAACGGGCTTACGCCCTTGAATACATCGATTTGCGTAGGTCTTCCATTTCGCATGGCTTCTCGCATTTCAGGATAGATCCTCGTCTTTCCGTCAATCCGCGCTGATCTTGACCAAGGCTCCCGCTGGCCTTGTCAGCTTGAGCTACGTCCTCTACGCCCACTACGTTGGCATCGAAACATAGCCCAGTGGTGTCAGCCGCAATCATGATATTTTCAGGTATGCATGTGAGTCCGCGAGACTCGTGGCACTCGACCAACTCCATTCCGATTATGTGGCGTGACGTACAACGCTCAACCATCAGACAAACCCTTGCGGAACAAACTTCGGGGATTACACTTTGTGTTGGCAGCTGTGTAGCAATCATCTGCAGATGCTGAATACATGCGGCATTCATGTGTCCTACAACTGTGCCGCACGCCCATCGAGGAATCATGCTTGCGGGGTGAATGGCTTCACAACATGGACGCAGTGCGGTCAGACGTCAAGTGCGAGGCTGTCTGATGCTCCTCTGCACCGCTGTTTTCACGAAAGTCCCGAAGAACTGACAGCGACTCTTCCTTCAGCCAATATGAGATCCCGTCACATCGCCGTGTTTCTCGGCGTAGGAAAGCAAGGCAATATGGCGACTCGGACGAAACCACCGCGTCCTCAGAAACCTTAATTCTCCAGCATCTGGACGCAGATGTACCCGCCATCTCCCTCTTCTTTCGAGAAAGATGTTCACGATCCCAGCGGGGTTACCGGCCCCTCAGGCGGTGTCGGTAAAGAAGTGACGCGTATGCTCTACGAAAAGAATGGAAAGGTACACATCGCCGCGCGCAACGACACCAAAGCCAGCGTCGCCATCGCAGACAGCAAGCGGTCGGGCCCACATTCAACAGGCTCTCTTGTCTTCCAACATCTAGAGACCGCAAATCTCTCGACAATCACAAAGTCCGCAGAAGGTGGCTTCGAATAGTCAGGATGATGGGGTTCCGCTTCCGCACATTCCGTCAGTATCGCTTAGTGCTCCGCATGGATTTCACGACCGCCCATCATTTGACGTTGAGAGTCTAGAGCAGGAGCGCATGCCCAACGGGTGCCGAAATAAGGGAGATTTCGAGATGGTCTCCGTCGCGGACAATGTCTTGAGGATGCGCAGATGGAAGATAAGCTGAAAAGTGAGAGTTAGGGTTACCGCGGGCGTCGGCGTCCTCGCCAATCCTGAAAGTCGCGCCGAAATCACGGACAGGATGTTCACGAGAGATCAACCATCTGTTTTCGGAGGGCCTTATGCTTCATTGGAGGATTGCAACAAATCCCCTTCAGCAAGTGCTATACTCAAAAAGGGACTAAGACTACACACTCTCAAGCCGACGTCGTCGCCGCTGACTTTGGGGGCAGAATGCTCGGTTCGCCCGCGACGCCCGCATACTGCCAGCTTCCACAGTACCCATTCGAGAGGGTGTAAGTCTGACCGCCATTCGGGTAAACATAGAATGGACCATTCGTCGCACTGAATTTACACACTGCACCTTCGTCCTTTTTGAAAAGCCGACACTCGCCAAGTCCAGACCGGATGTTATGTGCGGAGTAAGCATACCCACCTTCGATGGCCGCGACACAGCAGTCGTAGGGCGTTGGTGCGAAGACTCCATCGAACGGGCGCCGGAAAGAGGCGTCGGGGTTGATGTCGAAGAAGGACTCGACGCGTGAGAGTTGGTTGGGCGGATCGCAGGCGGCGTAGTGTGTCGCGACGGGGACGCTCTTGGTGCTGGTTGTTGCAGTGTAGCTCACGGCTAGATAGTTGTAGGTATAGGTAACGGTCGAAGTCAATATCACGGTGCCAAACAGCGTTGTAGTTAGGCAGTCAAATGGGGGATATGATGATGGCTTCTGTGTTGTCGGCGATGTCAGGATCATGTATGCGCGGGAAATTGGCAAGCATGCGCGGCAGCCAAACTACTCACAGTCGTTGTTCTGAGAGTGCTAGTAATAGGAGTCGTTTTCCTCGTAGGAGTCGTCTTCACTGGCGTGGTAGAGATGCATGATGTCGTCGGAGTGTTGCGTACGGGAGTATTTGTTGTTGTCGGGGTGTAGCGCACGGGATTACTTGTTTTCGATGTGCCGCAAGTCGACGTCGCTGCTGTTCGTGAAGTAGTCTTCTGGAACGGGTTTCCAAAGGGCAGCCATCCCAGCAGATTACCAAAAAGATCCCGTTTGGACGGATAGTATCCTTGCTCCACGATCTGGGAGCGGATGGGCGTAAAGTCTGCGGGTGGTTGCGCAGTCGTGGTCGTAGGCGCAACGGTGGTCGTTGTGGTAAAAGTCGAGTACGAAGTAGAGCCCAAGTTAGTCTCTATGTAGCTTGTCTCGGTGAGTGTCGTGACTATAGTCGTCGCCTTGAGGCAGAATGGACTCGACTGCCAAGCAGCGCGTCAGCCCATAGGTCGCGATCGGGATAAGGAATATCATGGAGGATTCGGAGCAGCAAACTCACGATAGGTCTTGTAGGTCCAGGACCAAGACTGGTGCCAGCTACACCATTGGCAAGAAGTATCAAGCTGGCACCCAGCAATGGAACAACCGTGTTGGCGAACATGTTTTGCTCGAGTGAGTATCGCGACTCGACAATGCGCAAAGCTACAGCTGTAGAGCGTTTATCGAGCGTCAATACTTTAGCGCAACATCATGAAGCTGCGCTTGATCAGTATTATAGATATCATTCACGCGTGGCACATGGTTGAACTTGGCGTTTGATCACTCCACTGTTCCAGGGCCCCTCCTGGTCCAGGACCGAGATTCCGGGGTAGATGGCTAGTACTGGGAGGAGCTTAGGACTGTCCATATTTGGATGCCTCAAGCGAGCTCCTCTCGCTAATGATTCTAAAATCTGACCGGAGGCAATGATGTGTTGAGTCTCTCTGCCTCGCGTGCGGTAGTTCGGGGTGGCGTCCGATGGCTTGTGCGGAGCAATGCAAAGCTTGGCCAGCCCCTGCAAATACCGAGGTGATGCATCCGCACTATTCGGTCAGTCTAGCATCATGCCTGCGGGATGCTCCCACATTGAAGTAAAAACGATCGCATGCGACATGTGAGGAAGAGAATGTGCAATGACTGTACATATTTATCTTGATGATGCACTCTCGGCCTATGCTGGGTTGGCCGGCATGGCTACGGTACGCGAATCACAATGTCGGTCAAATCGGACACGGCGCTCCGAGAGCTGAATGGAAACGCGTAAACATTCTACTACTACCAACTTCTCCTAAGTTGCGTTAGAAAAGTGAAAAACGCGACAAGTTCATTAGTTATCGGGCTGGGCCAGTATCAGATCACTCATTCGCGTGCTCGATCCGATTTAATCGGGTGCCTCCAAAAACCTATGAATTACTACTATTATGTTATAGAACAAGCACAGACTCAAATAACATAGTCATTGGGAGAGTGTTCTGAGTGTTGAGTGTAAGGCGCAAATGAATGATGTGAGTTTCATGCGTGGGTGTGTTGCTGGGGCGTAGAGGAATTTTCCAGCTACTGGCCTGGAATTTGTTTTGCGCTGGCGATCGAGGCAAGGTGAGCGCCAAACCCTTCCGCGCCAACAATGTCGTCCAGCTTCGCCTCCAGAAGTTCCGTATCGCGCAAAAGTCTAGAAAGAAGTAAGACGAGTCAGCCATAGATCGAAGTATCTTTTATCTTAGAGCGAAAAGAAAATAAATGCTTACCTTGCTCGACCGAACTCGGTCTTGACAGCAGCGCTGTCAAATGCTGTGAGAAATTGGTTCCGATAGTTGTCGAAAACCCGTGTGATGACCCTATCTACGCTTGATGGCGGCAGGAACTTGTTCAGTACTCGCTTGAGTGTGAGGGTCTCTGTCACAAGCGTCTCAACGTGCGGGCTGACGTTTCCTTGCAGCTCGGACGCATCGTCCCACTCGACCTTTCCCATTGCCCTGATGCAAGCGGCTGCGCGAGAGCCCATGATGTCGATGAATTTGTTGTGGATGAATGACTGGTGCTCTTGGAATACACGCTCGAGACGGCTGTATTCTGCCAATCCAGCGACCGTGATTGTCGAATGACGACTGACGCAGCCGCGTATGTAAGGTATCAGAGTGATGAAAAGGGACAGGGACTGGGAGGCAAGCGCAAGGTGTTTGGTGTTGATGGTGGTCAGGCCAGCAGTCAATTTAGCACCAGCGCCGAGGATGAGTTGTTGTGTGCGGGAGTTGAACAACTTGAGATAGTCTAGCAGTGCCGTAGATATCGCGTTTGCCATGTTCGGGACCGACACGAGGAGGATAGCGTACTGTTCTATTCCGCGAAGGGCAAATGCCACAGACTCGACGGTCATGAAAGTTTCCTGATCAATAGCCGCCAGTATCATGCCTTTCTTAGCATGTGTTTTAGTCCCCGTGTGGTCCACGGAAACGTCATTGCTTTGCGGAATTTGTTCGCTCGCCCCAGTGCTTTCGACATCAAACCTCATGTAGTTGAGCCATGCCTGAGGGTCACAAGTTGCGGACTGAAGGACACGTGCTAGGGCCATGGCGTCTTCATTATTGAAGTCGATGCGCTCCCATTTCTCAGACTCCATCTTTTGGGCAAGCCTTTGCCTTTCGGTTTCGTGAAATCGCGTGACGAATCTGTGAAATTGGTCTTTTATGACATTTCTAAAAGTCATCCCAGAATGACCGGAGACCGCCTCGCATTCGTTGACGAACAAGCGATTGAGCGTGAAATAGTGTAGAAATCTAGCCATCCCGAGACTGGTCGTCGGCTCTGTTCTCAGGCGTAGCACTTTCACGATTTCCGATTGCACCTTGTCCGCCGCTTCCTCCAAGAGGGTCGACATGTCAAGCGCCTGCATCATGTCTTGTTGGGTCGATGATGCCTTCCGATCGTCAGGCGATCGGACCGCGGAAAACTCTGCGTAATTTCCGAGCTGGGAAGACTCCAGCACCCCGCTTGGTGCCTTCTCCATACGGCTCACGAGATCGAGAAGAACCTTTACCTGTACGCCTAGCCTTCGTAATGCTTCACTTACCCTACAGAAGACCGTGGTGAAGAAGGTGGCAGCATCCTCTGGGCCAAGAGCACGTAAATTGCGCGAAATAGTGCTTGCACTTTCCTGTTCAGTCAAGCGTCGACTGCTTCCCCTCGTTGACACAGACGTGACAGACCCGTTGTCGTGTTCGGTCGAACTTGGCAGATGCTGGCGAAGAATAAGTGTCATCTCTTGGATCACAGCTTGGCGAAATGTCGAGCTTGCTGCAGCAAAGCACTCTGTTTGACCGAGCCCATCAAGAACAGGTAGAAGATTTGCACGTAGCTTTTCGATCCCCGTTATATGTGCGGGCCCCGAAGACGAGCCACTACTCGGGCTGTGCGCAGATACTTTTGTACTCATCCAGCGCGCTAGAGTGTCTTTTGAGGGCACGCGTGAAATGTGTTCGCGTAAATCGGACAGGAGGATGTTCATTAGCTGAGCTCCGTAGCCTTCCCCGATCCTGAGACGAAGCAGACTCATCCCTTGCAAAAGTCCCTCGAGAGTTCGCAGTCGCCGTAAATCGGCCAGCCCGATGTGTGGGTTTGGCATGAGCTGGAGCATTTCTTCGGTGAGATGTGGAGGCCGTATTCCGCACGCAAGCATTTCAACGCAAGAAATACATTGTATGGCCGTCGCCAGCTGCCCAGAATGGACGAGTTCCTCACAGTGCATTGCACCAGCGCGGATGTATTGCAACTGTATGACCGCATGGCTCAGAATGTTCAAATTCTCTCGCCTCTGCCTTTCCCTCATGATCTCCAGATTGAGGACTGCCATATTCTTGTTCACGTATGCAAGATGGTTTCTCAGCGTTATGATTTTCTCGGCAGACTCAGCCGCCTCAGCCTGGAGGTTCTGGAGAGAGCCGAGAGCAGCAAAGAAAGGAACTAAAACTTGAGCTATCGAAGAGACAAAATGGCACTCGACAGTGTCCATATACCAGGATAGCTTTTCTTGCAGCATCGCGTTGGTGGAAAGCGCTTTCCTAGCCAGCTGGGACATGTCGTCTGAAGCAGTGCGGTTCGAGTCTCGGCCGGTGTCTTTCGCCACCGGCGTGGAGCAATGTTGCCGTACAACTGCCGTGTGTTCAATGACCCCATCGAAGACGCGTGGATTCTCGAGGCGGAAATTACTGTCAAAGTACACGGAAGGAATCGTTGAAAGCGGCGTGAGTTCAAGCTGGCCGCTTTTCAATCTCGTCGCCCGCCATTTACCACTCGCTGTGAGCTCATCGTGACCAAGGGCGACGACGTTCTGGGGATGGACATGCTCAGTGTGATCCGCAGACCCGAGCGGCGTGCGTTGGCAGAGATCAATCAAACCCCCAAAACGAGCCAGGTAGTTCCGGAAGGCTGAGGAATCGACCTGACGGATATGACTGAGAGAGACAGGCGGTATGTCTCGAGAGGTGGGTAATCTGTGTGAAGTCGAAGGCGTCGACTGTTGGGAAGACTGTCCGCTCCTCGAGACTGGCGGCTGGAGAAGAGCGAATATCGCTGCGCACTCCCTCTCCGTCAGCACCAATCCAAGTCCGTTATTAGTAATGGAAAGGCGTACAATTTTGGCTTGGTTCCGTCGACATGATGTGTGCGCGTGAGCAGCGCTACTCAACAACAAGCTCACATAGCGAAGGAGTTTGTCGCGTTACAGAGCGTTCTCCTCCGCTGGGTGTGGGGTTTCGCGCGTCGTCTGCCACGTCCGCGGGTGCCTTCCTCCACGCCTTCGCACATTCGAATTAGGGGGGAGCCGACCTATCCTAAGTAATATATTGATGGGGCTTGGGGCGTACGATTACCGCTAGGTTCCCCGAAGTACGAAAAGTTGCCGCCGCCGTCGCCTACGCTAGGTTACTCGCCACAGACAGACGAGATCCTACCAGGACCTCATCACAGTAGAAAACAAAGCTGGCGACGACGCCCACATAGTCTGGTCAAGAAGGAATACGACGTGCAATGGCCTCAATCATCACACCTTGACTGCCTGAATGCAAGTACTCCAGGACCGCGCCTTCATGGTATTTTGTCTACGGGTCTGGCAGCAAGAAGGTAGCGCCTGGACACTGGACGACTGCTGGCACGTAGATCACAAACAAATATTTCCTCACTACTACAGTATTAATAAGCTGGCTGCGTACTAAATGCCTAAGGCATTCGATCGTCACAGGATCATCACGTGTCTGGACGACGTCGGATTGCCCCAGTATCATTCATTTGACCTCCATTTCGTCACGTGTTCGTAAGCTTAAACTCTGTCACTAAAAGGAATCGGCCTAAATATTGTCCCGGACAGGAGCATCTTTTGACCGTGTCTCAACCAGAATTTGACGATCTTCAAGCTTGCCGTTGTAGCTCAGATGTCAAGAGCTCCGGAGGAATGTTGAGACATGACAGTCCGACGTCTATCTCGACTTATTTATGCATACAAATATGAAGCTCCCATAGCCCCGAATCATGACTGAAGTCATGCAGATAACGTTTTCAAGTCTCACCATAGGGAAGCACAGGCTGTACACGACCTGAAGTTGCATTGCGATCCTGTTGACCTGTCACCAGCGCTCTCGCCTACCAACAATGTCTGTTGCTACGAAGATGGCATCCTCGTACGCAAACATCGTCTCCCATCTGGGAAGCAGATCAGATTACAAGTCCAAGCCTTCCATCTGGGGCCGAGCGACCGACATAATTTTCGCTGGGGTCATCGTTTTGCTGGTCCTCTTCTTTGCTCCGATGGCATGGTGGTACTTCCCCGCCGAACCGGACACCCCAAACTATGGCGACAAAGTGCTCGCGGCTCTCGTCTCTCCCGAGTTTGCCTATGGGGAGGGCTCAGGCGCGATCGACGGGCCTCCCATGTTGGCCCTCATACGCAATATGGCAACCATGAAACCCCATATGCAAGCCGGGACGATAGCCACCATTGTCGGTTTCGTGCAATTCAGCCCGACTTTGCAATTCAAGTATCCTGTGGTACACCGCAGCCTGGGCCGGGTCTATGGTCTGTGCGTGGCAATCATCATGGGATCATCCGCCTCATTCCTATTTGATGCCGTGCCAAGGAAGGAGGTGTTTTCAGGCGAATTCTTTGGTCAGATCCTGGCTGTGCTGACATTGGCCGTCCCAGCCACCATGCTGTTTGCGCTGCAGGCCATCTGGAGCGGTGATGTCAGCTCGCACCGGGAGTTCATGACCCTCAACTACTCATTAATGCTCTCGGCGCCGTTGCTTCGCACGAGCTGGATCCTCCTGGCACAGGTGTGGGATCAGCCGAAAGACGTCGTTAATCTATTCAGCACTGTCATCGTGGCTCCGATATTGGTCGTAGCGCCTATTCTCTACCTTCGACGGCATCATGCGCGCCCTGGAAATGCGAGGCTTCTGGACCTTCGTGTCCGTCTGGCATCGGCCGCTGCGGGCCTGATGGGCCTCGTCTTCTGCGCTTATAAGTTGCCCAGCCTTGACAAATGGCCGTTTCCCGTGGCAACTTTCGTCACCCTCGTGCTACCGTTGCTAGCCTATGCTGTCGTCTTTGCAGTCCTTGCCGAACAGGCGAGGCGGCGACAGGATCAAGCAGCGTGCGCCGCGTGGGAAACATACCTGAACGGGCTGATCAGCAGTCCCGCTTGGGCGCCCGCCCTGTTCTATCTTGGCCGCGACGTCTTCGCGGTTCCCGAACAGCACCTTGGAATTACCACCATGAATAATGCGATTTCTACAGGCTTGACCGCTGGGTTCACCGCCTATGTGTTTGCTACAGCAAAGGGACGAAGTATCCCCCTAAGCGCGAAGAACATTTAATGGGTCTGACTCGGAAGATTGGCTTGCGGCCGCTGTAATGTGGTGATCTCACAGCGTCCGATGTCGTTCTGAATTGACGTTGATCGAGGCGCTTTCGCGGCGCCGGCAGCGAGTATGTAGTTACTCCCATGATCTCGCTGCACTCAGCCGAGGCAATACAATTGAAAAACTGTCCTGGGAAATTTGTAAAGTCGTTTTCAAGTAAGAGAGTGTTTTCAGAGTAGCCCGACGCTAGTGAAATAAGGGGTTATCCCATCAGCTGTGCCCGAATATGTCGAAACATTCTTTGCAATAGCGTGCACACGCTACATGGTGTTCGCACCCCCTGTTGGCCTTTGGGAAGTCGGTCAGATCGGGGACCAGTAGCTAATCGACGTCGGGGGTTGACAACCGTGACAAAGACTGCCCTTTGACATACCTTCGTCTCCGCCGATGATAGGAGGGGTAGGGGGGTGCGCTATACAATCCTTTCTCGAAAGCGGCCTCTTCGTCGCCGTCCGAGTCCCCGATCACCATTGAAGCTCGGGAAGGTCGACCTCATGTCGCGGACCACCCGCGCCGCCCGTGTCCACGAACCACGCGTGAGAAGCGGGATATCCGGGCTCCCTCAATCGAATCGCGGCGGAGATGTCGTCCTGCATACTCAGAAACCAAGCATGGACCGCTGGAAAAAGGGATCAGATCATGTCTGGGTACCAGAGTAGATGCAATTGCTCACCGCCGACGTAGTCCCGGATCGTCACAAAGTCATTCCCAGGCGCAGCTCGGACTTCCAGCGTGAGACCTTGTTTGCCCAAAGGCCGCTCCTGACCGCAGCAGCGGATGAGAAACTCCTTGTCAGATCGCTCATCCCAGCCCCAAGTCCCGTCTTCGCGCTCCGGCTCCGCCGCAAACGGACGCACGTCGTTCTCGAGGTCGCCGTAGGCGACAAATTCGCAAACGTCCGCGCCCACGTCCATGTCCCTGGCATCCTCGGCATGCTCCATGTGATGTCTCTCCCAGATCCTGTCCCACTCGTCCAGCGTTCGGAGCGATGCCTCGAGGGAGGAGACTTTCTTGTCTGTGATTGATTGCGAGGCGATTCCATGCCATTCTCCCGTCTCCGGGTTGAAAAATGGTGCCGGGACGCCGCCGCCGGCAGGTTTTACTGTTATCGCGGACGGGAACTCGCCTCTCAGCGGCCAGATCAGACGTCGGTATGCTGCTGTGAAGGAGGGCGCTCGGTCGTCTTGATATATGCGTTCCGTGAAGGTCGGATACGGCGGCCTGTCGTCGTCGTCGTCGTCGGGCGGATTTGCTTGTGCGTCTCCCATGGTTTCAAATGGCAATTCGTGTTTCAATTGCGATTCTACAGGTTGAAGAAAGCAAAGAGCGATCCCCAACACTTGACAAATTCCGCGATGATGATGATGATGATAATGGCCAGATTGGCGCCGTGGCTTTGTCAGGCTTTTCCGCGCCACATGAGCCGCCGGTGGGGGCCAATCCTGACTTACTGTACTACTGCCGTCGACTCTCTCATTCCTCATGTCTTCAAGACTCACGACGGATAACGAGGTTGACACCTATCATGCTATCGGACAATCGGCGATGTCTCCAAAACCTCATTCTTCAGGAGCCGCCTTTCCATGTCGTTCAGCATCGCCGGACTGTGGTGCACTATGAATGTGGAGGTGGATCTTTCCGCAGAGCTGAACGCCAACCTTCACAAGAGATGTCCTATAATTCATGGATGCGCGATAGCGAGGACGCCCGAAGAGAGTAAGGCGTAGACCTGGCATGTGTCCCGAGGGATTTCAAGATCGAGGTCATCACGGTAGACCATGGGAACGTCTACGGCGGCCCAAGCAGCTCACTATCAACAGACGTTCTGATTTGCAGCAGGTACGACGACAAGCATGTTGTATTTGTCACGAGCTAGAAAAAACAACACCAGTATACCCCGAGAGGCTTCGGTCGTAGCATCATCAGCAGCAGCATTGGCCCTCCACCCTCTCTACTGAGGATTCTTCCTCAGCTCATCCAGCTTCGCCTTGTTGCGCGCCGCCTGCTCATGTTCCTCCGGCGGGAACGACTCCGGCGGGTCGATGCCGTTGATCCGCCAAAGCTCAACCGGGCTCTCCTGGACGGCGAATTCCAAATGCAATCCCTTGTCGATGGTGTAGGGTCGCAGAATCCCATCAATGCTGTCCTTAAGGCCCGTCGCCCACGCCCGGTCTTTGCGATCCCAATGGCGCGCGACGTGCAGGATCTCGACGAACACCGTCTTGGAGATCGGGTTGCCGCCCGTGTAGTACCGATCCGGGGACAGCGGGAAGTATTGCACGTTCACGTAGTAGGCGGGGAGTTTGCGGGAGACGTAGAAGTCGGTGATTCTCCTGGCGAGCTCGTGGCGCTCGGTTGCGTCGGTGAAGGTCTCCGGGCCGTGGAAGATCTTCCAGATCGGCATCTTGAAGATATGAGATGGTGGTCGGGTATGAGAAGGATGAAATGTGTAACTGTAGCTTGCGGATTGTTGTTTTCCGCGGTTCGGGTAAATTCGAGTGTTGGAGGTGTCGGATATCACTTTGGACTATGCGACTGAATCACTCCCTATATAACGAGCTGATCATGGACTCATTTACGTACATTCAAACATAGGTTGACAGCTAGAAGCGATTGCACCATCATTGCGCTGACGCTAGGAAGAGAAGCTGAGGTCTGCATTTCGAAGATCTGGGGTAATGATCCTCCGCCTCATGAGACACTGAGGAGGTCCGGGGTAATGACCTGCCGTTTGGCGGAACATCGTTTTCGCAACGCAGGATCACGCAATGTGCAGAACTTGATTAACAATCACAACAGCAGCGACTTCTGTTGGGACTACAGCAGTCGTCGTCGTCGGCCGAATAGATCCAGCCGTGCCGGTCCATCGCAACTGCCGCTCGGGCATCCGAGATGTCTCTTAAAAGACATCGTGGAATTTTCGCGATGTCCACCAATGTCCTTCATGCAACTCTTTTGACTACGGTAATCTTGGTGCCATGTCTGATCTACGCGCAGCAGTCTTTGTGGCAAAGCCAATCCCGTTTGAGCGTGATGGTGTCCCAGGTCACTGGTCGCCAACATCCTGCACCTTGATCTACGACTCTGAAAGCGCTCTCCTCGTGGACACGGGCATCGACATTGAACAGGGCAAGGAGCTGGGCGCCTGGATCAAGATGATTGCGCCCGGCCGGAAGCTCGAGACCATCTACATCACTCACGGTCATCCGGACCATTGGCTTGGCGTGCCCTTGATCTTGCAGGAGTTTCCTGATGCCAAGGTCCTGGCCACGCCGGGGACGATCAAGCACGCCAGAGAATCCGTCCATCCACCTGTCTTTGCGCAGGTCTGGGGCGCGTGGTTCGGAGATCGCATCTACCAACCCTTCACCTTCCCGGAGTCCCTTCCGGAGGATAACAAGATCCTGCTGAATGGGAAGTGGACGCTCGAAGCCATCGAAGTGGGCCACAGTGATACAAACGACACCACTATCCTCTGGGTCCCCGACTTGAAGCTCGTCGTAGCCGGAGATGTGATTTATGGGCAGGTCCATCAGATGTTGGCGCTCGCCACGAAGCGAGAGCAGCGCGATGAATGGTTGAGGGCGATTGATATCGTGGAGAGCTTGAATCCCTCCTACGTGATTGGAGGTCATCAGCAGGCTGAGGAGGTCCAGGGTTCGTGGAATGTGGCAGCCACTCGCAAGTACATCCAGGACTTTGAGCGGCTGTTAGCCGAGGTTAAGGGTCGTGATGGCAAACGCCAGGATCTATTCGATGCGATGATCAAGCTCTATGGCGATCGAGCGAATCCGATGGTGTTGCACTGGAGCGTCGCTTCCTATTTCGACTCATAGCTGTTCGAGTGAATGCATATTCCGTCTTGGAGAGAGCTGTTTTGTAATTGATTCAAAGTTTTGGATTGAATTCACGACTGTCCAGAAGGGCCTCGATCAGCTTAATATGAACCGATTCGCGATCTTTGTTGATGTTCCTAATACAGTGTGGTCCAATTGGCGATGTACCGGAATAATGAGGCTTCCTTTGAATCGTGAATATTCGTCAGCCAGTGATCATGACCCCTCATGACATATCCAAAATAGTCGACGAGGCTGCTTCGAACGCCTCATTGCTTCCAGACTTTTCGAGCTCCTCAGGCCATGAGCCAGGTAATGAAAGACCGCTGTTAGAATCAAGCGATACAAATTGCTCCGTGGGGCGGCCGGCTTCCACTAGACCTTCGATGCTCTCCTTCAAAGGAGAGGCGTGTTGACCGATCACTGCAAGGAGCTCTTGGAACGCTTCAACAAGCTTCTCATCTGCATCGAGCCTTGCGCGAATAATGTTCATGTGATCGCCAAGATTATATTTGATAACGCACCCCAGTCGTAGATGATCGGTCGCAGTAAGTAGGCCGATAGTCTCAATGTCGGCGTACTTTGCTGTCGGCAACCATAGACTTGGGCCCTTTAGTCGAGGACATTCACTGTATTCAGAGCATCGCTCCAGCAGCAGGCGGAGGGCGCGATGGCTATTATGCGTGATCGCAGTGCTTAAGGGCGTCTCTCCGTGGCAGCTTTCGGCGTTGATACTTGCGCCAGCAGCCAAAAGCAGATCGATGAGCCTATGTTCGTCGTTTCGATGAGCTAAGTAATGTAATGCCGTCCTGCCGTCATGAGCGCGACCGTTCACGTCAGCGCTAAAGTCAATGAGCGCTTTGACATCAGCCGCAGAAGAGGGTAATGATGCAATGTGAACTCGTGATAAAATGCCAGTAATGACGTGAGTTCATAGCTTCGATCATGACGCATCAAGTTTCGACAGATAGCAAAGATATCTGGGCACGTATTCGCCGGACTTCACTTCCGGTCTCCATCGCTATTCGCTGCTCCGAAAAAGCTCGTCGGCACTGGGCCTCGAAGACTTTGGACAGCTCCTGGGAGTGCTGCCGGACGCGGTCCTGCTGACGAAGAAAATGGGACAGATCGTTGTCGATCCTGTGGTCGCGAGAGTTCTGATCCATCCGCTTGCTTCGAGGTGAGAATGCGCGGCTAGACGCAGTGGGCGAAGGGGTATCGATTTTTAATCCTGCCGAGTCTATAGCGCATCGTATATGGACCCATTTCAGCTCAAGGATGCGGTATTTCAGCTCGGGGTATTTCGGATCGACTATACCGGTCGTCCAATTGGTGTTGGGCCGCTGCCGCCGCCACGAATGAGGCTCATCGACGACACCGAGATATGACCCGTAAGAGTTGTCGCCATGAAACTTCTGGATCGTACGAACTCGACTCCGGAGACGACGGACAGAGTCGAAGAATGGCTCGTTCTCCTCCCATTTGCGGTTCCCTTCCTGAATCTCCAATGCAAGCTGAAATTTCTTGACATTGTTCACACACACGCGAAGTAGCTGGGCGACATTGCGCCTGATCTGCTCCTCCAGCTTGTTCCGATAATCGTCGGGGGCTCCCCAGCTCAAGCCCGACCAATCGCATGCGCGGCTTGTGATTTTGAAAGTCATTGGCTTGAGAAACCTTATGGCTTTGGAGATACTGTTACCTGGTTCGCAGATGTCATCTATGTCATGGATTGGGAGCATGAAATGCACGTGCCGAATATTCTCCAGATTGGAACGCGTCAATCTCGAGCCGAGGTTATGCCACCACCGGGCGACCATCCTGTCATGGTTCGGGTAGCCTGTCCAGAACAAAAGTTCGGCTTGCCTCATTGGAAACGCATGTGCCTCGAGCCAGGCTCGACGGCAGGTAAGTAAAATATTCGAACATGTCTTGAAAGGCGCTCGGTGATGGGGTCTCCAGTGATTCTCGTGCTGTTTATAAGCTCGGGACATGTCCTCGTACTGTGCTGTAGCGGCTTCGAATATCTATGGGTTTGCATGACAAAGGTTACGAGGTAAGCATCTGCACGAGACTCACGCGGGAGCCGGAGGACGTGGTGCGTGACCGCTACCGTGGATGGGCGGGCTTACCATTAGCCGAAGCTCCTCTGGCAGAGTATTCCAGAGAGGGGAATTCGCCTGTGGGTTGCACTTATGAATGTGTCGCTCGATTGAAGTTTCCATCACGAGCCTTTGTCGCAGACAGCTGTGCATTCGTTTGACGGGTGAATTGCACCGCGTATTGTCCGCCAATGGAGTACAATCCACCGTGGAGGTCGGGCTTTCCATTGCGGCCACGATATTCTCCTCGAGAGGAGCAAGGCTGCCTCTTATGGTGTGATGCAGGTGAAGTTATCTTGCACGTCTGTCTGCTCCAGCAGTTTGATATCGAGCTCGTTAAGAATCAAGAGCTAGATACGCGTGATTTCGAAGTCATTGTGATACATTCCGAGAGGAGATGCCTTCAGACGGATGGATGGTGCGCTCCTCTTCATTCGCTTATGTACCAACAGGATGTGCAAATGACTCACGATTGTGAGTCTACCAGGCAGGCGGTGTTGGGATTGCTCCGATTTGAACTCGAACGAGCCGGTTCTTGAGACTAAGCATCTGTGCGTCACAGGATCGTGCCTGATGAGCGGGATGAATCATTTGTCAAAGTCACTTCGGCTTCGGTCCCGAGTTGTTAATCCACCATCGTTGACGAGCGGTGTCGACAAAAGAAACAAACGCAGGGCAGTGGCAGCCCGAACGTGCAAGAGTGTTGTGCCACATATTTCGCCCCGTCAGCCCTACTGCCCTGCCTGGAGAGTTGCTTCTGGTTGAAACCATCACGCCTCGAACGCGTCGCTTATACACCATACTGCGAGATTCGTTGAAATTTCACGTGTATTTTGTTGATGGGCCGTAGTGTATTGGCGATGTTCCTAAGTCTGTTCATGATGTGCCGAAGTGTATTTTCACCCTTTTAACATGGCAACGAACTGCTTTACCACGATTCGTCACACCCCAGGCCAGGGCACATCTTTCCTGTTATTGGAAATGCTGTCCATGTAAGTCCTGACATGTGGACCGTGCACGCCTCCTGGATGTAAGATTTATTATTATTACTGTGCCGCACGAGGATATTACTGTACTGTCATTTATTACATTAGGAAAGCTAGACACCGCCTGTTTATGCCCTTTTGAGATCATCGCGCAAACGCGTATATGGATCTCAGGATATCATCAAGCAATCTGCGCGTTTGAGGTCATCTTCTGTCCCGGTCGCGGTGGGACAGCATGGAGACTCTGCGCAAGTCCCTGGATTCGCGCTTACTTTGGGCGCTTTGGATCACGGCAAGTGTCGTTCCCACAGCCCTCACATTACAAGGAGAACGTCCCTTTCCGGTGCACTTATTACTCATACATCTGGCTGCCGCCTCAACGATCCAAATCATTATATACGCGACGACCAATCCGAGTAACCAACACATCTACCAATCTTTATCGCCCTCGAAGCAATGGCAATCCATCAATCTTTCATCCCTGGCTCTCAGCCTTCTCATGGTCCCGATCCTGGTCTTCGCATATACGGCAATCACTTTCTGCAATGACGTGCCAAATATGATCCTCCTTTTGACCTTGGACTGGCGACCAGTGGATCTCTTCGACAAGATTATAGGTCGAAAATTGAGGCTGAGCGACTTCGCCCGGTATTTTATTTTCGCCACGGGCCTGTACCTTATTTCCGTCTGCAACTTTCGATTGAGATTCGTACCATGGCTAGAGGCCATGATGTTCCTCCTGTTCAGTGGCATAGCTCAGCTTGTTTCATATGGACAAATCAGCCTGAACAAGCCGTATGTCGGACCTACCACGAAAAAATATCTGACCTTGCCTCAATATTGGACGCTGTGTTCTTTTGCGGCCTTGGGGATTGCCACTTTGATTTTCCCGGAAAACGTGCACCCAGATAAATCTCCCCTCTCCATGGTGGCGATCGTCATCGCCTCATGCAGCGTTGTGGCCACCTGCTCTCTCTTCGTTATGGGTCCTACCTTTCAGGAGCTGGAACAAGATACGCAGCAATCATCCCTCGACGAAGGCCATAGCACGCGGATCGAAGACATCGACGAAGACCATAGCACGCGGTTCGAAGGGACTTGGCTCCGTTTCGCCATCGCGGGTCTCGTCATCCTGTCGGACTCCCTACTGTCTCCGACCCCACTCAACATTTCAATCTGGCAATACATTGGTTATGCCTTGGCCTCGTTGGCATTCCTGAAAGGTGGCCTTCATGGGCTGACCAAACCCACTCACGAATCCTCCCACGGCCAAGGACTGATGGGGAGAGGTACATTGGTATTGCTGATCTTAGCCGGAGGAGCTTGGTCATACGCCTTGCTCAAGCCCTTAACCTTCACACCTGTGCCATTAGAATATACGAATCTTCCTTTGAACCCACCGCCATCTCCAGCATCCGACCTGGACATCGTCATATCCAGATACGCTGAGCCAGTCGCCACCGTCGCTGAAACCATCAAGCTTTTTCTCGCACTAGAACCTATCCGGCCCTTGAATTCCCGAGTGGTCATCTACAACAAAAACAACGACACCCTGGAGTTCGAACGTGACCTGGGCGAGCTGCTCAGCCATGTCAACATCACGTATCACACCTTGACTAACGTAGGTCGCGAGGCCGATGCGTATTTCCGCCATATGGTCACCAATTGGGACAATCTCGCCCAACACACGCTCTTCGCGCAGGCAGAATTAGACGAACCCCGTAAACTCCGAAAGTGGATCAACACCTTTTTCATCCCGGAGACCGGTTTCCTCCAGCTGTCCTACGAGGGTCGGATGTGCGCGAACTGCGCCCACTGCGGGGCCTGGACCGACGACCCCAACGTCATCCAGAGTCTCTACAGCCTTACCAATCCCAACAAGCAGTGCCACGACCTCGTCTGGGTGTTCCGAGGCCAATTCATCGTCTCGGGCCAACGCATCCGCGCCAACGGGAAGCACGTGTACGAACAGCTCATACAAAACCTCACGGATCCGAACAACGCCATGCATGCGCCGGCGTATGTGGGCGGTTATTGGCATAGTGCTCAAAAGAATTCGCTGAATGACCCCGTCTTTGGATTCACCATTGAGCGCTTCTGGGGCATCTTGATGCAGTGCTCGGAGCTTCGGGTTGGGCAACAGAGCCCCAGTCCGCTCGCGCTGAGCATGCGGCCGCAGTGGTTGGCGGGCGGGTTCTCCCATGATGTTGCGCAATGTTTGGACCGGGCCATTGGCGAATCGTGAAGGTTTGTCATCAGAGGAGTGGTGGATCTTCGAGTACCGCGTCTCTCAAAAATTTAGATTATAGATTTAATAAGAACTTCGATTCAATACATCTCTTTCGCTCCATTCCCTTTTTGACCGTTCGACGGATTCACACCTAGACGGTCGTTGCTTCCTTGAATGTCATTCTCAGCTACCGAGCTCTAACACGCTCTTTACAGTGTAAGCCTCCCTCCTCAAATAGCCCAGGCTCAAAGCCGAAACAACGGCGGTGATGGCGAAATCAGCGCCCAACTCGCTCGTTGCTCCGCTATTCAAAAACGCAAAGCGACCCGCCACCTTCGTCGAAGCCGCGTCCACCGAAGAGACCGCGACCGGCTCGGGTTGTTCCAGGGCGCCGTGGCGGATCCGCAAGAGCACCCATGCATGTCCGCCCGGACCATTCAGGCTCTTCACCTCAGGGCCCTTGGATCGGCGCCATTCGAACCGCTCTGGCACGGGGAAACCCAGGATTGGAAAGTCGAAGTGGAACTCGTTTTTCGACGACGACGATTCTAGCTTTTTCCAGATCGATTCTTTGATCTCGTGAAGGACAAGCGTGCCACCAGTGAGCCTGACCTCGATTTTCTTGTAGTCGATCAGCGCGCTGCCGAGTACGGGCGAGGTCGGCTCGGGGCCCGAGTGTAGTTTGGTCTCGCCGGGTCCGATTAAGCGCTTCGAGTGGCCGGAGACGGCGTGGAGCTTTCGGCCCTCTTCGTGTGCGATGTAGAAGTTTGAGAAGGTGAACATCTTGTTGTAGTAGATTTTGAATGCGAGGGGAAGGTTGATGCTGGGATGGATCCCTGTAGGAGGCTTCCAGGCGTTTTTGGAACCACTGTATGGGTCCTCTTCGTAATCTTCATACTCCTCCAGAAACTCCGCATAATTCTCGACCTGGGTGTAATCGTCCGCCTGATCTGAGGGGTCCATATCATCAATGTTGAACATATAAGTGGGATCTTGGGACGAGGGTGTGTAAGAAGAAAATCGATCAAGTCTCAGACATGTGTGGTGATTGGGTCAATAGTCCAGACATGAGGTTTTCGTGTACATTTGAGAATGTACAAATATCATCATCGTGCCGCAAGACTGTCGCAGACGCCGAAATAATGATGACAAAGTGATGTTGTTACCGTCATCGTTGGTCAAGGTGTGCTGCACTGCCAGGACACTCTCTCTACATACGAGACCTGTATCGAAGTGGCTGTGTACCTAGGCATACAGAAACGGCACATCGGCCTCAAAAAGGCAATTGGACACAGCCCGAGCGAATTCCGCGATTGCCACGACCAAGCCGCGGAATAAACACCGCCATGATGTTTTACTTCATGCACTGTCCTTCCAGACGTCATGTCATCTTCAGCTTGTCATCACCAGACTTCGCGGAGCCGCAGTTCCGGTAGGGGGCCTCATCTCCGCGCCGTTGTTGCCGTGGCATTCTGTAACATTGTCAAGCTTGCTGCAGACATGCCATGATGATCCAATACACTGCTGTAAGTACTGCTACGCGATGCGCTTGAAAGTCAGCATGGTATGGTAATTGTGATGGAGACCGAAAATGTACATGGTGTGGTTGAAATTGGATGCAGTAATCTCCGCCATTCTAATAGCAAGCCCAACTTGACACACCAACCCTAATGGATCAAGACGCGCCCAACCGCAGCATTGGAAGTCATCGCGCAACATTGTTGTCTCTCTTTTAAAATTCATGTCCTTGTAATTGCTGCTTGATAGTCAAACATGAAAAATTTCATGGTGGAATACGACGGGTTCATGGGACGTGCTTAAGCTTCCATGGATCAGGTATTGGAAGGCAAGAAGGATATCGTGCGACCAGGGGGCTAGGTAGAGACCGGAGCTGGGGGCAGTGAGGCATGGTGGTGAGAGTGTCTGGATAGGAAGAGAGTGTCATCGGGATGCCCGAGCACCTTGTCGCAATTGGAGTGTACTCGCTTATCGGAAATTACCCCGACAGCCTGTCGGCACCAAAAGAGCTTCGAGATTGGGAGATCCATGTTTCCCGACACGCAAACGTCCGTATAGCACTCTGATGAGCCTGAAACGATAGCAAAACACAAGCAGAGATGATCGACGAATCACGACCAACGGCTTTTGAGACGGAGGACAGACTACCGGTGACGACGTCATCAAGTCATAGTCCATCTGCCTGTGGTGAGCATGCGAAGCGTCCCCGAGTGCCGAATTTGCCGGTCTCTGTTCAACAAATGACAACAAGCCGGCGAAGAACTTCGATAGAGATTGAGACAACTTGATGTCATACGGAGTATTGTTCCTGCGTAGACTTCATACCTTGATGTGCAAGGTCAATGACTTGATAGGGGGTCCTCTTACGAGAAAATCGATGTACGTGGCATATGACGTATAAAAACAACGACAAGTCGTTGGATCCAGAAGGACAGCAGCGAAAGACTTTCCGCGAAGAAAGCTTAGCGAAGGACTCTTAGCGAAGGATGCTTAGCGAAGGATGCTTAGCGAAGGACTCTTAGCGAAAGACTCACTTAGCGAAAGATTCTTAGCGAAGGACAGTTACCTGATGCGCTGTTCCGGTGTTTTGAAGGATAGAAAATCGAGATGGTATGAACGTGAGGACAAGGAAATAATGGATTTCTGTTAAGGTTTGACTCAATACGCGCTAGTAAAAGAGAGACAGCATTCGAAGGACCTTGCGCGATTTTCGTAAGAATGGGAATCGCAGATCGCTTGAAAGATTGGAGATAGATGGTAGTGTGTGCCATGAAGGCGAGAAAATGATAGACCTCTCCAAAATTTTGAGCCGTTGTTGTGGATGTCGGAAGAAACATAAAAGACTAGCACCATCCTCGAACTTTTTAAATCTTAACAGCAACAGCTACTTACTCCGACAACTGCCAATCGACCCTTCATCCTTGTCACTCGAAATGGCTCCTTTCATTACTCATTCAGCAGCCATTATGGCCATGCTTGCCGGTGCTCTCGTCTCCGCCGAGTCATTTTGTACTTTCTACACCGAGAACTTTTGCGAAGAACGCTCCGGCAGTGTCAACTATGCCGTCGAAAACAACGGCATCTTTCAGAATGGTGGTCCCTATTTCAGTTGTCGTACTGAGAAAGAATTCAGTTTGATCTCTTACCCAGCTGGAGATTCCAACGGCGACAACCCTAAACACTGTCACGTCTTTAATGAAGATGAGAAGCTCGGGTGCAATCATCTCGACGACCTCGGATTCACCACCGGTGATGGTGGCTACTATCGTCTCTCGCTCTCAAAGACTTGTCCGTCAACCTCGGAAAAGCGTGAAGTTGGAAGCAAGGAGGCCGTCCCCCTAGCCGTTCCCTCGACTTCGGAGAAGCGTGAAGTTAAGGACAAGGTAGTCGTTCCCTTTGGAAGAAACAACACTGAAGCAGATGTTCGTCGTCGTAACGAGCTCCGCGATATGCTTCGTCGTAATGCCGACTACTTCCGCTTTTACGATGATCCGGACTGTAAGCAGCAATCTGGAGGTGTTGGATATAGCACTCACAACGATGGCTGTTTTGAGAATGGTGGAGCTTACGGTCTAATGAATGGTGGTGATTCCGATTATCACATTGGTAAGGATCTGATCGATTTCATTGGAAAGTCATCACTAAAATCATCCATAGAGCAATACCAAGGCACTGATGGTGATCAATGCACTGGTGATCAGTGGCATTGTGTTACTTCCGAGGCATTCGCACCGAACGATCTTGGATATCCTCCTTGCGTTCACCTTGATGATGTCGGTTTGCAATCTGGTTTTGGTTCTTACCGAATCGGGAGACATGGTTGCCCGTGAATGGAACTACCCGTAAGTGGAATTACCCATCTCAACGGTGAAAAGCTTTCAATCTGACGGTACGCAGTAGGCCATTGTGGTGGCCAGGAAGTCCTGTGGTTCCTTTTACTGTTCTTTCCGGGTACACTGGTCGCACTGACAACCAGGTCATTGAAAATACTCTCACAGGAAGTACCAATACACTGTGTCGGTGTCGTGCCAGATTGCCACCAGTACACGAGGGTAGTTTTCCTTGGTTCGACGTCTTACTTTTCGCGTGGCTTTTTGCAAATTTGTTTTGCAGTGGCCTTTTATCCGTACATAGCAAATAGATATGAGAAGTACCTTCTTCCTTCGAACTCAGTCGTAGGACGATCACCTCTAAAGCTCAAATTCTAATTGCTAGCCGCCGCGTACTTGTCATTTGTTTGCTTGAGTGAACCTACGCTTCCAAATCATTTCCATTTTCCCTGAAAAATGCAGCTTCATGTTAGATTGCAGGGTGTAGAATGAGGGTGAAAAGGGTTGATTGATTGTCTGCCTACAAGTGCAGCAGCCCGGGCTCTCTTATAGCTACGCGGCCTCCCCCTAAGCACTAGGATCTTCAAAACATCCCTATCGTGTTGTTTAGTAATTCCCCAAAACCTCGAACCATAACATGTGGTCAAATAAAATCATTTGACTCCTAGCGCCATTCTGAATTCAATAAACTTATCCTTATATAACGCCTTTGTGAGTTCATCTGCGATATGCTTCTCGGTACGAAGGTACTGCATGTCCACGGTACTGCAATAACCTCTCTCACTCAACAACGAGCGGTGAGGATTTATTCAACAACTATCTGTATTCCGATAACCTCTCCGATCTTCAGGACACCCCAGCGCTCGCATACGTGGCCGACTATTATCGAGTCTCGAAATGTCTTTACATGAGGAATTTTAATGGCAAACGGTAATAAGGCGCTCACATAACTGGTCTGTATCTGACCCGCCGCTCGAGTGCGTCGCATGCAGTTACGCTCCCTGATCGTCCAAAAGCGGACACTGATCGGGATGTTGGCCCTCAGTATTGTGGATGGGCGGACTTCATAGCACGAATACATAAGTCCAAGACAATTGTCTTCGGACCTGCAGGACCTTTCTACTTCGAAAGTCCCTACCGTGCAAGTTTCGTAAATTCTGGACACACTCTCCTTGGCCCGCAGTACTGAAAAAATCTTATCAGCACACAAATTAGGCATGATGTTTGGGATGTAGAAAGCCCAAACAAATTGACCAAGGAAATGCTGCGCAGCCTCGACTTGGAGATCGCCAAATTCGAGGTCGAGACGAAGGCGAGCAATATGCGTGGTGAAGTATTAGTCAAACTTGTCGTCGACAGCTTTCCATTTAGGAGTTCAGTTTGGCTGGACAGTACCGCGTGGATGTACGCATGAACGGCAAACACTAGCCGCTCCTGGTCGTTGTTCTCTCGAAAGCAATGAGAACATGCAGCAGCTCAGCGAAAGCCGTCAGAACACGCAATGGATCGGTGTGTAGTGTGCTCGTCGCCTCGTCAAAGACCGGAGATCTAGAATGGTACCGTTTTGCTTGAACTCAGCAGCGGCTCTGTGTTGGTGGTGAGCTGCACACAGTCACTCAAAGTCTTCCGAAAGAGTATGATACTTCTCGCGCGGCTGCAGGGAGCCATACAACGATAAGGATGACGAGTTTCACAGTGTAATGGTTGGTGGAACTCGGCCGGCGAGCCGACAATAGAAATGAAGCTGATGTTGAAGTATTGAAAGTGATTGAAAGAGTCAGAGTTACGCTCTGACCTCAAGTTGAGTTAAGTACAACCTCTGGTGGCCATAGGCAATCATAATCACGAAGGTTCCTTCCAATAGCTGATACCTGTCTAGTCAGCATCGCCGTTGTGCAATTCCTGATCACAGCGGGTTCGAGAAGGCTCAAGTGGCTGCAAATATTCACCCCCAAAATTGGATTGAGAGACATGTATTATTTTAAAATAGTCTTCTATGTAGAAAATGATGTCTGCGGCTGCCATCTACACGTGGTCACGGGCGGCCCATCTCATCTAGTCCATCCGTCCGCTCACTTTCGATTACTCAGCTTAATTCAACACCTCTACTTGCCATTCAAAGCTACTCGTTGTCTCTCGCCATCCATGATTATTTACTGACATGAAATCTTTCCATCGAAAAATGGCTCGCGAGGTCGCCTTTCCCCCTGCAAACGTTCATCATCATTCGCCTCCGCGGAGCCTGAACTACTCCACAACGGTCCTCTCAACGTCTGCTGCTTCAGATTCACAAGTGATGGAGGTCGGACGTATCCTTCAGGGTGCTAAATGGCAGTATCGACTAGTCAACCCGCTGACACACGGCGTGCACATATCACGAGTATTCAAAGCAGAGATGCTACCAGGACGCGAGCGTCGCATTCCGGCAAAATGGTCTAGCACTTCCCTTCAGCTTGGCAGCAAGTTCCGATGCTGATATCCATACAGGGCTCTCATCAAAACAGCCTCCCCAGACAACACGGATACCATGAAATTCCCACGAGAGGAACTGAATGCTTATAATCTGTCCAGCGTCAAATCCTGCACAAGCTTTCGGGCCCTCCATGACATCATTGGTGATCCCGAGGACCGTGGAGAGCACGCCCAAGAGCCGCCCATGCTGGTTCTTGAGTGGCTGGATTGTACTTTATCAGACGTGCCCTCAAAACATCACCTGCAGAACTACCCTTTATTCAAGGCTGTCATAGATGCCGTCCTACGGAGTTCTGTCAGCTTGGGCAAGGAATCTCTAGTCAACACAGGTAACATAGCTGTCTTGGAAAACTTCAAGCTTCGCTGACGGGAAGTAGACATCAAGGCGGATAACATACTGCTATCGGCTATTGATACAGACCGTCCGTTAGCCAAGGTGGGCGATCTGGGTGTCTGTAAGCAACAGCTTCCTTGTATGTCATGCTTAGATGCTCACATATTCTAGTGCGTCAAGAAGGCATTACCTATCCTGTTCAACCATATGCCATGCGCGCTCCGGAAGTCTACCAAGGCGTGGGCTGTGTCCAAAAATCGCAGATCTGGGCCCTTGCCGCAACATTAATCTGCTGGATCAAACCTGGCGTCTTTGGGACCGCAGGCAATACAATTCCTCTCTTCCATGAAGGTTGGTCGGTGTCAAAGCTCTTGCGGCTTTTTCCTGACTGGGATCCTCCGCCTATTGCACATGCGGTTCGCAGGACTCAATTCGCCTTTGGAAACCACCTGGTCGAGCACCCTGTGCCTGAGATGTCGAAAATCTTATCGTTGGAAGAAGAGTTGCAGGGAATGGGTATTCCAGCAGTGCTGAGGGATTTGTTTCGTTATTTACTGGTTGTTGATCCAGCCCGTAGACCCTCAGCCGCGGAAGTATTGGCGTCACCGGAATATCAAGCTCTACAGCAGGCAGCTCTCGCGAGCACCAGCCGCGGAAATTAGGGAGCAGATCTGAGCTTGCGTATATCGAGCTCTCTCTTCGGAACAAAATCGAGCTTGGATCACTTGAACCTCTTGCTGGACTCAACACTGCTGCTGGATGCACAAGACAGGACCGAACAGAGCTACCTGATTTACGATCAACCACCTCGAAGCCCGATTGGTGCTCGCGAAAATATTCGAGCCCACATCCGTTCATCACATGCTGACATATAGCCTTAGGAAGCTTGATGTACAAATAGTCCTGTGATTGAGGGTTTATTTACCAGACGAGGACGCACAAAGAAAGGCGGCTAGAGTCACACTACGGTACCGCAACCCCGTGTTCCACCGCGATTCTGCGTGCAAACTGTTCGTACGTGCATCCGGGTCGGGACAAAACCTTTGGTAGGTCATCAAAATTGCCCGCGGGGAGCCCGTGTACGTCGTAGTATTTCATCATCTGCACGTAGGTATCCCGGGCGTCGGCTGGCCAAGTGGAGAACCCGCGAGCATTCGGCGCCGAGCGGAGTCCTCGAACGAGCTTGGGGAGGGACTGCAGTCCTCTCGAGAGCAAAACGCGGAATACCGCTGCACCGAACGGTCCAGCGGCAGCGAGAGGCTGTGTTATCGTCTGCGGTGGTAAGCGCATAGCTGTCACCGAGTGCCCGAGAACCCGACTCCAGATCTGCGCCATGTCATTGCGGGTGAGTTCCACGCTAGACAGGTCATAGGTCTTTCCGATGTGGCCCTCTGGTCGAGTCAACACATTGGCCGCTGCAACAGCGACGTCGTCCGAATCCACTACACCCATTCGGCTCTCTGGTGAGGTGGGATATGGAAGAAGCCCGGCGCCGAAGAAGTCCCAGAAATCCAGCACATTCTGCATGTAGTGCGAGGGACGCAGAATCGTTACTGGCAAGCCGGACTCGTTCAACAGCCTCTCGACCAGTAGTTTCTGCCGATGATGTGGCAGTTCGGCGATATCGGGGTGTATGACGGACTGGAAGACAACGTGATCTAACTTTTCGGCTCGGGCTGCCGCGATCAGTCGTTCAGCCACGGGCAGTTCGTCAATAAGCTGAGTCGGGGCGCAGTGATAAACCTGGTGGACTCCGCGCAACGCGTTCTCAAGGTCGCCAGGTCGACGGAGGTCTCCGATCACGACTTCGGTTGCGCCATCTGCTTTCGCTCGCTGGGCTTGTTCCTCATTCTTGACAAAGGCGCGCACCTTGAGCCCGTTGGAGATGAGCTTGCGAACTAGAGGACGTCCGACACCGCCCGCTGCACTGATCACGAGAATCATCACGTTGTGAGAGAGATTGTTGTAGTTCCTGAGTTTGAAGAGTGCGGTTCAATGTGAAATGCCCAAAAATCATGTTCTTATTTGTGATGAAGATATGACTGCTGGAGAATCCATGTGGGACGCACTCTCTACTCATGATACCATGATGCATTCGAAACTACGCAAATCGAGGCTGACGTCCATCAGACTCATACGTCCGTAGGAACGGACTCTATTGACATAGCCGAAGCTATTTCATATTCTAAGCGGCTCATGTATGATAATAACAATAATGATGATACAAATCAGCGTGAGTCCCGCAATGTGGGACACTGTGGGACATATATGCTGTGGGACAAGAATGCGCGCAACGGGCTCTGCCGAGCAAACGAAACGACAATCGGCTCGAACGATTTGCCTATTGATCATGCCAATCACGATGGATGCATGGTGTAACGGCCTCGCGCGAATAATGGCCATTTCTTCGTTGTGAGATCTTTGTATACATAGGTAGTAAGAGATAAAACGTCAAAGGATTTCGAACGATTTTCTCCCAATTTGCAGCCGATGTCTGTCTAAGCACGAAGATCGACACACCCAGGCGACAAAGAATTCGAGCACATATTCACGAAGATGTCGCTTCTTTCCTTCCTTCCAACGTTCATCAAATCACAATTCTTCGAGCACCCGGAATTGCCATCGACCGACTGCACAGGGAAGACAATCATCGTGACCGGCGCCAATGTCGGTCTGGGCAAGGAAGCCGCGCGGCATTTCGTGGCCATGAAGGCGGCCAATGTCATCCTCGCGTGTCGCGCTGTATCCAAAGGCGAAGCTGCGCGTGCCGACATCGAAGCGACAACGAAGCGATCGGGTGTCGTCCAAGTCTGGCAGCTAGACCTGGAGGATCATGACAGCATACGCAAGTTTGTCCGGCGCGCAGAGACCCTCGACCGACTGGATGTTGTTCTGGAGAATGCTGGTGGGTCGAGATGTGTACCTCCACTGCTTGACATTGGATGCGATGATTAATGGGGTTATAGGGCTCCAAGCAATTCAGTTCAAGCTGGTCAATGGGTACGAGACCGACATCTCAATCAATGTGATCTCGACATTTCTGCTCGGCTTCCTCATCCTCCCGAAGCTTCAGGAGTCGGCGCGCCGTTTCGCCATTCAGCCGACATTGACCATTGTCGCATCTGATACGCACTACATCGCTCAGGTACGTCGACGTAGTCCAAGATCACAGCCAAACAAGCCAGACGCCATGGTTGACCAAAGAGCGACAAACAGTTCCCTGAGCGAAAGGCAGAACATATCTTCGAAGCATTGAACAAATCCATGCCGAGCCCGATGGAGCGCTACAGCACGAGCAAACTTCTCGAAATTTTCGTCGTTCGAGAAATCGCCAAACTAGGTACTTATAAGTTTCGATGACACGCGCACCTTGAACGATGCGAAACTGAACACAAAATTATAGCACCCGTCGATAGACTTCAAGTCACCGTCAACTGTGTCAACCCAGGGTATTGTCATAGCCAGCTCGAGCGAGAGATGACCAATCGTCTAGTGAGCATTGCCAAGAAGGTCGTCGCGCGCACGACGGATGTTGGCGCCCGTGCTCTCGTCGATGCTGCGTTGAAAGGACCTACCAGCCACGGTAAGTATCTTCAGGATTGCAAGGTGCGAAAGTGTGCGTCGATTGTGGAGGGGAATGGAGGATCGCAGCTGCAGTCCCGAGTCTGGAGTGAACTTGGTGCCGAATTGGAGAAGATCCAGCCTGGTGTGACTGCTTCTGTAGGGGCTGGAGGAAAAATAGGGAAAGAGTAAGCCTCGTCGTATCGTTTTTGAGACATCCATGGATCTTGGTCATTGTGTAGATTCATCGAAACCCTGTCGGAAACGTCGTTGCTTGATGTGCTAAAAAGAAAAAGGGATATATACTTAATTATTCGCCGAAAATGCACATACGGCCACAGGCAGCTGAGAACAAGGGATCCCGTCCGCTCTCCCATATTTAAGCAGCTGACCGCGAGATTAGTACTACGGTGGGTGACCACGTGGGAATCCCTCGTGCTGTATGTTTTGCTTTTTGTTTGCCCTCTCTGCTCTCGTTGTACATTCGTGTTCATCAGGAGTCGTCGATCGAGTTGCAACAGTCACCGACCATCCGGAATTTCAGCTCGAAATTGAAACCAGGAAACTACGCTGAATTGTATCGAGCGCGGGCGATTTGCGGGAAGCGGGATTCCTTTGAATCTAATTCTTTCAAGATGGAGGAGACTGCGGACGAGCGCGGAGGAGTTTCCGTCCCAAGTCCTCCGCATCCTGCGCCTCGACGATGACCTTCCCCTCTTCGCCTCCCGCCGCCGGGCCGGATTTCGCCAGCTCGATCATGGCGATGGCCAGCTCCTCCACGCGCAGGGTGTGCGGCAAGACGAAGCCGGTGAGGAAGCGGGACGCCCAGGTGGGGTTCCTCGGATGGATGCCGCAGGGTCGGACGGTGATGCTCTCGAAGGAGCCCCCGCTCCGGCGCGCGATGTCGAAGAGGAGGTTTTCGGCACAGCCCTGTGTGTGTCGGCTCTTGTGTCAGTCCAGGTTTGTTTTTCATCCACACTCCGCCATTCTGTCGATGGCGATCGACCAAGGGTTTCGGGCGGCCGACAACAGATACGTCTCTCTCTATATATATATATATGTGTGCATACCTTAGCGCGTCGCGTGGGACCCATGATCCAGAGGTTTTTGCAATACGTCAATTCGGAGGCATGGCCGCTGCAGAACACGAAGCGGAACTTGCTCCCCTCTACCTCGGTCCCCTCTCGGCGTCGGGCCTGCTGGGCGGCCGCGAAGTTTTGGGCAAAGGCCCGCGCCGCAGCGACGGTGTAGTCGACGGTGACCCGAAGGTATTCCTCCATGGTCGGCCAGCGCGACGTCTGGGTGTGACGGCCGCCGATGCACCTGTGGGGGGTTTTTTCCCCTTTCTTTTAGGTTTTTGGTTTGGTGGGTTGGATGGGGATGACATACCAAATACAAGCCCGGGCGTTCTTGAGAGCGCTCAGCAAGTCCGCATCCTCATCGCCACGGTCGTAACGGAGCCAGTCGTGTCGGAGGATGACGGACAATTTGTCGGATGCGCTCACCGGCGCGAGAGACGAGTCCAGAAGAGGCCGTCGCGTCAGGACGTGGATCTTGGAGATGTGGGGGTCCTCGAGGCAGAGGCGTAAGACTTCGGATCCGACGTAGCCCGTCGCGCCGACGACGATGATCTCCATTGTCGTCGTCGTCGGTGGTGGTGATGGTGGTGATGGCGGTGGTGGTTTCGTCTACATCCGGCAGAGGGGGGAAGCGAGCGAGCGTGGAGAAGGTGGTTCGTCAGCCCGTGTCGCGCCGCTAAACCTAATCAGTTTCAGAAGATCACAGGGCATTCCCTCCGCAAATGGAGAGAAGGTGTCATTTTGCAAGGAGAGAAAATCTGGACAAGTTCAGCCGTGAAATAAAATATCCTACAAGGAAACGAGGTTTGTTCTCCTCGTTCCACCTTTAAAGCTTTCGTTCCTTTCCTCTCCCTTCCCTTCCCTTCCTTCCATTTCATTGCCTCATTGTCAGGGTGGGGGGAGGGGAAGATCCAGAAGGCAAAGGGGGAGGTTCGTCGCCGCATATCCGAGACCATTTCCCATCTCCAAAGGTTTTATTGCCGAGATCAAAACTCCCCTTTCCGACAGATGACGCCCAAGCCTAGCACCACAGCCTCTCCTTTCCTCTCGAAACCTCAACTTTCTTCTCCCATCACAGAATTCCCATTCCACAGAACCCCATCACACAGAGTCCCAAACCCCCGGATACTCCATTACATTCCGTCCCGTTCATCGACCCTCATCAAGAAACTCCCTCCGCGACCGCGCCGACAACGTAAGCCAGCGCCACCGCGCCGACGCCGACGCTCGCTGACCAGAGCAGGACAGCTGTGACACGGCTGCGGCGGCGATGATGGCGGCGGCGGTGGTGGGAAGTCCGCGGACGATGCCGGTGGCGGCGGCGGTCGCGGAAGGGGTTATTCCTGTCCTCGCGCTCGCTGGCTTGAAGGTTGTAGTTTTCGCCGTTGACGTTGACGGAAGGCTGCTCACTGTGGGGAGGAAATCCATCGTAAGCTGGGGTTCGCATACGGCATTGTATATTATGGGTGTGCGACGGCCCTTTTCTCGGAGTGGCAGAAAAGGAGGAGGCCGATCTCGAGGATGCAGGCGGAACAGCGGCGGGAGCGAACACATGACTCTCGTCGTTCGACCCGGTGCTGGGGACCCTCGGGGGAGAATATGGAGATGAAGGTGGAGGTGAATTATGGGAGGGAGGTAGGTTCGAAGAACGGTGGTTAGAACTCACAGGACCGCGTCCGAAGAAGGACTTGAGGGAGAAAGCCGAGGTCGGGGTGGAGCGGGGTTTGGTGGTTTGCTGGACAGATGCGCTGGCCGATGAAGTAGAAGACGCTGGAGTCGACAAGGCGACCCAATCCCTTCCGACGGCGACGACGTTCAGGCCCTTTTCCTTGGTGAGATGGTTGAGGTGGGCTTCGAAGACTTGAGGGTTCTCTAGTCGGGCGAGATCCGGGGGGCCTTGTTCGAGATGTTCGTCCTCGGCGCCCATGAAGGATGAGAAGGTCTCGGCGACTTCGACTTTGCCGCGGGAAGCATCGTATGCCAGGATGGTGTACCTGGGTGGAGGAGCCACACGCTGGGCGGCGATGCGGGCGGCCACAGGAGAGGTTTCGTAGTCGTTGAGGGCCGCGGCAGGATGGTGCTCGCTGTCGTGAGCAGAGGCGTCGTGGTGATCGGGAGTCACAAAGGCGGATGCGGGTTCCGAAGTGAAGGGGCGGGCAAACCGGGACTCTTCATGAGCTGGTAGGAAAGAGCTGTGTTGCTCTTGATGCTCCTCGTAGTATTTCGAATCATCACGGACGATCTCAGAAGCGGTGGTGGCAGGATCGAACGCCGATGCCGATTGATTGTGCTTGGCAAGCTCACTGGTGAGGTAAGAGCGATCGCGGGACTCGGACGTCGCAGGCGTTCGTGCGTTCTCAGCATGGAAGCGAGACTCAGCAGAGGAGCCAGAAGGATATTGGCCGACGAGCTTCGAAAGACGAGCATCATCAGGGAGACGGTAGTCCTGGTCTCGAGATGGTGTGGTCTGCTCCTGAACGATCTCTCGCGACAGCGCATCAGGACCAAACGCGGAAGTAGGTCGGGAAGTGTGACGGGTGAGCTGCTCTTCGAGGTGACGTTGAGCACGGGCATCTGACGTGACCGGTGTCGAATACTGTTCCTCCTCCCAAGCCTTTTGCGCCGCCGCAGAGTCGGAGGTTCTTTGAGGGAACTTACCAAGCAGACCCGCGAGGCGCTCGTCATCGGGAAGCCTTTCGTGAGCTTGTTGAGGCGCACCTGGTGCTCCAGTCTCGCGGTGGATCTCCTCGGCAGTCTGTCGTGGGTCGAATCGTCGGGGAGCATTCCCGCCGAACCTCGTCAATTCGCCCTCGAGCTGACTGCGACTGTGGCTTTCTGGCGTGACGGGATCGACGCCGTTCTCCTGCTCCCATGCCCTCTGTGCGGCAGCAGAGTCGGATGTCCGTTGTGGGAATTTGCCGACCAAGCGAGCCAGGCGGTCGTCATCCGGAAGGGCGGGGCTCTGGTATGCAGACGCATACTCCTCGTGAGCGGCGCGCTCCTCACGTGCAATGCGGGCGGCGGTATCCTTCGGATCAAATTTGCCACCGGCAGCCTCGGGAGAATAGTATTTCCCTGGGGCGCCAGCGGTAGAGAAACGCTTCAACTCATCATCGAGACGCTTCCGCTCTTCGGTAGTGTGAGCTGCCGAGAATGCATTGACAGCAGCATGTTCCTCCTGAACCAGCTGGTCGACCATATCTTGAGGATTGAAACGGTCGTTGGCAGAAGGGTATCGCTTGGATCGACGTTCAAACTCGTCCAAAGCCTCTTCCTGTCGGAGCTTCTCGTGTCGTGAGTCCGGCGAGGCGTAGTACTCGTCTGTCGCGGCGTCCTCATCACGTGCGATGCGAGCCGCAGTTTCAGCGGGATCGAACCGTTGCCCGCCAGAGACGCCACCAGGTGCCCTCGATGACTTGTTGTCAAAGTCGGCCAGTGAGCTGCCTAAGCTTCGGTTGAGATCTGCGTTGGGAGCGCCCGAGCTGCGGTAGGACGGCGGAGCCGGAGCACGGTAGGCGGCAGGTTTGGTGTAGATATGTTGCACAGGCGGTTGCGATTCGGGGTATTGGTGGCCATACTGATCGGTGTATTGTTTCTGGAGACGTGCGATCTGTGAGAGAAGCTCGCTGCGAGATTGCCCCTGCTGCGATTGCTGCGCCTCCGTCCGTGAGTTGCCGATCGTCGGGAGCTTCTTGAAGAGACTACCGATGATTCCACCTTTGTCATTCCCGTCGCCGTCGCCACCGTTTCCAGCAGCGCCACCGGCAGCTGATCCAGCTGAACTTGCAGCACCGGAACCAGCACCAGCACCAGGGGTCCTGGCTCTGGCGGCCAGTCTCGTCTTCAGTCCCTGACCCATCTCTCGCTCCCTCAGGAGAACACTTCCCACTTCCAGACGTGCCTTTTCGAGTTCCATGGCGCTCCGGCGGGCGGCGTCCTCGAGACATTTGATCCGCTCCTGCGCTGCGAGACCCTCTGCGTACTCATCTTCCGCAGACGCAGGTGCGCCTACGGACGCGACACCGCTGGCCTTCGAGGAGTAGTCATCCTGTTGCAGGAAACGAGCATCGCGAGCAGCACGTTTGGCGGCCTCGAGGGCTGCCTGGTCGGAAGCCTTGCGGACCTCGGCGGCAGCGCGACGGGCATGCAGAGCGGCGACAGTGGGGGTCGCCGAGACGCTGGCCGATGAGGTGGATGTCGATGTGGCATGATCGTCTGCGAGACGAAGTTTCTCCAATTCCCGCGAAAGGGCGAGATCGTCGACAGCTTCATCCCAACCTGTGCGCTTGGGAGAATGAATGGCACTTGCAGCATTCTTGGCGTTGACTTCAGCGCCGAGTGTGTCGAGCAGGACATCCAGAGGATTGAAGTTGTCCTTGAGGGTGGCAGGCTTGGGAGATCTACGACGGCCGTTTGGTGGGGAGGGGGAGATTTTCCTGCGAAGTGCCGGATTCGATGTGTCAGCTGCACGGCCTCGGATGTTGTACAGATGAAGGTCCTGCTCGAATTCGGTGGAGATGGCGGGTTCGTCCGAGGACTGTCTCGTTGCGTCCATCGATTTGGCCAACCGTTCGACGGATTCTCCGCTCTGGACGTTCGCCAATGCATCGACTTGCGCCTTCTGTGCAGGTTCCACCGATCCGGGTTGAGTCGCGCTCGCCGTCGAGTCCTGGGATCCGCCCTCTTTGTCCTTCTTCAGAGCAAGGACGTCCACCATCCGGTTGGAGATGGGATCATACTCGAAAACGCGAGTCTCGCCCGAATCCGAGTCCCACTCGGCACGACGGGCCTTGTTCGTCCATGAATCCCAGCTGGTCGATTTGGCGGCGGCGTACGAGTAAGTGGAGAGCTGACCGTTGGGTGAATCCTCCACCGCGGAGTCGGCCGAGGCGTTTGGCTTGGATGCGACGGAGAACGATCGACGGTCTGAGCGACCACGTTCGAGGCCGGCTGCGTCTCGCGCGACACTGGCGGCAGCATCGCGCAGCAGCTGCAGACGTCGCTGTGCGCGTTCTTGCTCGCGAGGTTCGGAAGATGACGTGGAAGTGGCCACGGCAGCCTCATCGCGTAGCCATGATGGCATCAGGGCATTCCACAAGGGCTCGGCGCGCTTGCCAAACACGGCCTCGTAAGGGTCTTCCGCAACACTGCGGCGCAGAGCTGCCATTTGTGACTTCCGGGCCTGCTCGTGATGTGACGCCTTGAAGCCATCGGTCGTCTGGTTGGACTGTTTCGCGAACTCACTTGCCGGTTGCGAGGCGAGGTTTGCAGCTTCGGCAGCTTTGCCGCGATCGTTGTTGTTGTTGTTCGCCCAATGGCTCGCGGGCCGCTGGTGGAGTCGATGAGCGACAGCCTGGTGACGAGCCCGACGGCTCTCGATTGAATTTGAGCTCGGGTGAGAGGTGATGGTGGTGGTGGTGGTAGCGGTGACGGCGGCGGCGTGATGAGAGAGACACAACGTCCTGATATGATTCCGAGTCGAGGCAGGACATGAGCGGAGATGTGAGGCGGAGGTCATGGAAGCTACCGAGAGGGCCGAAAGGGAGAGGGACCGTCGCCGGGCGGATTGATGAAGGGTCTGTGGTGGAAGCATGATGAAGGTGTGATGAGGTGAGTCGTCGAGGAGGACGGGTGATGGGTGATGGTTGGAGGAGGTCGTTGTCGCTATCGGCTCATTGGTGGAGAGGAGTGACGGGGTCGATGGAAGGCGATTCGCTGTGGGTGATATTGGAATACCGGAAGATGCGGGATATATGCTGGTTACAAGACTACTCAATGAAGGTGTCTATACTGGAGGTGGAGGAAATGGATAATTATGATGATGGTAGGAGGAGGAGGAGGAAGTGGTCAAGATGTCGTGGCGTTGTATGGAAAAGTTTCCCTCTGTCCGGTGAGGCGAAGTAGTGTCGTAGAAGAAGACCAATGGAGCAAAAGGTGGAGTACTCTATGGAAGGCGACGACGACGGCGTTAATGATGATGATGATGATGATGATGATGATGATGATGATGATACACGACTGGCTTTTAGATGCTCCGATGAGTGAGAGAAGAGCAGAGGCGGAGATGGAGGAGAAGAGCAGAGACAGAGACGGTGGTGAATTGCTGGATGCTTTCTCTCTTTCCCTCTCGCGGAATGGAAATCGGGTTTCCCTCGAAAGTTGGTGGTGATGATGCCCGCCCGTTGATGAGTGTGCGCTTTTGGTGACGTAATCCTGGCGAGGCGGCAGGGCACGGTAGGGTTTCGACGTATTGGGTGGTGGAGGAGGAGGAAGAGGGCACGAGACACGCACAATCCCAAATAACTCTCTCTCTCTCAGCTTTCTTTCTCTCGCGCGTGTCTCTGACAGCGATGGAAAGAATTGAAGGATGCGGAAAGAGAAGAAGAAGAAGGAGAAGAAGCGGAAGACGAAAGGTCAAGAATGGGTGTGCTGTGGTGTGGTAAATGTGTGTGTGAGAGAGAGAGAGAAAGAGTAAAGAGGCGACCAGTCCGTGCCAGCCAGCCAGCCAACCAGCCCTGTCGGTCTCTTCTGTCCCTACACTGTGTGACTGTCGACAGTATCACTGATCATCATTCCGCCCTCCGTCCGGCGGGCGTATTTCACAGTAGCCAGGATTGGAGCCGCGGATGTTCGTGTCCAGTCCAGTCCGGGCGACACCTTCTGTTTCCCATCCATTGCCTCCACCCGCGGCAGCAGACCAGGCGAGATGCGGCGAGATTCCATGGTACGCTCCTCCTCCTCCTCCTCCACCACCTCCGACCCGAACGAACATCCCTTGATTCTCTTTCCCTCGAAACCTGTTTGCCTTTTTTGTCCCACAGCGCGTGCCGTGGAATACCATCGCTGTACATTACCGCACGACGTGTGTATAGTTTTCCATTCCCGCATCGTGAATGTCACTTTCATCTTAGCTGTATCGCTTGCTCACACTTCGACGTGGTGTTTCCATCCGAAGAGTCGAAGAGTAGAGTAGAGTAGACAGGAGCAGAGGGGGATTCGGCTCGGTCCGGGTGATGGGAATCCTAGTTGTGTGTCTGTGTGAGAGAGATGGGAGGTGGGAGATGCACCGTTCGCCTCACCTGCATTGACTTTCCCTTCTCCTCCACCTCGGGCCAACGGTTCAGATGGATGGAATGGATTGGATGGAGGGAATGAGTGTGATCATGAGACGGTCCTGGCTAGGGCTCCAGGGCTGGCTAGCCAGACTGACTGCCTAGGTGGCTCGCCTTCCACAACATGTACAGGACAATGCAGGAGAAATGATCGTAATGATAATGGTAATAAATGAATAAATTAATGCATAATTCCCTCGCGTCGAATTCCACGCACCAGTTACTATCAGGGAGAAAGCGAGCCTCCTCCATCGGCACCCATCGTAGGGAGAGACACAATTCTCAAACGGACATCGATCGAATGGATCATCAGGGGACAGAGCGAAGAAGTCCGAGTGTGTAGTCTCACAACAACGCATCGAGGAAGAACACGTGCGACTCCTCTTTTTCCGCGATCGAGGCTTCCGACCTGCACTAAAATCATGTCTCCCTAGTGTACATACTAGATATACTTCTACTGTGCAGCGTAGGATTATGGCTACTGTATCATCACGGACTACTGCAGGTGTACCTGAGAGTATGCAGACGGTAAAAACTGTTCCGCGAAGAAAGGTATAGTCTAGTATCTATCCAGCAGAGAGGTGCACGAAAACAAACCGGCCGAGAGAGAGGATTTCGCTCGGGAGGTGGAAAAGAGGACAGGATCCTTTCGGGAGGGTAAACCTAGGTAGGTAGTAAGAGGAAACTCATAATTATTATGATTATTGTGACTGATGGATACAGGCAATGTCTATCTACCATACGCACCTACAGGCCAATCTTTCTGATTGCATCCCTACCATGTATATGAGAAGAGTCGAGGATACTCCCGATCAATAATAATCAATCTCCCATCTTCAAAGAAAGCCGACAGTAGGTAGGATCCCACACGAGCTCGATAGAGACAAGGCAGGGAATGGGCCGAGCCAGTGGGACGGAATGTGGAGGAGGCAAAGAGGAGAGAAAGGATGGAGGCAAGACCGACAGACCAGACCCACCAAATGCTGGACTGGACGAGGCGGAGAAGAGCATGATTGCATGTGATGGGTGAGCTCTCTTTCGTCGGCCGGGCCCGAGTCGGGCTTAGGGTTGTCACCATGCTTCGACGACAACTTTATGAGAGAGAGAGTATATGTAATGAGTGGTCATTGTGGCTCTTTCCAAAGACTACGGCTTCGGCAGTGTAGTACCTAGGTAGATATCCATTATCCGGTGAGCAGGGTTACGAAATAGTAGCAGTATACATCAGCAGTGATATTCAAGAAAGGTAGGCGGCATGGTCACATATATCGTAGACTGTCAGCATTCACGACATGGTTGTCGGCAATCGTTTGAGGGAGACTTGATTCCATAGTTAAGTTGAAAGCACCATCCTACAGCATCACGTGAGCGTCTCCTCAATTCATCCATCGACTATCCTACCTATAATTGAACTCCAGCGAATACCTTTTTCCAACCAACGTCAACGCAGTGTGTGGGACTGTCATCCTCCTCATTGCACAGTCGGAGAGAGAAAGGCGGGGATATGCTCCGAAAGCCGACAGGACTTCCTCCCCGGAGATAGATCTTCTTAACTCCGACCACGCCGAACATTGGATGATGACATACCTGGGTATAATGGGATGGGGGTTCGTCCGAGTGGCACCAATGGCCGATATATGGAGCGAGGATCCCTTCCCTTCACTATAAAGACGATATCAATTGTCAGAGAGGTGATACGATCATCGGAACGAGCCCAGTTCAACCACCTACACTTGCCAGCAAGAGGGTCAGTGATTCTCGTGGCTTCGACGTGCTCACGTCCCAAGGTCGCACTTTAGATATTTGGCAATTCGAGACTTCAAGCCGGCCATCGCTTCGACTTGAGAGGGTCTTTCGCAGTCATTTCAGGCACGAAGTCCGGACCAGATCTCCAGCTCGGAGTCAATCTCAACCCTCACCGACAAGAACAGAAGGGGAAGGAGAAAGAAAAAATGCCATCCTCACCAACAGCGACAACAACATCCATATCCGCAACATCCATCCTCCTCCTCGGCGCCACCGGCGAACTCGGCTCCTCCGTCCTCGACTCCCTCCTAGCCCAGACGGATTCCAACCCAGCAATCTCCATCACCGCCGTCCTCCGCCCACCGAGCTCAACCAACAGCACCACGTCAACCACGACCCTCCGAAAGCTCCGATCCCTGCCCCTGCACCTGCACCACGTCGACGCCGCCGCCCTCCCCCCCGCCGCTCTGGCATCGCTCTTCGGCCCCTACGATGCCGTAATCTCCTGCCTGGGCTTCTCCGCCGGGCCCGGGACGCAGCTCCGCATCGCGCAGGCCGCGCTGGACGCCCGCGTGCGACGCTTCCTCCCGTGGCAGTTCGGCGTGGACTACGATGCGATCCCCGCGGGCAGCGGACAGGAGCTCTTCGACGAGCAGAGGGCGGTGCGGGCGTTGCTGAGGCGGGAGGCGGAGGGCAAGGGCGTGCGCTGGACGATCGTGAGCACGGGCATCTTCATGGGCTTCGTCTTCGAGGAGGCTTTTGGTGTCGTGTCGGGTCTGAGGGTTCGCGCGCATCCCCTCGGAGACGGGGATGGGGATCCTCCCCCTCGGGGTGATGATGAGGAGGAGTCCTCGACCGATGTTTCCGACGATCCCGCGAGGGGGAAAGTCATCGCGGTGCGGGCCCTGGGTGCATGGCACCACGGTCTCACGGCGACGAGCGTGGAGGACATCGGGCGATTGACCGCGTCGATCATCCTCGACACCTCCTTGAATCATCAAAGCGGGATCGTGTATCTCTGCGGCGAGACGTTCACATATTCCCAGCTGGCGGATCTCATCCGAGCGAAGTTCGAGTCGTCGGAGAAGAAGAAGGTGGAGGTCAAGAGGGAGTTGTGGACCCGAGATTTCCTCCGGGAGGAATTGGGGAGGTCCCCGGAGGATGTGATGCGGAAGTATCGCGTGGCGTTCGCGGCCAATCGGGGAGTCTCGTGGGAGAAGGAAAGGACGTATCATGCGCAGAGGAGCATCGGCGTCATGGGTCTAGAGGAGTGGATGAAGAAGAACGTTGTGGTTGGTTGATTAGTTGATTGGTGGTGCGGAGATCCCGGTGAGTATGTCTTGGAAAGGGAGAAAGAGAAAGAGGGAAATGGAGGGTGGGAGAGAGGGAGAGAGCCTCCCAATAGAAAGAGGAGAAGAAAAATTAGATCAAAGAAAGGGTGTCGTGCTTGACCCTCGATCTACTCGATATCAAACAAGACCCTGACCCGCCGATGACGTCCGAGTAGGATGTCCTTGATGATCCAAGTCTCGACCACTCTGTTCAGGAAAGCATCGCCGATCAGAAGCCACCGTCGATCCTCGCACTGTCTCAAGACAAAAGGGACCGGCGCCGCGCTCAAAAGCACGACGGAATCGCCCTCTCGAACATGAGTAGGGAACATGCCGTAGAATCCGTTCGCCGTCGTGCCGAAGCGTCGGTTGAGACCCGCAAAGGCCATCCTCTTGAGAAACCCGTCATCCGTCGCATCCATAACGTCGGCGCCTGCCGTGCCGCCCGAAGGACGGCAGAACGTGCGGAAGTCTTCCAACACCCGATGGTGATCGTCGGGCGAGATCGGCTCGTTATGTTCATCGACCCCACAAGTCAGCGTCAGGGCGAACCGGACGTCCCGCGCGGCTGTGTCGGCGGAGCGATGTCCGGTCGGATTCTCCATCTCATAGACGCGATCGGCGTCGGCCGCCCAGCCCCGCATCACGGTGATGTGCTCTCGCAGCTGTTGACCGTCCTCTAAAAGGGCCTTTGTGAGTCTCGGGCCGAGGCGAAACACGCGTCCGACGACCTGGCCCGGCACGCGCAAGAGCTCCGGGGCGTGGAGACGGTCCAGGTTGAACCGGACTGGGAACAATATTCGCGCCGACTCGCGGACGCTGTATCGGATCGCGAAATGCTCGTGCTGCCGGTTGTTGGACGTGAAGAGCTTCGTGCGATCGTCAATCGCGGAATTGGTGGTTTGATCGAAGCGGGGGACCCACGACGGTTGGCGCGATCGAGCAAGAGCAGGATCTTGTTCCGGAACGAACCGACATTCGCGCAAGAGACCCAACGTGCCTGATTCATACAAAGCGATCCGCGACGCGTCTCGGTAGATGTCTGCCATCGAGCGGGTGTAGTCAGGAACGAAGGGAAGTGCGGTCAACGATCCGCTCATCCAGTGAAGTTTGAGTCCCAGCATCCCATAGATCTTGTCCCGCGGGTCTGTGCTGTCGAAATGCAGGCCCATCAAGAGCAGCGGCTCGAGTTTATAGACCACGACGTTCGCCATGCAGTCGAACATGGTGGCGGCATTGGCGATCCCTCTCGGCTCGTAGCCGATGTGATTGACCAGATCGGGGCGTCTGTGGGTCATCCACCGCGCAGCAAGAGCCAGATCGAAGAAGCGGAAGCGATGCTGTCCAACATAGGCCACGGCAGTCTCCGCGAGGAGGGCTTCCTGAACTACCCAAAGACGGGTGAACCATGCTCTCCCGTAAAGCGCTTCGATGGCCGACCAGTCACACCCTGCGGGGAGCAAATCTACACTGGCCCGTGGCGATCCGCGTCGATAGTGAGATCCTCGAGTGAGTCGATATAGATCAGAGAGGCCCTTGGTTGAGTCTTTACACTGTTGAACAATGAGTCGCACAGATTCCACAGAGGCGTGCGTCGACTGGTCAGGCTCGCCTAGCCAGATCAGCGTTCTGACGGCCGCTCGATAGATGAGACCCATCATGGCCACCTGGGAGTTTCGTTCAGCTACGTTGTGTTGGTCGATGCATATCGCGTCGAGCCAAATCCGAACACGCCCATCATCAGAAGTGGGCGAATACACCGGTTTCTGATAGGCGTAGCCGGGACTAAAGCGAAATTGCTTCTGCTTGTTTGAATTGCGCTCTCGATACCCGATTCGCCCCACTTCGTCCTTTGTTCGTCGGTAGAGACACCGAAGAGCCTGCTCTGAATTATATGGGATCTGTACGAGCTGCCCATCGAGCTTGATCGTAGCGAGCCGTGAAGCATCGCCCCACACGTATGATACAGCGTAGTAGCTCGGTCGAATCCAGGCCGTGAGCGAAATGCGCTCTACCGTGCACTCCAGTGGAGTTGGCTCAGCGGGTGCCGTAGGATTATTGACATCGATGGAGAGTACGCGAATTTCTCGCCTCTTGGGGTTGAGCGGGCGATACTGGTAGCGGGTAGACATCTCGGCCCCATGTCGGCTCGCGTCGATATCGCTCATGTCAATGTTTCCCACCGCGCGACGTCTCTCATCCCGAGATCGTGCTCGCGATACGTTTCAGGACCGCTCGGTGGGAGAAGACAATTAGACATGATAGACCTGGGGAGAATGTCATATATTCAGCCAATGGTGGCTGACGATACAATATGTGGCTGCGCCTGCTTGAAGTCGCGCGTCTGGGTTCAGCCGACATGTGAGGTCGAGTAGAGGGTCAGGACAGCGGGCGGCTTCGCCAATTCCAGATATTCTCTACGCTTATTGTCGGTTATGTCACTTTTATATTACTACATGGTCGCTCAGGTATGTACCTAGGACGGCTCGCTCGATGCCTCATCTGAGCTCCGAGAACCATCGCTTAATGGCTACCGATTGCGTGTGTTTGGCGACGCATATGGAGAATCGTTGCTGTTACCCCCTGATCGATCAACTGCATTACGGATGATGAAATATCGCCATTCCAGAAGATTGTTGCGATGGCATTCACTTGATCAGAGGACAGTCTCCTGCGAGGCGATTCCTTGTCCGAAGCATCAGAGACGAGGGATTCGATCTTCACCTCTGAGACGCAGCGAGGGGCCGACTGAAAGAGGGAGAGGGAGAGGACAGACATACACTGCCGTCGCAAGCGGTGCCGGGAGTGAAGGAGATAAGTCTCTCGACCAACGTATAGCAATGCGAGTAGATTAATTCCGGGACACCATCCCATCTCCTCGCCAGATATGCATCATCATCATCATCATCATCATCATCATCATCATCATCATCATCATCATCATAAATTTCGTCGCGATCATTCGTCATGGAGAATTCCATATTTTACAACCCCACCGCCCTCCGAATCTCTTCTCCGCTCGCCTTCCGCTCCCATCGTCTCCATCGAAATAACCCATTCACCCCTCCACCAGGCCCTCGGGCGTGCCCACCATCCCCACGCCCACGCCGCGGATCAAAACCAGGGTATTCCCATCCCTCACCTTCGCCTCCTCCAGCGTCTCGCCGAAAGCGAGCAGGCGGCCGCCCTCGACCCAGAACACCCTCAAACGCTCCTCCTCGCCTTCGACGCGATTGTTCAGATTCTCGACCTGCAGGCTCTTGGCCGCGGCGTCGAGGATGCGGCCGATCCGCCAGGTGCGGGCGTAGAAGAATGTGTCTTTCCGAGGCTGCTTGCTGTCGGAGCTGGCGCTGGCTTCGATGTAGAGGTGGATGCGTTGGTCCGGGGGGGTCTTGGGGTCGCCTTTGGCGCTGCGTTTGAGCGCCTGGGTGGCGGCTAGGGCGGCGGCGGCGGATTGTTTGGTTTTGGACTGCGGGAGGAACGAGGACGCTGATAGGGTCGACGAGGATGATGTGGTCTGCTTCGAAGAAGGGGCCGATGATGAAGAAGAGGCGGTGGAGGATTTCTTGCTGGCGCCCCAGAGGCGGAGCTTCTCCAACGCGGCCAGACCGCGCTCTTTTTGTGTCATGACCCCTCCTCCGCCCGCGGCCTTCTTCCCCAGAGGTTCCAGTTTCGCGCAGTCGTGGTCCTGTCCGAAGCGGTGTTTCAAGCAGTAATCCCGTCGGCAGGTATCGCAATGCACGCCGGTCACCAGCGCGGTGTGGATGAGCGTCTTACACGCAGGCTGCGCACATTGGCTCTCATGGTGGAGGATATGCGGTTTCGGGACCACCGGTGTCCTCGTTGTCGCACCACCGCCGCCGCCGCCACGAGCGGCTTCTTCCCGTTCCCGTCGCTGTCGTGCCCATGCGCCGGCCTGGGTGCAGGAATGTGCCGTCTCGCTGCGGTGGTCGAGGCAGAAATTGCCCCGGCAGGATTCGCAGCGGAAGGGGAGGAAGTCGAGTTGGTGGCAGAAGGGCATCTGGCAGTGCGCGCCGATGGCTTCGACGTCGGCGGAAGACATGCTGGTGTAGGATGTGTTGGGCGTGTCTTTGTTTGTGGTGGAGGTTGGGTCGGGCATGATGACGGCCGGCGGTGGGGATGTCGGAGGGCTTTATTTTATATATGGAGACTTGGGTGGACCGCGTGAAGGCTGGGCCGGCTGACCACGACGGGCGGTGAAATGAGTGTGGCGGCGCAAACGGACGGGTGTCGTGGCGGCGTGAGTGAATGAATGAATGTGTGTCTTGCGTGGCACGCGACTGCCTTGTGGAGAGAGAGACCGTTAACGCCGAGAGAGAGAGAGACGTGACGTTGGCGTTGGCGTTGGCTGGGCCTGAAATTAATCATCAACCCATCAATTCAGGGCAACGAAATTCCACAGGGCTGAATTTACTAGGTACTACTGCGCCTTCGCCGAAGCTTCTAGTCTTCGATCTTATCAATTCGTGAGAATAATTACAGCATCAGGGTCGTTTAATAATAGGAAGCACAGCAGACATTGGCCTTCAACACGCTACATCTCGCGCAGCGTGTGTGATCTATATTCCACAATTTAAAACCACCTGGGCGTGAACGAAGATTTCCACCTCTTCCCGCGAGATGCATACAGAGAGAGGGAAGTCAAGCACCACAGTCGCGATGGAAAGGGAGAAGACGCGCAAGCAACACGAAAGACCCGAGGAACACCTTTCGCGCGAGAGGCATGTCAATGACAAAATGTGTAGGTTCGTTGTGAAGAAGGAAGAAAAGTGTCATTCATGTTATCATATTTATCTAAATAAAAAGAAGAAGAAAAAAGGTCCTTTTCAGTGGAGAAGAAGAAGAAAGGAAGAAAAGATGGAAAGCCAAGCGCGAAGAAACTCCCCCGGAAAAGAATTTCTCTATCCTATGGAGCAAAAACGAATCCGCTCCTCTAAAGAACGGGACGGGCTTCCCTCTCTCTCTCTCTCTAAAGGGAGATCGCCAGGTCCCAAGTGAAGCACTGCTTGACCTCCAGGGAGACGCCGTCGGCGGAGACGATGCCGGTGTTGGTGCCGACGAGGCTGACGTCGAGGAGGGAGTTGTACAGGGAGCAGTAGGTGCCCCAGGGCTCGCCGTTGCGGTGGAGGTAGACGGCGTTGAAGAACTTGGCGGTCTGGACCTTGACGGAGGCGGAGGCGGAGGCGCCGAGGCCGAGGTTCAGGAGGCCGCCGACCTGGGCGTTCACGCCGAGGCTGGCCGCCACGTTGAGGTTGATGCTGGACTGGGCGAGCGCGTAGTCGGCGCAGACTTGCGGGTTGTACGGGCCCGGGAAGAAGTAGCTGCTGAGGTGGTACTGGGGCGCGTCGACGGCCTTGCCGAGGCAGTTCTGCGGGTGGGTCCACGGGTGGCTCGGGGGCCGGGTGTAGCTCGGGGCGGAGTAGGTGGGGGCCGGGTAGCCGGCGGGCGAGGTCGTCGGGGTGGTGGTGATGGTGGCGGGAGGGGCGGCGGTGGAGGTGGTGATCACGGAGGTGGTGGTGGTGACGACGCCGGCGCTGGTGGTGGTGATGACGGTGGTGGAGGTGGTGGTGACGCTGGAGACGGTCGACAAGGTGGTCGGGGCGTCGGAGGTGGTCGACGAGGAGGTGGTGGACAGAGTCGCGGTGGAGGAGGATCCGGGCGCGGGGCCGGTCGGGTTGGGAGGGGTGGTGCCGTTGGTGCGGTCATATCCGTCCGAGCCGGTAATGACGACGTGGAAGTCGGCGCGGTATTGGCCGTTGTTCTTCGCGTTGGCCGCGGTGATGTAGGAACCCCACAGAGTGCACTTGAACGAGGTCATGGACGGCGGGTTGGGGCACTCGTAACCCCAGACGGTGAAGGCGGTGGAGTTGTCGCTGGCGCGGGAAGGAGCGAGGGACGGATCACGCTCGGCGAAGATGTTGAACGCGGTGCACAGCTTGGTGCAGTCACAGAGGGCAGCACACTGGGTAGCGTTGTAGGTCTCCAGGTTGTACTGGCCGAGGTAAGATTGAGCCTGGACGGACTTGTTCAAGTCCTGGAAGACCTGAACGTACGGGTTCCCGCTGGCATCCGCGTAGGACGGGATGACCGACGGAGCAGCCTTGGCAGCATCGTGGAGGACGGAGTAGTTGTAGAAGGCGGCGACGGTGTCGGGAGTAGGGACAGGTCCAAATCCGTCGGGCTGAGGTGCGCAAGGGTCAAGAGGGTTGATGAAACCACAATCGGTACCGGCCTCGGGCTGGGTTGGGCAAGGCTGGTTGGCGGTGGTGGTGGAGGTCGCGCTCAACGCCGGGTCGGTGGTGTAGCCGGTGGCCAAGGCAGCGTAGTACGGCTTACGGCCCTTGATGGGGCAGGTAGGACGCTGGTAAGCGGAGGTGGTGACGGTGGAAGCGACAGACGAGGTGGTAGCGGACGAGGTGGTGACCGGGGCCGCAGAGGTGGTGGTGGGAGGAACGACGGTGGTCGTAGGAGTGTCCACGGGGGTAGTGGTGGTGGTGGGAGTGACGACGACAGTGGTGGTGGGAGTGGTGGTAGTAGCGGTCGACGAGGTCGAGGTCGAGGTGGTAGGCACAACAGTGGTGGTAGGAGCGCTGGTGGTGGTCACGACAGTGGTGGTCTTGGTGCCGTAGGGGGGGAGGGAGGTCGGGAGAGGGGTGCAGAGCGGCACGGTGGGCAAGCAAGCCGGAGGAATGAACAAGTTGACCTTCAAACCCAAGTAGAAGATGGCGTTGGCGCCGAAGAGACCGCGAGTGCGCTTGACAAAGGCTTTCGCATCGAAGCCGAGGCCGATGAAAAGGGTGACGCTCTTGCCGCTGGTGAAATTGACGACGAGGTTACCGGTGGCGGCGACGTAGGCGAACGACTGGATGGTCTCGGCGAACTCGATCGCGTTACCGGTGCCGAAGCCGGTGATGGTGGCACCGAAGATGGGAGTGGTGGCATAGACACCGGCATCGAGGTGCAGGACAGCGGTGGCATCGGCAAAGAAGATGGTCTGGCCGGTGAAGGGGTTGATGCCCTTGGCCAAGTTGGCGGCAGTGCCGGCCTCGAGGAAGAGTGTAGCACCGAGACCGATGTGCCAGCAACCGCCGTTTCCGAGGACGTTCTGGACGTTGTGGAAGACGGTGTTGATGAGGCGGAAGGTACCGTTGTTGTAAAGGTTCACGGAAACACCAGCTGATGCCTTGGCGGCGGTGCGCCAGAAGAAGTTGGAACCGAGGTTTCCACCGTACTGCTCGTAGGAGATCAGACCGGAGTTGACCGCATCGAGGTCGGCAGTGATGTCAATGCTCGTGCCGAGACCGAGGTCGCCGCGGCCGCACAACTGCAGTGTGCCGAGATTGAGGAATGCGCGGAGCTTGAGGGAGAGGGAGGCAGCGGCCAAGCCAGTGACATCGTTGATCTGGAGGAGAGCTCCCACAGCGTTGACCAGGTTTCCGTTGTTGGCATCGTGACCGTCCCAGTTGCAGACCTGACCGCCGCCGCCGAGCAGGGAGGTCAGGAGGTAGCTGGTCTGGCTGATGACGATCCGTCCAGCGTTGTTGATGTTTCCGTAGATGTTGTGGCTCGACGCTCCGTTCAACCAGAGGGAGACACCGGCCAGCACGTTGGTGGTGAGGCCAGTGGAACCGAGGACGGCAGCCTTGGCGGAGATGACGGTGTCGGCGGAGATGATGGCATCGCGCTTGTGCACGTCAGCGCGCTTGGCGATGACCGACGGAGCATTGGTGGCCGCCGGCGCAGGGAAGGTAGTGATCAAGGAAGCAACTTGAATCGGGTTACCGGCGAGCCAGACGGGACCATCGGCGACGGTAGGAGCAGCATTGACCGCGGCATAGTCCAACTGCTGAGGCGAAGCAACCGCAACGGCAGCCAAAGCCGCGAGGGACAGCAGACGCTGCACCATGATTGCGAAGTGATTGTCGTCGAAGTCTTCACAAGCAGTGAAGTCGATCAACGGCGGTGATGTTGAGGAGGAGGAGGAGGAGGATGGTGGATGAGGGTGATAGAGGGATGATGTCGACAAGGGCCGGGGTCATCTCATGATATTTATCTTTGCTTTCTCACAAGCATGAAGCTTCGGATGGATTGAGACTGGCATCATCAAGCCTTGCAGGCGAGCTAGGGTGTGCGGTGCGTGTCGAGGACAGCAGTAGCGCGGTCCATCCACCATCCACCATCAGCCGATAGAGAGAGAGAGAGAGAGTGAGGGAGAGTCACTCACACTCACCCTTCGGCTTGGCTATGTTTTTCTCTTGGTGATACTCGGTCCACTTCACCTCATGCCACCACCACCACCAACGCCATCGCTACCACCCGTCAGCATCAAAACATGATCCCACCATCTCCAACATCACGGCGGTTTTCCCACCACCACCACCGCCGCCGCCCGAGACGCGAGGTTGATCACACCGTTCCAAAGCCACACATGCAAAAGAGTTCACGGGAGGGAGAGGATGGGTGGGTGGTGTGAGTGTGTGTGTGTCTGCCCGGGGAGAAGGCGGCCGGCCGAACAAGCCATTGACCACCATCCCAAAGCGGCAACGAGGTGAGGAAGAGACAACACGATCGCTGCTAGTCCCCAGTAGTAGCGCGAGACGTCCGGCAGTGGGAAAAGTCGCGAGCGGCGGCGGCGGCGGTGGTGGGAGTGGGCCAGAATGCGCGCGCGCGAGCTCGGACTCTTCGACGAGGCGGCGGCGATGCTGATGTGACGCGATGCGATGCGATTCGAATTACAGCCGGGGTGTGTACGTGCGCAGACCGTGTCTGGATGGGAAGGATGGGTAGTAGATTTTCGCGGCTTGCCTGCTTTGTCAGACTCAGACCTATCTCTCCCCCCTGCTCTGCTCTGCTCTGCTCTGCTCTGCTCTGCCCACTGTACGTACATCCATTTGCATGTAACAACGCAGCAGGAATACATACGTGCATGCATGCGTGCACGCTGTCCGGTATAGGGCATGATGGAGAGAAAGATGCCGTCGATAGTGTGTCCATACTTAGAGACACCCACCCACCCACACACACATTTCTCCGACACACGCACGATACAGCAGAACACGAGGTCTCCCGAAACCTTAGAAAGGGCCGAGAGATAGATAGAGAGAGGGAGAGAGAGAGAGAGAAAAAGGGGTGTGAGACATGAATTTGCGGGGCTAAACTTTCTTCGGCTCTCCCTCTCTCTCTCTCCAATCCAGCGGACCCGGCGGAAAACTTTGCTCTTGCGACGAACGCGATGGGAGAGATGCACTCCGGTGTGTGCGTGCGTGTGTGTGTGTACGTACGTGCGATGACGGCCAGGCCTGGATGCCTTGGTGTCTCTGCCATGACTCATCCGTGCAGAACATCGTGTCGCGTCGTGTGTATGGGTTCTTGCGCAGAGTGGACAGCATCTCCATCCATCCATCAATCAATCATCCGTCATCTATCCTGCGCATCACTCAAAATCGCTCACTGACATTCGAGAGCTGCCGCCTCATCCATCGCCGGAAAGACACACACACACACACACCGTCACTTCCCTCCATCTCGCGAAAAAAGGGTATCCGGCGACATGTGAATCATGCGATCCGGCAAGCCACCGTGCAACGCGAAATAGATAGAGGGAGTGAGTGGGTACGATGTAAATATGCGAAGTGTTATTATGTTATTATTATCCAGCCACAGTCCGAAGAGAGAAGGGGCCATACATAGAACGACCCGCATCGACAGGTGGAGATGAATCATCCCATATCATCCACGACACCCCCCAGAACTCCTCCTCATCCTCCCACCGCTCGCTTCCCTGCTCGACCGGCGGCTCCGGGAACGGAAGTTGAGCAGGGAGAGAAGAAAAAGGTAGATTTTTCGCACATGGAAGCAACGTGCGGCCGCGGCGGCGATAAGGGCAAGCTGTAGGGACTGTGTGCATGCATGTACGTACGTATGTATGGGTTTGTGTGTATGGATATGCATCATCGCGCGAAGTCCCCGGCATCGATCAGCAAATGCGGTCCTAAACCTTGTCGTCCATGTCCCGGCGCGAACGTGCTGCTGCTACGGTATGATTCCGGGAGAGTCGGCATGGATGATCGCAATGTTTCGTATGTTTACTATTCCCAGACACGGCACGCTTTGCGGCGGATGGGATGGATCGATGGAGGACGTTGGGAGCATTGCGCAAGCATGGGTACGGCCGTGCGGTGTGGGTGTGGTGGGAAGGGAAGGAAAGAGATCTACAGCGGCGGGCGGCGGCGGCGTTTGTGAATGTATACTGTATACTGCGCTGTACCCGTGGACTGTGGTAGTGGACGTTGGCGGACGATCGTGACTTCTTGTTTTCCCACTATCGGACAGCGTCCGGTGTGTACAATAATAGTATATCTCTCCTCCACCTCTTCCTCTCCTTTCCCACATAGTCTTCCTTTCCTGCCTGGTTTTGACGGGATCGATGATAAGCGAGGAGAGGTCCGTCGGTGGCATTTCCGTGCGCGTCGGGAGGGGGAGATGAGGTGGGCTGATGATCCGTGATGGTTGCAACATGTGGATGGCGAGACCACAGGACGCACAAAAAGGATTCCAAGGATTGTCTCGCACTTGGGGAAAACAAGCCCTTGGGAAAGGGAAGGCGCGCGCACAACCCGATTCGGTCCGTTGCGGGTACCTGGCCCGCGTTCGAAGAGGGGCTTCTCCTGCATGGCGTTCTGGACATTTTGCCTCGGTGGTGATGGTGGGCTGTAAATACACAGTACAGTATTTTATGTAGGTGGTATGAGCTGTGGGGCTCTCTCTCTCTCTGCCTCTAGCGGTGTACACGATCGTCACACGGAAGGAACAATGAGGCGGAAACCCTCCTCGTCATCTCCATGGGTTGACTTCGGGAATCACGGACTTCACGTCACAGACTCGATATGCAATCCAGTTGAGGCGAAATCCCCGTCGATGCTCGCATCGCAATCGAAGATGCGATCCGGGAGGATGGAACTGGTCAAAGGCGACGAGATCATCGCGACGGGGAGATTCGATCATGGCCCATCTTCGGTGAATACCCAAGGTCCTCTCCGTCATCGCGATCTCACATCTTCCGACGACGGCTTTGGGAGGCTCCATCTCTGGTTCTCATGACGGCATGCCAATAAACAATAAAACGCTGTGTCAATCGGCATCCCCCCCCAAAAGTCCGGATTGGAATAACAACAATCCACTGCCATCGTGTATCATCGGGGGAGATCTCTGGCTCAGCACCGTCCGCACCCCCGTCTCGGCCGTGAAACTACCGTTCCTCACACGAATGCCGCGGCCGTTGTGCACGGTAAATGTAACACGACGATGACGAATAGGCCAAGGGAAATGGAGCGGCTAGAATCGATAGACAGGCACGAGAAGAAAAGTCAAAATCCTTTACGCGTCGTGGTCGCGCGCACCGGTAACAGACTAAACTCAAACCGTCCGCTCGCGTAATCCGCTTCGGGCTGAGCCAAGCCATTCTGGACTTCGCCCGGAAATAGCTCGCTGCACTCCATTCTGCTACAGTAGGTGATAAGGCAGACAGGGCAGAGAGCACACTTTCTTGCTTCCTCCCGCTCGTCGTAGTCCGACGCTGAACTGGCAAGCCATTCCCTCTCTCTGCTGCTACAGTTGTGGTGGAGTCTGCAGCACGCACACATACACACACCAAAGCCACATCCCGAGAATGCGTCCAAGGCGGTCAAGATGCACAGTGTCGATCATCGACCATTTCCAGCTGGGGATTCTTTCTGCCTGGTGGGTTCATGCTCCCTCCGGGGAAGCCGCCCATGTGGCGCGCGCACGCGCGGGTCGATCCCCACAGTGATGATTCTCATTTGCATGCATGCCATGTCATCCGAGGGGAGACCCCGTCTGGGAAATGATCGGCACTTCGCTTTGCTTCGCTCTGCTCTACATGACGCTGCTTTACATGAGCTTTGCACCTCGGGGCTTGCAGCGTAGGCGAGCCAGAGAGGTAGGCAATAGGATTGCACTGATGCGAGAGGGGAGAGCGTTTTGCTCGTTACTTTTAGAGGCATATTCGCGCGGGGTCCACTTTGTTGTTGTTGCGTGACTCTAAAGGGAGAGTCCAGATGCTGTGTGATCTGCCTGCCAATGTATCGCCAAGCGGGACATGTTCATCAAGAGACAGTGTTTCAAGACCCTTTCGCCGTTCGTTCGTTCGTTCGGCCGTTGAGAGAGTGAGAGACGTTGATCGATCTGCCGCAAGCAAGCGCAAGGATTCTTCGCTGTGTGGTTCGCTGGCGTGCAACGGCTGCGCGACGACGATCGTCTTCCAACGGTGAGAGAAGCGGACCTGCGTTCGCGCTCTTCCCAACGGTCGCGTTCATCCTCGATCCCATTTTCTACTCTACATGTACCATCATCAGGTGCTACTCCCGCATACACACGCACATATGTATTGCATCTACGGGACATAATCCGTCATGCTGGTCGAGTTCTTTGGTCCCGGGCGGGCGAAGCAGATATTCTTTCGTTACTTTTCCACCGCGTGATCGGCGCTGATCAGCACAGTTCATGTACCGTTCCCGTCGATACATCCTCCCGGGCGGCTACAGCACATGTCCAGGGAAGCTTCTCCCTGGCGATCCCTTGACCGCGTGGTCTACACGAGCCCTTGACACGCAGCGCGAGGGAATTGTTCATGAGTGGAGATCGACGTTGTTCTTCTGCGGCCCTTCTCTTGCATGAACTCTCCTAGGGACCTCTGCTTGCTTCCCCGGGAGCTTGACCGCTTCGATGGCGATGACTCTTTTGGGAATTATCGTGGACCCTCTACATACGCTTTTGGGATGTGGCGATGTAAGCTGCTTCTAGGTACCACGGGAAGACCACGACTCGTGATCCTTGCATTTCTCATATAACGGGCAATGCGTTCCTTCCCGCGACGCCTCTTTCGCGCCTCTTCCGCGTATTCTTCCTCGTTTGGACGAAAGAGGAGTAGAAATCACCCTTTGCTTGGAGTGATGATTTTCCTTTCACCTCCTCTTGCGCCTCTCGCCTGAGTTCGACTATGTACTGGGGGGAAGTCAATGCACAGTACAGTGGGAGACGGCGGGGTGAGAAACACGCGAATGTGCTCGTTCCCATCGAGATGCCGTTCTGCACCGTTGAGATCGCCAAAACGCGCCTGCATAACAAATCCTTCTTCGCTTGTCCGCATTGCCCTGATTTACTGCCCCCGCTCCCTCCCGAGCTGTATCGTCGTTAGCATCTTCCCCCGACCCTGAGAAGGGATGGAGGGTTCTCGCCGAGACATGGGCAACGATCGATAGCGGCGGCTGTTCTTCAACGTTGTCGCAGCTGCACAGACAGGCACAGGGTCCTCGAACATGCAACCCTCTCAAATACATCTGGATACGGCTTCGCAAACCCTGCTGACATTCAACATTCTCCCATGTGACAGAGAGATTTACTTCACCTTCGCCGAAGCAGGTCTGTTTTCCACCAGGTAGCCGGGAATGCTCCGCCCAGGACTTCTGAGATCGCCATGTCTCTCATGTTCAGTCGCACCATCTACTCGCACAACAAAAAGAATGACGTCGGTGTCCCCTCGACATGTGCATTCCCATAGAAGCAGTGGCGGTCTCTCGTCTCCTCTCCGGAAGATCCTCGAGCCGAAACACACATGCTCATTCGTGTTAGAAAAGCCACGGCGATGGCGTACGCAGCCTTCACGAGGAGATCACTCCCACTGCAATCAGTGGCGTGACTTGGAGGCGTTCCTTCTCACCGCACAGTACATATCGTTTGTATGTGGAGTCTGATGTATGCAAGCTGCCTTTCCATGATTGTCCCTGTCACGTGCCGGTCCATCCCTTGCGCGTTCCGTCTGAACTTCGACTAGCGCAGATCAGATGCGCACCAATCGGCGCGCTGACATGTGTAGGGCTCGATGTGTACCTGTCCACCTTCCTTCCCTTCGAAAGTTCCTCTGCGGTCGACGGTGTCGTTCATGCATGGCCCGACGGGGGAGAACCAAATATTGATTCGCTCGCAGTCTTGACAACATCACGAGTTGCATTCTCGCCACTCGCGTGTCTGCTGTCTTCTCATCTCGTCCCGTCCACAACAGAAGCCGCCGACTTCTCGCCTCCCCCAACGCCCTTCGGACGGTCGTTGTGGTAGCGAGAATTTCCAAGGGTCGCCGAGAGGAAATGTCTCACCAGCGTCTGGCGCCATTCCAAATCTCGACGCGGCTTCGAAGAGAGCGAGGCATCTTGCCCTCCCTCACATGATACCCGCCAAGGGAATATTCAAACAACCTGATCTAGTGAGTTCAGAAGTTTTCGCGCTCATCCATCGTAGCCTGGCCGGAAAGACCCCGAGAGAGCCCGTTTTGCCGATCTCTGGTTGCTGTTCTCGCGCGCGAAGGCGTATGACTAATGGAATGTTGAGGCTCTTGTCTTGTCTCAGAGTATTTGTGTTCTTCGCTAGGTTGGATGAGGCTCTGTGCCAAGATGATCTCGACGTCGCTTGCCTCAGCATTGCCGTTCTGTGAGATGTCATCGCTCGCTTCGTCGTCGCTCGTTGCCGGCTGTCCGGCGAGGCTCACGTTGTGTCCCGGAATATATCACTATTAGTTTGGATGGGGCTTTGAGGCTATGCTAGTCTCGACATCGCTTGCCTAGTCGATGTCACTGCGGATTTCTTAGCGTAGTTGGCCGGCGAGGCTCACGTCGGGTCTCGGGTTATATTGCGATCAGTTTGGATGAGGCATTGAGGCTGAAGCTATATCGCCAGATCTCGCCTCGTTGTTGTGATTGTTGGCTTCCCGGGGTTCCGGGGCGGACTGCTCGACATTGAAGAGGCATGACGGGAATCGGATGATTGATCTTGAGTGAGGCTTTACGGATCGATCTCATCGGTCGTAGGGACTTGCGATCACGTGTGATGTTGCGTATCGGACTGCATGAAGAAGCTCATGCCATAGACGCTAGTGGCAGTGCTCAAGAATGCACGGATAGGGGAAGAATTGCAGGTTTCAAGGCCTCAAATTTGCTTTGGTAAGATACAATGCGAATCTTTCCTGTTTGTCACTACGTCAAGACCTCTCATAGTTCCTGCCAAATGACATCAAACGAATGGGCTTCTTGGGAAACGCGGCTATGACCAGCGTGCGGGCATCATAGCTTATTAGCTCAAAGCACCAAGAATCTCGACCACGATCTCACCAAAGGCCCACACGACCGTCCATACGTCGCCTCCGAAAGCTATCAGACCATCTAAGACGGCTCCCATACCCCCACTGGATTCTTCGGCATCATGTTCCGAGTTCTCTGCACCCTCGTTTTCTTCTGGGACAGGTCCCTCCGTAACCTATAAATTGTTCATCGGTCAGCTAATCGGTGACACGGCGACAGATCCACGTTGACGAACAATTTCAACGCACCATGACTCCGGTCTTAGGACTCCTCTTGTGGATCATTTTGCAGATCTCCGCCACCAGCTTCCCGACCATAAACACGTCCTTGCAGTGAGCCTTCGTGCGACTCCAATGATGCCCATGATGTTGAGCGACGACACTGTCGTGGTCCAATCCTTCTTGATCATGGTGAGGCTCGTGAGAGACTTCCTTGTGCAAGAGCACGCGAAACTCGTTGCAGAGCCTATGCCACCCATCCTCTCCAAGCTGGTCGCGCTTATTATCGACAAACGTTCTCACTCTCTCTCTTATGTTCGAGTCCACTTCCGGCTCTGACTTGAGGATCAAAAGTTTAGGAACGGTTTCTGGCACCGACCCAACGAGAGTGCTGGCTGAGTCAAACCCATAATTGCCGATGTAGCCATAAGGTGAGTGTGTCGCCGCAGTAGCCATGATTGGAGCGATCTGAGGACTGTTCTTGGTGTAGCGAGCAGTGTCTGAAAGGGAAGAGGAAGCGCTGGTCACAGTCTTTCTCGATGTAGAGGATACGTGAGTATTTTTGTAGATCGCGAAGAATATTGCTGAATCGAAAACGTTTCAACATTCCGCTCAATGATATGTATTTATGTCTTGAATGCATCGTCAGAACAATAGGAATGCGATTTTGGTGTAACGGCGCTGTCGCATTGCCGCCGTGTGCTTGTTATTTACATTCCGGAATGTGATGCTACAATTTAAGCGCCAGCGTCTAAAAGTGAAGTCATTACAGTGTTTGAGAAGCGTGGAATGCAGATCGAATTGTATTTTGAATTTTCCCATCGGCACTTTGCGTAGCATTTCCAACTCTGAGACCCCATGCGCCCATTGTTGATCATCATTGTTATGTTCTAGGTATATCATCATGGCCCGTTCATGCTTACTGATCTTCTCACAACGTGGACAATCCATTCTTAGTAATATTTGACACTGATATCGGATGATTTCACCGTCGGCCAGAGCACCCCGATCGAAGGTCGCATCGCTTTCGCATGTGACCCTACTACAATTTCCTATAATTGACTCCCATCAAGAATGGATAATGATCTGCCAAGCGCACATGATCCGGAGAGGCCCAGTGCCCCGACTTCGTATGTCTTCCGTCACCCCGTCTCCCTCCGAAATTCCCCCATAATTCGTACGGATGTACTCAATGAGCGCTTTACATGTTGCCATCCGAAGGGCGCATCCAGTGAGTCCTCCCGACTTGCTCGCACGGGATTCCTCTGCCACCTTGCGAAGCTCTTCCGCCAGACCTGGAGACCCCGTTTCAGCTATCAGAACCTCCGTCGCTCGATTTCCGAAGATGGGAATCCGAAATGGGCGGCGACCTCGACTTACCGTCTCCATTACTGTCTTCTTCACTAATGATCACAGAAGGGATCGTATCACCAGGCCTATCGTTCTTGGTGCGACTTTGTCGTTCTGCGAGCACTAGTGATGTTCAGTCAACAGATAATTCTCTCGAAGGCCGACCAAGGCTGATGAATCGACACATACGCTGCGAAAATGTTTTCTGCCCCTTCGTTGCCGTGTCAGCATGGTACTAAGCTGTCAGGTAGAAGCTTGGGCAGTATGTTGTTCGTAAAATGCTGAAATCAGGAAATCTTGACAAAGTTCAAAGTGCTGGAAGGAAGTGTCTGAATTTGCGAAATCGGCATAGGAGATCCTGCGTCTTTATTTATGCCAAAGCTCTAGATATGAAAGGGCTTATCCGGAATGAAGCACGACATCACAACAAGATAGCCGCCGCCGGCTGCGGCAAATTGAACGCCGTCCATCCTGGATGCAAAGAGGGTTTTCCAGCCGCTTACGGCTTCTTGCGTCGACACGTATTTTTTGCTTACTGCAGAGTCATCTAACGGTGGCACAAAAGCGTATCGTTTCGTAAGCGATTGCTGTCAACGGCTACTCTCGATTGTCTTTGCCACAAGACCGGGTACTCGAATTTCAACGAATAGTAGTATTTAGGCTTTAGGGATGAAACGCTCGCACACAGAGTCTTTCATCTGGCTATTCAATTAGTCAGTGATGAAATCTATAGACACTGCCATGAAAGTATTTTCTGGTATCAAATTTATACCTACCGATGCGCGAGCTTTCCATCACCGTCCGGGCGCTCCAATCTCACCGCCAACAACGCGATCATCCGCTGAAGAACAGGCGTATCACACTCCTTGCCACTTCCAGGTTGATCGTTTGCTTTGCCATTCAGCGCATTCCATGTTTTCAGCCACTCCCGAGCGTTCTTGATCGCATTACGCCTCTCCGTGGGCTCCCTAGTCGAGCTTTTGGTTGCAGACGATCGAGCCTTGATTATCCAGTCTCGATGTTCAAGCAGCCATAGTTGGCATTGCTCAGTCCCATCAAGCCCCTCATGCGGTTTAATCCCTTGTATAACTTTATCAAGCTCGTAAACTTGCCGGACGTTCTCTGCCTCGGCGAACTTGACGTCGAAGAGACCTTCCATCACTTGCAACCGTATGTCAGTAAGTTCCTCGCCAATGACAGCTTGGTCAGTCGAAATTGAAAGTACCTTGCACAAGGCGGGCGATGTGTGCATCTCGCTGCTCCTCCACCGTCTGCTTAGGTGGAGGGCTCAGAAATATCTTGTAGTAATCGAATGATGTCGAGGACATTTCGTCGGCAGGAACTTTTGATCAAGTCAAGATTTTGGAGAAACGGCTGTCGGGTTACGGATCTGGAATTGAAAAGGAAGATAATCAGTTCTTACTTATGCCACTGACCTCGGTGCAGAGGTTCAGAGATCCTGCCACTGAGCATCAAGTACGACCCATCACGAAAACTAGCCGCCGCCGCCTTTTACACTTTTGACTGACATCACCATGTTCCTAATTCGTATTATACTACATGCGTGAGCGTTGGAGATCGCTCGAGGAATTGGTGGGCTATGCGGACTTAAGCCCCGGCGTACGAGCAGATGGTGGTGTGACCAGCTTATAGCCGCCAGCGTCTACATTGAATGTACTCAAGTACCTGGAAGCTGAGAAACAGTCTGAGTACCCTTTTGTACCGCAGAACGATTCTGACCGAATGCGAATGATCTCATGATTTACATCGTTGTACCATTTCCCATTGTTGTGCTGCATCGGTATCGCTGTGGTGGCGGGACCAGATAAGATCTACTTTCTCAATTTTATTAGAGGGTCTCCGTACTTGAGAGATCTTTTTCTGGTCTGCGAACATGCTGTTTTCCAGGAAATGATCGTAAATTCATGCTATTGGTGCCAATCTTCATCTTTATCATACATTTTCACTTCGGAAATCGAAGTCATCGCTGCGACCGCTACTCCAAGAGTTTTTGCCTCGTGTACAATAACCTCCTCTACCACCATCGTCTGCTCCTTTTACTCGTCATCTGTCTTTTCCTCATACTCCTCTGCCAGTCTTTTATCTTTATCATGCCTGCCGAATCTGCTCTTGCGCTCACTGTCACTTTCATACGCGGCGCCCACATTCTTCTCTCCGTCAACCATATCCTCGAGCTCATCCTTGACGATGCCCGCATGATCTTGAGAATCAAGGCCACTGACCCTGTCCTCACCACTGCATTGCACAAATCCGCAATCTCGTCGCAATTCATGATCACATCCCCGTCCTCGTCGCACTCTATGACCTCGTGTCTATGGCATTGCCATATATACTGTTACAAAACGATGTCAGATAGAGACGTCTCCATCGCGAGTCCTCTAAACTTACAGTATCGACATCTTGTCTTTTGGGATGATATAAGCTGTTGATCCCGCCAGCGATGGCTCCGAATAGCACGATTGGCTGCATTCCAGATGCATTGATTGCCAATACTTTCGATTTCAAATTCTTGAATGAGTGAACATGGAAGGTAAACTGCACAATCGCAATCTCAAATGCTTCGCCAGCGTGCTATTGATTCCGCAATGATTGGCAGAGTCATGGCGAAAACTCTGTAGGTCTGAGAGATGCTCTCTCCTTTCTTGCTCTGACCTGCACTCGATACATGTTCGATCAGTCACCTCTTAAGCGCAAGATCCAAGCTCATTCATCTTAACGCCGTGGGCAGACATCGCCAGCGACTAAACATGCTTACCTCGTCGTAAGCGCAACGTTTACATCGCGTTTCGAGAGACACTTCAGCCATAACCAACAACAGTCGCGACGTCCCTGAAGCGCTGCGTTAATGCTATTTTCAGACTTGAATTCCAGCAGTTTCGCCAAGGTTTCACGTCTGGTCTATGGAGTTTCGCCACATCTCGATAGACGCGCCGAGATGCTGGCATTTAGTAAAAAGTACGTACCAAACATCATTTTGCATAGAGGAATGGTCCTTTCGAGCAGACTTCGTTCAGTGGCCGATCATCGTACATGCATATACTTTGAGAAAAATCGACATTAAATGACAATTGTTAGAAATGGGGAGGTGCGTGGAAACCTTTCTATCTGCACTGCGTTTGCCCGGAATGCTTTGGGTCTGTTTGAAGTAGAAAGGGTTGCAGCGAGTTTGTAGCCGCCAGCGGCCACACATGAAATCCCCGAATGCTCGGAATTTTGAAAGAAACGATCATTCGAAATCCGACTCGCCAATTGTGCTGGATGGTGCTGGATATTTCTTTCTCCATCAGAACTCATGCTACGATAGGCTATACTCGATCGTCACAGTTTATGCGACATCCTCCCTCTGTCCATTCTCGTTCATTCATGCTGCCGCAACGATGTTTCTCGGCGATTTTTATTCGCATGTCATCACTCTTAATGAGACCTTCAGTCATGTAGCAGACAAACGTTTAGACATTGACGGTCCGAGTTACCATGCTCATCTAGGTCTTCATCTCAAATACGCATCTCATGTTCCACATGAAGAAGGAACCAAAGATGGGAAATTCATCTCATGGAAGTAAATATCAATTGATTTCATGATACGTGATATGCTACTGTCTGATAGGTCTTCTGATGCTGTTTCGATTTAATTGTGAGCTCGGTGACATCAGTAACATGTCGCGGATGACCGCTGATGTAGTGATCAGATCAACCAATTTGCAAGGCTCTTACGCGATTCCCAGGACTAGGAGACAGTTGACCACTTTCGGTCTCGCGGTCGCGTCCAGCGCTTGCAAGCAAAGGATCACTCGCCGCCGCCACCGCAGTCGCCTCCACCACCGAAGTCGCCTCCACCACCATTGTAATCACCACCACCATAGTCACTGCCGTTGTGATCAAACCCACCAGGACCACATTCGCCGTGCCCGTCTCCAAATATCTAGCGGAAGAATCCGCCAAACTGATGCTCGACTCCCGCGTGATATTCCTGACACTGCTCCATTCTCTCGTCCGACCATGAGCTCGTATCCACGCGGACAAATCGCCCTTCTCCGTCTTCGTGATACCCCTCTTCGATCTGCAAGATACAACATTAGTTGAGCCCAGACCTTTTCAAGGTCGATCGCACGGCGAATGACTAACTCTTCCTTCACGCGAGTCTTTTGACAAGCCTTTGAACGCATTGCGCAAGTCTTTGAGTAGATTATGTTTTTGAGTTTGCCGTTTTTTGGTCGCGCTGTCTTGCATTTTTGTGAAATGGGCATCAATGTTCGTTTCGAGCCTCTCAAGAGACACTTGCTTGTATTCTTCAACTGCTTGAGGGCCGTACTTGATGTTCGCTGCTCGCTCCCAAGAAACCAGCTCAGCAGTAGAAGGCATCAGTCCGAAGTTACCTTGTATACTCATCCTTGCGCCTCCGGTACCGTCTGGGCGCGCCTCTCGGATGTCTATTTTGGACAAAGTAATGAATGAATGAAGGTTATGGCACAACGATACCAGATGTAGTGAATGAGTCAGGCATTTGGGAATGAGACTCGAATATTTATAAATTTGTCGATTCGTGCGCGTGAAGAGCATCCCTTGGTCGGCCCAGAATGATACTGTGGTTTTGCCGCTGCTGCTTATTGCATTCCGAAATGTGATACTGTTATTATAAGCGCCCGCGTTCGAGCTGCGGACGTCTGTGCCCAGGACATCTCGCAGTCAAGTAATCAAACACGTTTAGAAGATACCTATCTATTCAAATCACACAATGTGCGGCATACTCCTTTCTTGCAGTAACGCGCTCAGGTGCGAAGTCTACGTTTTTGCTCCTTCGGCTTGTATGTGCACCTCGAGAGATAAGATCCATACCTGTGCTGTGCTATGCTGAGTCACAATAACAGGTGATGCTCCTGCTGAATATTCGATCGCGGTTTCGCAAGATCCACATGGACGGAATGTCGCAATTCTCAGTAAGCACCTCGTGGGAATTGTCCACCGTACTCGGCGCTTGCTGGAACGCAACCACCTTGGAACTCATTGAATTACCAACCCAGGAAGCAATCACATGGACGAGTGAGATGTACAGGCGGGCACAGGAATTTCATCATCGTCCACTCCGTTGTTATTGAGGCCTGTATACTGATAGCATTCTTGCGCGCGAGCTAAACTTTGACACCACGAGCATTCCGCGCTCAGTCTTATCGCTCAAATACATGTCATTGCGATTGCATCGACCGGCACGAAATGGACGCAACGTGCTATCGATTCCCTACTCTCAACGCCATCAATCTGATCATTCGTTCGAGGAAGTTTCTGCAAGCCTCACAAGGTCTGCCACCATAGCTTCCATCTCAGCCAGCATCTGTTGATGCTTGATTTTCTCGTCCGCGTTGGACTTTTCGCTTTTGATCTTCTCAATGAGCACATGAAATGTTTCCTCCAGGGAGTCACATTTCTTTTCAAGATCAACACCATCTTCTGCCTCGCCTACCTCTTGCTCAGCCCAATGTTGCACCGCGAATTGGTAGAGCTTTTCCGACTCGTCGAGCTCGCTGTTATCCGGAATGCGGCCCTCTGACTTGGCTTGCTCGTATATTTGCAAGGTCGTCTCGCATATATCTTGTGGCTTGCCGGTTCGGCTGGCAAGCTCTGTCAATCCTACGTCAGACTCTGCTGCTTTTTCATCGATATGACTTCTTTCCTACTTACCATCTACAGCGGGATTGGGAATTGCCATACTGCTAGTCCCTGAAATATAATCTGAGCAGGGCGTTGAGGTTTCGCGACGATTATGGAAGATGTGTTGAATGATTCAAGATGATCGAAAAATATAAACAAATCGTGCTACTGTTAATGGGATCAATGATGCTTGCGTGTTTATCAACAGCGGTCGAGCAAAGGTTTGTTTGCTGTCGGTGATAGAGTCCAGGTTACGCCCTCGGCCACCAGTACCCGCCGACGAGTGCAAGGATCGTGTGACAGGCATCATGGCGGAAGTCCGCCAGGTCATTTTGCTCTGGATGCTTTCGACTTGTGCCACGTCACACGTAGAGTACGTTGAGGAGGTTTAGTTCGTGGCTGCGTCAGCGCACAGTTCTTACCGCAAAAACGCTGTGGTCAACTTAATGCAGCAAATTTATTTGCGATGGGTCTTCTGCAAGGGGCTTCGAAGTACTTCGACGAGGGTTGAGGGGAGTTATCTCCTTTTTGAAGGATTGTTTTCTCAAACGTAGATCTTCACAAGAGGATCAGGACTCCAGCCGCATTCCGAAGGCTGTGCTAAACTCACGGAAACAACAATCCGATAGCGCCGACAAATCTCCGACGAATGCTGTGCGAGTACAAAGCAACAGTTCTGATGGTGATTTGCGAGAACGATCTCACGAGCAGTACTTTAAGCGGCATGATGTGGCTTGAAGGTCTTGTTAGTCATGCCATCAATCTTTTAAGACGGAATCGGAGCCCGCTCTCGCCGTACACCCATCAAACAGTTGCGTCTGAGGAGCCCATATTCAATCGTAGGTCCCAGGAAATCCCCCAGTACATACTTCTCTCTCCCAGAGGAATCACGAATCATGAGTGATCTTAATCTTCAGGAGCTTCACATGGATGATTTGCCATGGGCAGACCTCGACGAAGTCTTCGCCCTTGGTTCACTATGTTCATGAGTAACTGAATCTTGCTCGAATTATAGTGAACTATGGGCGCTCGTGCCAAAGTACAACATGTAGCTCATGCAACAGTCGTAGCGCATGGCATGGATTGAGATTTCTCAGTGCTCGCCCTCTTTCACATCGATCTCCCCTTCGAGCTCTCGCCACGGCTATCGCCATGGCGTCCCGGCGTGTCCTCATCGGAGCTGGGAAGCGCTTCAACTATTACAGAGAAGTTATTCAATATCTCCTGTAAGCGTTTCGCTTCGTGTTCCTTTGGTAACTTACTACCCACTCCCTCATTGCAAGGTAACAATCCGCCATAAGATCGCCTATCGCATCTGGATCAACCTCTGGGCCTGTCTTCAATCTCTTCATTGCGCCCGCCATCATCGCATTAAGGATCTTCAGCTCAGAGTTCTCAAGCGGCCCAGAGTCTGCGAGTTCACTCTGGTCTCGAGGGGTTCCTGCGAATCCGCACAAATCAATATGTTTGAAGAGTTCTGCGCATTCGCTCGGTTTAAGCCCAGAATTTTCGCGACCGCTGTCGAACGTACGTCAATCGGCGCTATCGATTGGTGATAAAAGTTGGCTTGCGGCTGGACTGTGAATCAGATAGACGAGAATTTGACCGTTTGGGTAGTGCGGGAATGTGAGAATACCGATGAGGGTTAAAACATTCGATAGACACTTTATGGTGATCGCACTGCCCAAAAGTGCAATGTAAAAGTGTACAGGGATGGGCACCCAGGTCACGCTGGCGAACGCAAATCGCCGCCAGCGCTTGAATCGTCGAGTGATCTCCTGAATGGACCACGCTCAAGCAGGGATTTGCTAGATCGCTTGCTCAGAATGTGATAAAACATGCCACGTCACAGCTACGAGCAGGTATTGAGGCTCGTCTGGCACTTCTTCCGTCTCTTGATGTTATGTGTGTGTACACAGCATCATTTCGATTTTTCGGGTCTTGTTATCACCATAATACGCATCGATACTTTATGATGGCACAAGTATATTTTTGATGGAACATTTGCTACGATAGCTTCCCAACTTGCACGTCAGTCGTGGCCGGAATTCCAGCTTCGCCGACCGCATCAGGCCACCGAAAATCATCTCATGATTTCCAAAGCTCTGCTCTGATGAGATCTCGGCGTATAGCAAACATCATTTTGCTTTGGTGTCATCCTTCTTCGGTTCGATGGCCTCTCTGTTCTTTGCTGCCCGTGCGAAAGCCGCTGTTCCAACTTTCAACTTAGATCAACGCCTCGCCCATGAGAACTTCCCGGCATCTCACCTGCTTCAGCTTTGGCGTTGCGTTCGGCACGTTCTTGATTGAGTTGCTCTGCGGTTTTCTGACTTTCATTTTGCTGTGAGGCAGATGCTTGGCCCTTCTTCTTGATCCTTCGTCCTAGCATTTTCCGATAATTTTGTGACGGCTGTGGATCTTGATTGAATCTATCGATCAGGCGTTGATGACAACGAACGATGAGTCTCGAGTTTGGGACCTCAGTGGTCATTTATGCTGTCTCCGGTCCAGCGGAGCAATTTTATTGTCAGATTCAGAGTCACGGGACTCCACAATTATATGTACACATATGTGCTCAAGCACAGCGGTATTCAATGAAATTTTGCCACGACATCAACTCTGCGACAACGAGCTGTATCCATGTACTTATATAACTTCAAAAACGGGCAGCTGATGGCCAACTGTTCGAGATTCGGCGTGCCGGCCACGATTGTACGCATGTCAGCATCGCCAGTTTGGACCACCATCGGCGACGAGATCTTATCGTTGGCCATTCTCGGTTAACAAGATCTATTGGAAGCACACGTAATCACATGTGCGTCGCTTCATAAAATGTGACCTTTGATGACTTTGCTTCGTTCAGTCCGTCCTCGAGGGCTCAAGCATCGCGACGGCTCTTCGCATGATCATGATATCCTATGTCCAGCAACAAGGAACCTGATCGCGGAGACTTGGATCGGATGTTCATCTTGACTTGATCGACACTAATATACATGCCGAGGAAATATCAGGGGTGGCAAGTACTGGTCAGCGCTGTGTTGTGCGTTGCTGCTCAGCGTCGCTTAGGGTTGCACCTGGGGTTACAATCATTCCGCCTTTCCTGTTGTTGATATTGTGGTGGACAATGCTATGAAAGCATTCACATCGATCCAAAGAAACGACTGTTAAATGTCTCAGCACATTAGTTCAGGAAACTACTCCGGAAGTCGGGAAGGTTTGTCGTCGTGCGGAGGACAATGCGGCATGTGGTCCAAATAGTCTCTTCGTCGACATACATTTGCATTCCGTTCACATGCCAAGCCACATATTATAGGAATTTGCATTTCGGTCATTCCTGGAGTTGCTCCACGCACGCTTCACGATGGTTGCACAAATATGTTCAGACGGTCTCCTGGATAGACGTCATCTCTAAATTTTGTCCACTCGAGCCGTGTATTCGGTATCCGGCAAGCGTGTTTGAGCATAGGAGTAGGACAGCCGCCAGCATCTCATCGCGAAGGACAATATGAATAGATGACGTAGGAATACACCTCCTGGACCCACAATCTGACACATGGGATGTCGAGTCTCCGGGAGAGTTTGGATTATGCTTCTATGTCCTCCAGGATTCTCCGCACCGCAGAACACGGGCTGCCTCAACAAGGCAGAAGCCCTGACGATCATCGCCGAGCCGGGGTTTCTCCGAGCGCGACTTCAGCTGCTCAGCGCCAATTATCTCCACCAGGTGGGATTTTGGGACTGTGGGAATTCTGAGGATCGGCGCACATCACAATTTTTTCGTTCACCGAGGGGCGCAGCTTACATGATCGACAACACAGCAACTTTGTGCACAGCCATGACAGCAAGTTGTGCTGTGAACAACCTTTGGAATACACGAAGAAAGGACATCCCAACCCCATCCTCTCATGGATTTCGGGCAATTCCTGCAGTGTCCTTTGCACGTCGCGGGGGATGCCATTCTTCGTGAAGGACCGTTTCCACCAGCCAAAAATTCTCTGTACTTGTTCAGGAATCCTATCGGCTTCTCCTGGATGCTGCCCCGCGGTTTATCCTCGTCTTGGCTCACCTCCTCATCGCTTATCATGACCACGAACGACTCCGCGCACTCACACACACACACAAATCCAAAATTCACCGTAGCAGCAGCAAAACAAGCACAGCTGCGTATTGCGAGTGTTGGTGTAAGTGTTGGGCAAAATGCATCAAACACACAGATGTGTCGCTGCACCAGTGACATCCTCGCTACCGCTTGTGGTGGTTGCTGAGAACGTGCGATGTGTACATGTGTGTGACTGATAAGTCTAAAACACTTTCCACAGCTCTCCTGCTTAGTCTCATGCGGGCGCTGGCTCTACGACCAGAATACGTACTGCATTATTCAGGAAAGGCTGCATTCTCCGCCCCACACCACACCGTGACTCGACGGACTATTTTATTTTTAAGCGAATCGAGTGGTGGTTGAGGGCGCGCTAGAATTCCGTTGACAAGTGTGTCATCATGGCTCAGCGGTGGTTTGCAGAGGTATTGATGTTCTGCTTGCAAGGTAAATTATCGTTTGATATATCGGTATGAAGGAAGCCACGAAGCACGTTGTGGCAAAGAAGTCAAGGAGTGATGATTTCGAATTTTGATAAATTTTCCGCTTGAGAACGTGGTGTCTCACTGATGGCAAAGATCTATATACAAAAAGAAATGCGGGACTTACAGCTTCTCGTGAGCTGCCCGTGGGGTATCATAATTCTCGTGAGACACGATGGCGCCACCATGATTGTGCATGATCGGCCACCGGTCAATAGGTATGCCTGATCAAATCACGATCCGACAATGCCGGATCAAATGCCAAAGGAACAGCACCTCTTCGAGGGCTCGCTTCCACAACTCCGGTCGCTATGCAATACAATAAACAAAGACAGTTCGCAGGATGGTGCAATCATAGCGTCCAACTGAAGTCAACAAGCAAGGGGTTGTGATCGCTCAGTAGAGTACCTGCCTCCGAGACAAACATGTCCGGGACATAGCGATAGCTCGTAGCAGCGAGCTTGACGTTGTCGCCGCTCCGGTAGAGGACTTTGTCGACAACCTCGCAGGAGTTGCTCTGTGCAGGCGTGGCGCATTCGAGCGGGGCACTGCCCTGCGCTGGAGCGATTCCGTTGTGCTCCAGCTCAACCCAGGCGTCGGTTAGACCGCTTTGGGTGCCGAGAAGACGGATGTTGTCGTTGACTCGAGTGTATCGGGTGTTGGTATCGCCGAACACCAGGACGGCTTGACCGGCGGAGTGCTCGTCGATGAAGTCCGCGAGCTGTTGGATATTGGATCTCCGGGCAGCTTCATCCTTGGCACCGTCGCCGGCATCGCCATGAAGGTTGTAGAAGTCGGCGGTCACTCCGTCGGAGATGGTCATTCGCATATACGTGAATCCTTTGGGCGTTAAGCAATCGCCGTCGCCAATGTAGCAATGCGCCCACTTTATCCGTTGGAAGTCGGTGAAGTTGAAGTTGGACAAAGTGTTGAGACCTGAGCCGAAGGGGATGTTCCCCGAAGTCTGTGTCCGGTATGGATGTGACTCGTCGAAGTCGTATAGGGTGGCGTGGTATGCAAAGTCCTCTTGTACTTGGATAACATCGAAGTTGTAGTCCGCGAATCTTGAGCCAATTGATGCTGTGTTGGTAGTCTTACTGCCGTGGACACCGTTGCTATTGATAAATCCGGGAAGTCCGGCAACATTGTAGGAGAGAACATTGAATGCACCTGAGTTCTGCACCTCCGAGCCAATGAACATTTGTGATGAGGCCAGCAAAGCTGTGGCGAGACCGTTGATGGGAGCCATAATGACGATGTTGTTGTTCAAGAACCTGCTTGTTCAACTTTTTGTGTTCGAAGGAAAACTGTTTGTGGGAAAAGAAATGCGTGACGAGAAGACTATATGCCCAAGAGGCGCAGGAAGCTTAATGAACGATAGGCTGGCATCCTTGCAGGCGATCACCACGATGAGGCCGCATAGAAAGATAGTGCTGACAGCAGCACCATTGTGGGTCCTTCGTGAGCGTGGACCACTAGCCAGGAGTAAGGTCTGTTACAAGATGTCGAGCATGGTGTGCGCGCATGTCCAAGTGCCGCACGGAGGAATGGCCTGAGGATGGGGAGGACACCCAAGACGTCCGCTGCGACGATCATGTTTCCAATCAGGATATAATCACCCTGCCTGTATGCAAGTGCCGCTTCAGGTGCGTGCTTCAGAGTCGATGCATTACTCGTGCGCTCTCCGAGGCGCCTCGGTGAGTGTTAATCGCCCATCATCTTGGCTGAGATGTGCAAAGCTTAGCAGGTTCAAGCCGTATCGCTACCTTTGTGCATTGAATGCATATCTACCTACCATAACGGGTAAGCGAGGATGACTGATCGACGAATGAGTGTCCACATATATATAAAGTGTCCTGTTCGCCATTTATGGTGTGTGCCGGATGCCGTCCGCCAGTCTTTCAGTAGCGCACCGTTAGAATGAAGTGAAGTGGAGTGGCGATGAGCGACGGCCGCCTCGGGCGTAGTTTGGCGCTTTTTGGCCGAAAGCAAATTTGCGCGTCGGAGGGAGAATGTCCAGTGATTGCGCACTCGTGGCCCTGCAATCATTTCGACTCATTGTGAGTTTCATAGATCCTCGAGATGACGTGTGATTGTAATGTACAAGTTATAGGTTCGCATCTGCCAGAATCGCAGAATTGCCACACAAGAAATACCGTGCCGGACGATGTCGAGGTACGTGAAGCTCGCTACCAGTGTTGGCGCACGATGCAGATCGGAACATCTCTTCACAACAAACCTGATGATAGATTTCTGGGCATGCTTGAGCTTCTACGCGAGAGTACGTAGACCTGCTAACCCGTTCCTACTGATCGTCAGCTCGGCCATGCACCAGGTACCGCGTTCATGACCGTCAGACGATTGGGGCATGTTTGACCACTTATATATTTGCTCTTGACATGACATATGAAAAATTTGTGATAATCAATTATGATTCTGGAAATGGACGATGATTGTCTGAAGCTGTGCGACCTAGAAATTGACACCAGCATGCTTGACTCACGTCGACGCCGCGGCGGATTTGACAAGTCGTGCTGGGCTTGATGATCTACGGAGCATGAACTTTGGAAGCTCCTGCGGAGGGCTGACGCAGCCACTGCAGATCATTTCGAGCTACGATCTGCAATACGAATTTTGTTCGGCAAACTTGCGGACTAGTCAGGTTGTCCGTCAGTTTCGCAAGAGTTAACTCTGCGGAAAATAGCACGGCCTCCACAGCAGGACATGCGTCTGCGTCAGAGGCTTGCCTCCGTTTCACGAGAGTCGGTCCACTGGCCCAGGAGTACTTGAGCCGGTGATTGATGCCATGGTGAACAGCGTAAAAGAAATCGAGTTGTGAGGAGTGGACCGGTGACGGCCGGTCTTTGATGAGCAGACGTTGAGATTTGAGGGACTTTCACCGCCCCCAGACAGACGTCAAACCGTTTTTCTCCGCAGGGTATGCATGTCGCTCTCCATGGGAAAGCCACGTCGACGCCTGTCAATCGCCCCCCTGACGTGGGCGGCGCGCGGGGAAGATGGCCCCTCCACTCGGGGATACTCCGCTTCTGCTGATAGGGTCAATACGATTCTTTCATCGTCACTGTGCTAAGCCATTTACGACTAGGCTCGTCATTTTGCGCCTCGGTCAATTTTTTGCTCGGACTTTCTGTCTGGTAAGGAGAATGTCGTTCCTAGACTTGTATTCTCGCTACCAATGTCTGTTGACAGGTGGAAGGAGTCCTCAGGCAATCGCGACGTTAGCCCAATTCTCTTTGATTAGTCGCACCGAGACAAACGAAATGGTAGAACACTGATGACTTGGAGTGAAATCTCGTCTTTCACGCTTTATATGGGTCGCATTTTCGCTCCTCCCATCACGCGAAGAGCATGTAGCCAGGCGATCTGATCTGAGAGAAGAGAGCGGTATCGCCGCCGATAGTAATTACCCAGAGGATTCATGGGAGTGCTTTCATCGCAGGCACGAATCGCGTATCTGCGTACCGCATTGGTAGCCAATTGAAATGCATGGCGCTCCTGTGAATAGTGCTCGATCAGTACGATTGTGAGTAGTGCATGTAGAGTACAATACATCTGCCGAGTGTGCATTCAGCCGAAGGCCTCGAAGTGGTTGTCAGCGGTGTCCGGTGTCGTAATGCTAGGGTAGATTCCGAGCGGGCCGTCCCTGTGCAGCGCTCCCCGGGCCGGATACGCAAGTCTAGCAGTTGACGTGCCGACCTTCAAAAAATCGTGTCTGAGGTCATCACATCATGTCTGGACAGAAAAGCCCGAAGCGACGCAGGCTAGATTATGACTCGGAGCAATTTTCCGTTCAGCCTCAACGGAGACCTCTCACCAAGCCTGATCAGAGATCAGTCACGGAACGCGCCAATAACGAGTATGTGTCGAGCACGGAAAACCCGATCGACAATGCCGCCCTAGATCGAGACTGGTATAATTACGGAGAAGAAGGAGCTGTGCTCGGAGATGAGAATCACAATCCCTTTGGTGGGCTAGACGATGCGACATGGGCCGACCAAGAGAGAGAGCGTCAGCTCTTCGAGAAAAAGCTGGCGCTCCGCAACAAAGTGAATCCAAAATTTCTCCAACGTCAAAAGGATAATGATGCATGGGAAGCGAACCGCATGTTGGGCAGCGGTGTAGCGCAGACTCGCGAGCAATTCTCATCATTCGATGAAGACAACGACGAAACGCGGGTGCATTTGCTCGTGCATGATCTGCGACCGCCGTTCCTTGATGGCAAGACTGTATTCACCAAGCAGATGGAGCCTGTGAGCGCTGTGAAAGATCCACAGAGCGACATGGCTGTGTTTTCACGCAAGGGAAGCAAAGTGGTCAAAGAGCGGCGTCAGCAGAAAGAGCGGCAGAAACAGGCTCAAGAGGCCACCAGCGCAGCTGGAACCACACTAGGGAACGTGATGGGCGTGAAGGAGGAAGACACGGATTCTGCAGCTCCGAATGATCCCGAAAGCGCCGCTGCTGCTGAGAAAGGGGGAAGGAATCAGGGATCCAAGTTCGCAGAGCACATGAAAAAAGACACTGGCCAGTCTGATTTCTCGCGGTCAAAATCGCTGCACGAACAGAGGGAATTCCTGCCGGCCTTTGCAGTCCGCGAGAATCTGCTTCAGGTCGTTCGAGATAACCAAGTCATCATTGTGGTCGGTCAAACGGGTTCCGGCAAGACAACTCAGCTTACTCAATTTTTGTACGAAGATGGCTTCGCGAAAAGCGGCATGATCGGATGCACACAACCTCGGCGTGTGGCTGCCATGTCCGTGGCGAAACGTGTCAGTGAGGAAATGGAGGTTCCGCTCGGAGGATTGGTAGGATACGCAATTCGTTTCGAGGATTGCACAAGCAAGGAAACTGCTATCAAGTACATGACTGATGGTGTCCTGCTTCGAGAGTCATTGACCAACCCAGATCTGGATCAGTACAGCTGCATTATCATGGACGAGGCACACGAAAGAGCGCTCAACACAGATGTTCTGATGGGTCTCATCAAGAAGGTGCTCACCCGCCGTCGCGATCTGAAGCTGATTGTCACGTCTGCGACCATGAACTCGGAACGCTTCGCACGGTTCTATGGCGGCGCACCTGAGTTTTTCATTCCAGGTCGAACTTTCCCGGTAGACATACAGTATTCTCGATCCCCTTGCGAGGATTATGTCGATAGTGCAGTGCAGCAGGTCCTACGTATCCACGTCAGTCAGCCCGCAGGCGATATTCTTGTATTCATGACCGGTCAGGAGGATATCGAGGCAACTTGTGAGCTCATCGCGGAGCGTTTGGCACAACTCAATGACCCGCCAAAGTTGAGTATCCTGCCAATTTATTCCCAGATGCCTGCGGATCTGCAGGCCAAGATTTTCGATCGAGCAGCACCAGGCGTGCGAAAGGTCATTGTAGCAACTAACATCGCGGAAACGTCTCTCACTGTCGATGGCATCATGTATGTTGTCGACTGTGGATTTAGCAAGCTCAAGGTGTACAATCCACGGATGGGCATGGACACACTTCAGATCACGCCCATCAGTCAAGCCAACGCCTCGCAGCGTGCTGGTCGTGCCGGCCGTACGGGTCCTGGTAAGGCGTATCATTTGTATACTGAGCGAGCTTTCCGGGACGAATTTTACATGGCTACTATCCCCGAAATCCAAAGGACCAACCTGGCCAATACTGTGTTGCTTTTGAAAAGTCTCGGCGTAAAAGACCTTCTCGATTTCGACTTCATGGATCCTCCGCCTCAGGACACTATCACTACCAGCCTGTTCGATCTCTGGGCCCTGGGTGCGTTGACAAACCTAGGCGAGATGACCGATCTTGGAAAGCAGATGACCAACTTCCCCATGGATCCTTCGCTGGCCAAGCTTGTCATCTTATCATCGACAGTCTATGGGTGTAGTGAGGAGATGGTCACAATCGTGTCAATGCTCTCCGTTCCCTCCGTCTTCTACCGGCCAAAGGAGCGTCTCGAGGAATCCGATGCTGCCCGTGAGAAATTCTTCGTGACCGACTCTGACCATTTGACTCTGCTCACTGTTTACCAACAGTGGGTCTTCAATGGTTGCCGCGATGGTTGGTGCGTAAAGCATTTTCTCCAGCCGAAGACACTTCGTCGTGCACAAGAAATTCGACAGCAGATCACCGACATAATGGCTAGCAACAAAATGGCTCTGGTTAGCTGCGGCTACGATCATGATATTGTTCGGAAGTGTATCTGCTCGGGCTTCTATCATCAAGCTGCAAAGCGAAAAGGTCTCGGCGAGTATATTAATTTGCGGACATCGGTATCAATGGCTTTACATCCGACCTCAGCCCTCTACAACGGTGGCGATCCACCTGACTACGTTGTGTATCACGAGCTCATCTTGACGTCCAAGGCATACATGTCATGTGTCACAGCTGTCGACGCGGAATGGCTAGCTGATCTCGGCGGCGTGTTTTACTCAATCTTACGGAAAGGCTACAGCGCTGTACAAGGCCGAAAGGAGGTGGAATACTCCCGCAAACTCGAATTGGAAGAGCAGATCGCCAGAGACCGGAAGTTACAACACGCTGGCAGCGGAATGTCTGATTCTCGACCAAAGAGCTCTGTTGTAAGGACTATATCAAAGAAACCAACTGCTGGGAGTAGTCATTCCGCTATCGTACGACCTAAGGCGAAACGTCGAGCTGGTGGCATTTGAGCGCCAGAGTCAATTCAATTGAACAAGTATTTTAAGTTTGTGTTTCACGCAGCCACTTCTGCATCAAGATCATTGCATCGTCATTCTGCTTCCGCAGATCGAAGTCATTGGTGAAGGCTGCAGCGTCCTTGAAGAATGACCGCATCTTCTCAGGTCGGTTCAGCATATCCGCCTCAGCGTATGCATAGACCCTGCCGAACTTCCGTGCAAGATCTACAACGGCTTGCGATCTCGGTCGGCGTACCGCATCATATGCAGCAAACGCTATCGGCAGCTGCTCCGGCGTCGAAATCGCAGAGAACATGTGCCTCATCACTATACTCAGAATAAAGACCAGGATTCAGCTCCGACGCCATTCCATTTTCAGTGAACTTGGCGCCACGCACCGCCACACCAGCACTGAGACGCGTGGACTTGTTCAAGGGCAAGGTATTGATATGACCCCGGGGTCCGAGCATGATCGGCACGATCTTCGTCCATCGCGGATCGAGCCCATGCTCTCGCTGCGCGACAGACATGGGCACCATGATCCGGTAGATCTGCCAGCCGTCATGGTTCACAGGTGCCGTAGCGGGGTGTTCCGCCCCGAGAACATAGCTGCGCGTGAGACTATGTATGCCGTCCGCTCCGATCAAGCAATCTCCGCTGACCTGTCCGCCGTCCTGAAACGTGACCGTGACTTTCCCTCCCACCGTCTCCTCGACCTTGGTCAACCTCGTGCCCAACGTGATCCGATCGGCTGGTACCAATGCCAACAGTCCCTGCAGCAGATCTGCCCGACTGACGGATTTCCTGCCTTTGGCACGTCCTAGCTCCGCAACCAATTCGCCCGAGTGAGGTCCTTGGGCGAGGATCACTTCTGTAGCCATTTCCTCGTGCTCCTCACCCATATCCAATGCTTTGTCAAAATACGCCTGGCGGACTTCCGCCCCGAGCAGACCCATTGCTCTAATGGCGTTGGAGTGTAGTGCTAATCCTGCTCCCACGTCTTTGTATTCGGGTACGCCTTCGTAGACGTGGAAATCGATGTGAGGCCTCTTCGTCAAGCTGGCGGCGAGTGCCAGGCCGGCTATCCCGCCGCCGATGATGATTACTTTGATCTTTGGGCGTGTTTCGGTCATGTCTAACGATCTGGTGTACGTTACTGATTCGATGGATGGATTATGGTGTTTGCCTGGAAGAGATAGTAATTGGAGCTTTGTGGGGAGTCATGCACACTTGATCTTGTGCTGTACAGGATTATGCATTGTTGGTCATCATCGCGTCACGGATCGGGTTTTTTGTGCTACAATGCCTACATTTACCCGCTGATTGACAAGACTTCACAGAGCTTCGAACAATGTGATGAACTCGCATGTTTTGGAGCTGTCGTCACTACCCACGGTCGCGACGACCATGGGTAGGAACGACACGTGATGTGCTCATGTCACTGGCAGCCGCCATAACGCGGCCGACCTCACACGCCTTACCGTTGTCTGCGCCAATTCTTGCGGCCTGAGTCTGCAAAAACCTGCGAAGTCGGACCAATCTCGTGCGCAGAGCCAGGAAGTCACAGCTACTGGTCAGAGTCGAGCGAAATTGATCGAGACTCGCGTTCCTACCATTATCCAATCTTCTCTTTCATCTCGTCATCTTCCCACAAGAGAATTGAGCATCGATAGGAGAAATCACGCTCGATCAAATGTGTTTCGCGAGCGCGGACAACGCAGCGGGATCCGTAAGAGACACGCAGTCGAGATGTGCGTCTTCGATACAGCCTGTTCGCTCCGGAGGTCGGGCTCGATAGTCCATGGGACTCGATTCATCTGTCAAAAAGATCTGGAATCAAGACTCCGTTTCTCTGGCGTCGGAGTGCACGTTAGCAGAATTCGAGTCGACAGCAATGAATCCGCGCAGCGGCGTATGTTTTGCGGGGTTCGTATACACGACTCGAGAGTTTTGGGTTCTCCTGTCATTTTCGCGTCGATCGTGGCCTGATGTTCAAAGACAGCTCATCTGAGGCATTCTTCATGGGTATTTTCCTCAAAGGATTGGGTGGTTCCCAATGTTCAAAGAATTTGCCATGCTGCCGTGTCACAAGTCATGGCGACTAGAGGGCGTTGCATCACGAATCTCATCGCAGGGCTTTCCCGTTGCATGCAAGTCCAGCGTCGATCAAATTGCTACAGAGCGTTTCGAAGTCATCGTCCGACCTTGTCGTCGCGAGATACCAATCCCTGCTGTGGAGTATATCTCGTCGGCGCAGAGTAAAGCACTCTCTGAGATTTGCCGGCTACGGGTCTGTGGTGAGATATCAAAGCTGCGTGTCGTGCGTTGTGCGGTCATGAAATGCCAGATTGGAGGAAGCAACGTGAGCTCCATGCAGCAATTCTGGGGGCGTCGAGCTGTCGGCTGGTTGCGTGCAAAGCTCGGCTCCTCTTGCATCCATCACACACCATTGTCCTGTGGTAGCTCGCTTACTTGTGTGGGGAAGTCCGCCCAGAGCCCCAAGCATAAATCCCTCCTTGGCTGGCCCAATGATCTCCAAGCTTTTCTGGACACCTCGGACTTTTTTGCAAAGGCAGCGCCCTGACATCATGGCCTCGGTGTGCTGTCTGGGACGGATTTTGTAATGGGTCTGGTGATCATAGGCCGCAGTCAACGCCCCCAGACATTTCCAGAGAACAGTGCACCTCCGAGAAACACGGATCAGGTAGGCTGAACACCCTCAATCCCTTAGCAAGCGAATTGGAAGTAGCATTCCGCGAAGGTGGTCGTGTAAGAAATCCAATCAAAGCTGCCACCTCAAGCCACGACATTGGAAGTCTGGAGACTACCCGAGTATTTCTATGTGGTGTGCGATCCTATGAGCGGACCTGCAGTGCTGAGAGCGGAACGTCAAAGTGGGGATACGAGTTGGGATCGTCGTCCAGAGCGGAGAGATTCTGCCCATCACTGACCTGCCTCGTCAGCTGCATACCAGGACACACTGTACGCATTGTACAATTGCACAATTGCCCATACACGTGATTGCCAGCGAGTCCCGTTAAACGAGGGTCATCTCACTGATCGGAAACATCGTGACCGCTTTTTATGACGTGCCAGCATTGCATCACACAGCGAGTCTGGTGAAGGCGCCCCTGCAATGAGCGCTCAAATCCGACCGTTGGGTGCTTGTCATCTAATCCCCAAAAATAAAGCAGCATTGTCACTCACGACAATGAACTGGTCCCTGACGGGATCGAGTCAACCAGATTCAGGGCAGCATCCCGCCGGTCGAGGTTCCAGCCGATGACCAAACAACGACTTCCACCGGCACAAGTCGCGGCGCGGACGCGATCTCAGCGTCGGTGTAGAAAATGGCCCTGTGAACAACTGGAGTTTGCATACTTTGTGCATGTCTAGACTGTGGATGGGCCTCATGATTGTCTGATGCACAGACGAATTAGAAATTGTCATCCGTCGATGGTCTGCCCATACGGTGAAACTAGCAAGGGATGCACGCACAGCATGCAACCGGATTGTTCGACTTCAGCCCTGACTTGAAAACGGCGCTGTAACGAAGAAGAGCCGTTGAAGCCAAGCAATCACTTTAGAAGCCGCACTGTCAAGTGGCACGCGCCCGACAAACGAAGTCCGATGTCACCGTAACACGACCAGGGCGAGGATCCACATCCTCAGATCGCTTGTCATAAAATCCGGAGCAGAACAAGACCGACATCATGACTAATAATGAGTGTAGGCTGGATTTTCCATGTCTGCACAGGAGCGATACTTGCACAGCAACTGCAGATCTGGAATATTCTAAGCTCCAGTCCCTCGGCAACCTTTGACACCTACCCATTCAGGTGAGTGCATTTCATAATACGCATGAGAGGATTTTCAATTACGTGAGAACACACCACTTGTCGGCCAATTTCTGACTACTGGAGCGCGCCACAAACAAGCGTCCGACTGGTTTCTGGTGTTGTCATCGTGGCTGCCGCGGTTCATTTCCGAGTCGCATTGCCCAGCGCCAATTTGCGGGGCCCCAATGTGGAGATTTAGCGGGGGACAACGCTTTAGGAATAGCAGATTCTGACCTGTGTGCCACATTCGGCATGTGCTGCTTGGCCCCAAAACACAACAAACGTGCTCTACCCTGCCCAGTCACTGTGTGTATGTTACACTTGGGAACACAGATCCTGACTCGCTGTGAACCTAGCCGCGGCCTGGGAGTGCAACGCTGACCATCTAGGGAATCCAGGCAAGGCCAAAAAGAAATCGTGCCAAAAACTATGGACTACAGACTCTCGCGTCCGCAGTGATCCACCTGTTACGCACCATATCTGATGAGATGGTGCCATGATCATATTGCTGGTCGGAGCGTTCGGCGGCGATGCCACCGCCGCATTCCAGCACGTTTTCCGTCGCGATGATCAAAGACATGCTAAGGCTGTGCGATTTGCCTCGGATGGCAAACGAACCAGATGATCTTCGCAATTTATTGCTCCTTTGGCAAGCTTTCCAGAATCTTGGCAGTCAGCGGATGGGCCATGGAGGTTCGAGGACGATCGTTCCCACCGGACATCGCAGTGCCCGTCTCCCTTTCAAGACTAATGCCATTAATGAAGAAAACTAGCAAGCGGACGGCTTCACTGCTGTCAGAGTCAACGGTGCTCATCGATGTACAGCGATGGCGAACAGGCATAGATTAAGCGACCATCAAGACTTTATTCGTGCGTGAGATCGCATCGTGAGGGGTACGTGGTTCTGGATCCAGCCATCATTCGCTCGTGGAGAAGTGCACGCGCTGGTTGAGTAGGACGTCAATACCTCGATCGGGAAGTGTACTGTACAAAGATTTCTGTACCAGTTCTGTCAGCTTCACCACGCCTCAGGTCATTGTTCCATCGATGACAGCACTAGGACCTGCATATCCGAGTGTAGATCGTGCCTGACGCTAAGAAAGTCGCCCAATTTTTCCCCAAGAAAAAGCCAAGACAAGCGAGGGAGTAGCATGGTCTCAGTGCTAGTCCGTGCAGGCACCCACTACTCCTCATCAATGCACAACTGTGGCGGCGGAGGGGGCGACATGGCGAAACTGGAGGACATGGTAACCTCATCGGCTGTCAATCCATGCCATGTGCTCTGACAGCCCGAGGGCGATCGGGATATATAAACTGTCTCCTCTGACCAGTATTTTCCAATTCTCCATCCTGCAATCCCATCATCTTCAGGCATCACTACCACAACAAAACCTTACCTTTTGCCAACTCAACACCGCAAACATGCTGTTCAAGTCCCTCGCCATTGTCGGCTTTGCCGCCACCGCTGTCGTCGCTGACGGCGCTGCCATTGTCAAGTCCCTCGGCACCATCCGCCAGAAGAACGCTGCCTTCAACGGCACCCTCGTCAAGTGGGACGGCTCCCTCTTCGGTGCCATCCCGATCTTGACCTCCTCCGGCGACCTCAACAAGGCCGTTGACGCTGGCACCAAGGTCGCCAAGGCCTCCGCCCCTCTCTCCCTCGATGAGGCCACCCAGGTCTACATCGCCACCCAGAGCCTCCAGGGTGAGATCGTCGTCACCATCGACAACCTCATCGCCGCCAAGCCCAAGTTCGACAAGGCCGGCGTCACCGTCATCACCACCTCCACCCTCAGCACCTCCCGCAAGTCCGCCGCCGCCTTCGGTGCCGCCGTTGTCGAGAAGGTCCCCGCCGACCTCCAGTCTTTCGCCCAGGGTGTCGTTGGCTCCATCGACGCTGAGTTCGCTCGTGCCCAGGCTGTCTACGGCAAGCCCCTCTTCTAAATGGCTCGCGCGACTGGTCTTTGAAGGACCCTCGGTGCTGAACCTTCGGATTGCCTGGTCGCAAGCGATTAAATTCGACTGATCAGGACGGATGAAATGGGAACCATGCTTGTACGACAACCAAAAAGTGGCATCTTGATTCGCACTAGGCGATCATGGCTGCAAAAATTATTACCCCAAAATTTATGAGAATTATCTTTTGATGTGCTTCTTATCTTCCCTCGTCTTCTTCATCCTGACACGTTCCTCTTCGTTTTCATTTCTGAATACTACCTAATTACCAGAATGTTTTCAAACATTGCACGAATGGCGAAAAGCGCCGCCATGCATGCCGTCTCATTTCTCACTTCTCCCTCCCTCGGGTAATTCCCACCAATGCAGAGTGTCGGCATTCCCTCCTGCAGATCCCGCGTTGGGCCAAGCCAAATTTCCCAAAAATGCCCTAGCTCTGACCCTTCGTTCCTGTAAATGAAATTGTCCATCATCCCCTGTCTACCTATCCTGAAATTGCATCACATACATCGCTTATGATATTTCCGTTTGGTGCGGAAATTGGATGCTCTGATGAAGTGATGTTTGGTGCGCAGCCCTGTCCTTCCGCCCACGCGGTAATCGTGGGAAGTATCGCGCGCCCGGGCGTTTCTCAAGTCTATGGTCAAAACCTTGGAGGTCGTTCCTCACATTTGGTACATATGTAGCCCCCACGTGGTTCCCGAGCCTCTTCGCTCTGCAGGAGGTGTTCATCACCGGAATTCGTGACTGATGTCATTGTGCTGTATGATGTTGGGTCACGATCAGGCTCTAGGAGTGCGTGTTGGCTCGATATGATATGATAGGAGGGTCGAAAACTGGTAGTTGTCTAGGATGGACAGGCACCTAGACTGATGCTTTGACGCTGGGCTACTTCCCACGGACAGTGGACCAAATCCTTCCGAGTGGTGGCTTCCTCTACACCATCTCTTTACATTGCTCAGAGATGCGCCCACGCACCCAGCGGTTATATCTCTCCTCAAGGTCGTGCGAATGATGGCTTCGACTGATGCAAATCTTGAGAGAGAATTCTTTGGCATCAATAAAGGCCAGCCTTCGTTGCATGTATTCTCGATCGATTCTTATGAAGGCTGTGGTGTATCGAGATGCTTGGGGTAAATTGACCCTAAACACGAAGATGCGGCCGTAACCCTAACAAATTGCGACGACATCCCTCGTCCAAAAGAATCTCAGGGCATTTGGGTACGATGATCCGTGATAGCAGAAACTCTGGCGAAGCATCCCAAGTGCGAGTCGAGATCTAATTTCATGTCTGAATCCGATTCATAATGACCAGCAAGCCCAGGGCCGGCATTCACGATTGACGAAAGCGCATGCAGCAAACGATACGAATGCCGCCCACTCCACAGAACAGCCCACGGAGACCGTTCTGAAGAAGCAGTCACCAATCACCCGCGATCAAGGCGCCGCACGAACGCCAGGAAAAATAGTGAACAGCCGCAATCATGATGAGCAGCACTGGTGGGCAGGATGCCAAATTCTTCGCTAGAGTACGTCCTCCTTAACTACTCCAGCATACACCTATAATCACTACCACCATTTCACCCGCCTGCCGTCAGCGCACATCGCATGGCCGCCTGCGTGGAGCCCTTGCAACAGCGGAGAGGTCCGCAAACCATGAAACATATCGCATTAATATATCGTCATATTATATCGGCGTCATCAGTGGCAAGGGAAGAAGACTTCGCTAAGATATCGAGATGTACAGGGCAAAGTTGCGGAGCTCAAGGCAGAGTTGCATGCAGGCAGCGGCAAGAAGGACAAAACCTACTCCTCGAAGAAGATTGCGCTGAAGAAGATCGTGGCGAACATGACAATGAGCAACAATGATATGATCGCGCTTTTTGCGGATGTGATCATGTGTATGGAGATACCAAATCTGGAGATCAAGAAAATGTACGTTGGAACGGAGGACACCCGCGAGGCCACAGGCCTATTTGTTGATGGAGAAAGCTGACAGAGAGGCAGGTGCTTCCTATACCTCGTCAACTACGCCCGAATGAAGCCGGACATTGCCCTGAAAGCTTTACCTATTCTGGTCCAGGTATGTTGGCGCCGAGGAAGGTCAAGAGTGTGTTCACGATGCTCATCGTCTTACTGTGTAGGATCTCGGCGACTCAAACCCGCTTATGCGTGCGCTTGCGCTCCGGACATTGTCATATGTCCACGTACGTCAATTCGTCGAAGCGACCATTGAGCCACTAAAAGTACTGCTTCAAGACTCAGATCCATACGTGCGCAAGACTGCTGCATTCACGGTCGCCAAAGTCTACGACCATGACAAGAACTTGGTAGAGCGAAGCGACTTAATTGATCGCCTCAATATGATGCTTCGTGACGAGAACCCGACAGTGGTGTCATCAGCACTAGCCTCATTAATGGATATCTGGGAGCGAAGTGAGAGCATTAAATTGACCATCGACTATGCGAGCGCAAGCAAAATTGTTCAGATCTTGCCAGACTGCTCCGAGTATGAGTCCTCCCAATATGCGTACTGGCTTGATGCTAATCCGGTTATAACAGATGGGGCCAAACATACATCCTCGAGGCCTTGACATCATATGTCCCACAAGACACCGAAGAGGCTGCGCTTCTAGCCGACAGAATAGCACCACGTCTATCACATACAAACTCAGCTGTTGTCTTGACTTGCATCAGAGTCATCCTATATCTAATGAATTACATCGATTCGGAAAAGGTCGTTGCATCATTATGTGCAAAATTGAGCCCGCCACTCGTGACACTGCTCAGCAAAGGCCCGGAAATTCAATATCTGGCTCTCCGGAATGCGCTGCTAATCTTGCAGCGAAGGCCCGAAGTTTTGCGCAACGACATCAGAGTCTTCTTCTGCAAATACAACGATCCTATTTACGTTAAGGTGACGAAGCTCGAACTCATCTTCATGCTTGCCACTGAGAAAAACATCAACGAAGTCCTCACCGAGCTTCGTGAATACGCAACCGAAATCGATGTCCACTTCGTGAGAAAATCAGTGCGCGCCATTGGCAAACTGGCCATCAAGATCGAACCGGCTGCCAAGCTATGCATCTCGTCCTTACTTGAGCTCGTCGCAACTAAGGTCTCCTATATCGTCCAGGAAGCCACAGTAGTCATCAAAAACATATTCCGAAAATACCCCAACCAATACGAATCGATAATCTCGACGCTGTGCGAGAATCTGGACTCGCTGGACGAGCCAGAAGCAAAGGCGGCGATGATCTGGGTTATTGGACAGTATGCTGATCGAATCGAGGACTCGGAGATACTCCTCGAAGACTTCTTGGACAGCTGGCCTGATGAGACCCATGAAGTACAGCTTGCCTTACTCACCGCCACCGTCAAGCTCTTCATCCAACGGCCGACAAAGGGTCAAGACCTGGTGCCCAAGGTGCTAAAATGGGCCACTGAGGAGACAGATAATCCAGATCTTCGTGACCGCGGCTACATGTATTGGCGCCTCCTCAGCAGCAACCCCACTGCTGCCAAAAGCATCGTCATGGGCGAGAAGCCTGCCGTATCTGCCGAAACCGAAAAACTCGACCCTCTAACCCTTGAGGAGATGTGCCTCGTCGTCGGCACCCTCGCTACCGTCTACCTCAAACCCGTCCACACCGTCTTCCGCTCCGCTCGGCCCCGGCGCATCCAGGAATCTCCCGCCCTACAGCGCCATACACTACCCACATGGCAAGCTGCGCAACAAGCCCGTCTTGTTGCCGATCACGCCGATGCCGGACAGACAGAGTCCTCCGACGTCCTCGATGCAGCCGATGCTTATTTCGCTAGCTTGGGTGCTCAGGGAGTTGCGAATGATGGTTTCGCGAGCAGTCCTATGGACGGCGGCGCGGGGCGTGAGGGCGGACAGAGATATATGGTTAATCAGGGACAGGGTTTGGGAACGGTGCAGCCTACGATGCATGTGCAGAATGGCGAAGGTGATTTGTTGAGCTTTTAGAGAAAACAAGTTACGGAATGAAAATACGGATTTATTTTTCTGCATCATAGATCATCAAATTGAGCCTTTGGTTTTGCGATCCTGTTTGCTCGCGCTAGGGAGCAGATTCAAAGCTCTAGTCCAGCGCGGTCAGAAGCCGCAGCCTGAATCCCCTTACACTGAAAGCAGAAAACACAAGGCCTACTTTGTCAAGCATTCGCATTTTCATGGGAAACTCGTGCCCGCGTGTCCCAGCAAGGAAGGCACACGAGAGAAACGCAGCCTTGAAACGCATGATCTTTCGCCCTTCGGAAACGCCCCACGTTCGATGGGCTTGCATCGGGTTGGAGGAGCTCACCGGTCACCTGCGCTATTCCCGATGCGGCTGGAATACATGCATGTCGAATGGATGTAGCTTTTCCGACGCTTCTTCTTCTGATTGGAATTTCTTCATCAAGGCTTTCCTGGGTGAATTTAGTCTTTTCGTTCGCTATGATGCTTTTGTACTGTACAGATGAACAAAGGTCGACCTCTGGGGCTGCAGGATCCAATTCAGGGTTGTAACGCTGTTCGTATGGCCTGTGGGAATATATAGGATGGGTCACTTCCGCCATGGTAGATCCCGTCGAGCATACCGGTCAGCCTCGAGGGATATGTGGCAGAACTCTCTCGGACATATGGCTAAAAGAATCTTTGCCGTCACGATAGGCATGCTCCTTACATATGGGTGGCTTGCCCAGGGTGCGCCTCTCCTCGAAGAACATCTATTCACATGAAAGATCAGATGATCGCAGTTTCTTATTTTTTTTTGAGGTCCTGCGGTCACGTCCAGGCCACTCAAAATGGCACGTCTGGCGAGAACAGCACATACATACAAATAGAAGACCGCCCTGTTGTGCTCAAACATGACGGATGCCCACATTCGCCTTGATCGCGCGCGCGATAGAGCAGCCTTCGTCCCTGAAATTTCTTCCAAGTAATGCGTCCGTTGTCGACGTCCATTGCAGCTTCGAGTCTGGTGCTGTGACTCCACACAGGAAATAGGCATGACGGACGCAGAATACAACTGTGGTGATCCAAACGGCGATGTCGCTGGCTGGGGCGTGTGTATCAATGAATAGCTCAAATAATCGCATCTCTGGTGCTGACCCCAGGTGGATTTTAGGTGGTTGTCGCCACGCTTTGCGCATCTACTCTGAGCATCATCCTTTCGGCGCTATGTCTAGCCCTCCATGTGATGAACCATAGGAATGGGAATGACCCACAGAGCAAGAGATTCAAGCTGTTCACGGCCGTCAGCGCATTCCTCATGGAACTGAGCCTCAACCAGATCGTCACCGGCTTCGCGCTGTACGTGAGCGCTATGAAGTTCTACGGCATCTCCTTGGAACCCCACGCGCTGCTCGCCGTCCGTCTCAGCGAGCTCAGCGCCGTCAGTCAAATTCAGATCGTCATGGTCGCGCGCGTCGAGCGGCAGGTATCGCTTCATCTTCGCTGGATCTCGAGTCTGCTGTACGGATGCACCGCCACGTTCTGGAATGTTGTCATCCTGTTCCGTAATAAAAGCGATCGCCTTGAGATGATTGTCGGATTTCTCTTCCTGTTCGTGCTTCAGTCGTTCCTGATCGCCTGGACTCTCCTCTACATCTTCCTACGAGCGAAGCAGAGAATGCTTTGTCCAGAACGAATCGTATTCCGCACAGATGCCATATCCGATCGTGGGGTGCGCTTCTTGGAATTCACGGAAAGACTCGTTCTGCGTTGGCCATATGATTGGCCCGGGCTTCGAATCGCTGGCTCGGTGATTGCTCTCGCTTCAAACCTTTACCTGACGTACACGGTCTGCAAGCTCAAATTCTTCACGTATGAGTGGAAGGGCAAGATGTGCAAATTGGCGAACGAGCAAGATGATCGGACCACATTCGGACAAGTCCTCGCTATGATGATGATGGCATCAATGGCCTACTCGCTCATTGAGTCTGGCCTCTTGGCGATGCTTCTCACCCTGGCGTGGTCATCTCTTGGTATGCACGATTCGAAATGTCGAAACGTGTTCACGAAACAAATCAAGATTGCTGATATTGGCTTTTCAGGATGTTTGCGACCAGGCAGCAAATCGAGTTCGAGGGTAGAGCTAGACAACGACATAAGTTATCGATCTATAGGCTCGCCGGAAGTAGCTCTAGATACGAGTGGGTTTGGAGACGCTTTCCTGGATGATAGAATTCATCTTGTGCGCAAGCCGCCTTTCGTCCATGCGCTCAGCTACTCGTCAGCGGCTAGCACGGAGGACAGTCGATCTTGATACAGTCGTCACGATGGCGTTTTGGAGTCCTGATAGCTAGTTTCATGAATTTTCTCTAATCGATTAATCATTGCCAGAGACTTGTTTCGTTGGCCTTGCCGGTCCTGCACGGTGCAGATTGAGCGCGTTTCTTTAGGAGGCTTCGGCGATCATGCGCAGTTCAGTAGACCGTGTGCCGTTGATGTGGAACTGACGACCGGCATACGGTGAATACGAGTAAAAGTGACTCATGATGTGTTGGAGTGATAAAAAGAGTGGTTAATCTACCCGCGCGTGACCGTATTTTCAATTGTCGCGAACACTGGTCGTTCAGGGTCCAAAGCTCGTTGTAAATTGTTACGTCTCTAACAATATATAACCTTGACTTCACCTCCCAACGATCATATCGTTACAAGCTGACTATCGCATCCTGTACACAATGCAGCGCGCGCTCGATTGGATGCAACATTGCTGTTCTCAGTGAGAATGCCATTTCGCCAATCTGTCGAACAAAACGTCCGACATGTTCTTCAGCATACATTAAGGGTCCTGCGACGGGTTCCTGTCGCGTGCGCTGTCCTCATCGTCATTTGGGCTTACACACTACTCCACGGCGAAAGATGGACATTCGCGAATCATATCCGAACATGTGCCTGGCAAGAGTGGGAGGGTTGGCCTGAGGATGCTACACCACATCATTTGGTGTTCGTCGCCGACCCACAACTTGTTGATCCACATACCTATCCTGGTCGGCCATGGCCTTTGGACACCCTCACAGAGATCTACACTGATCGCTACATGAGTCGTAACTTCCGCCTAATCAATGCCGAGCTCGATCCGGACTCCGTAGTCTTCTTGGGAGACTTATTCGACGGCGGTCGCGAATGGGCACCGAGCTGGGGACGTCCCTTGAGCGCAGACGAGAAGGTCTTTCTTTACAATCTGGGTGTGGTGGTGAAGCCGAGAATCCCCGAAGTAAAAAATTCACACGTGAAAGAGGGAGATTTCAATCCGGATCTTGCCAAGCTGCAAGAAAGCTGGGAGATTGAGGCTCGGCAGTCAGCGCAGCCAGTGCCGCCACAGGATCCGAGGAGCTACATACACGGCGAGGAGGGCAGATGGGCGAGATGGGGAAGCGAGCAATGGGTTATAGAGATGGAGCGCTTTGCGAAAATCTTCTATGCGCCTGGACAGCTATACCCACGCTCCAGTCGAAGCCAATCGCCTGCAGTGAAGACTTGGCCTAGCGACATCATCCTTGATAATGGCGCGTGGAACACCAGTAGGCAGGAACTTGCAATCCTGGGCCACAAGCAGCGCAAAGTCGTGACCAACCTCCCTGGGAATCACGACGTCGGGTTTGGATCTGGCGTCCAGCTATCTGTGAGAAATCGCTTCGAGGGCGTTTTTGGAAGCGGGAACGATTTATATGTACTCGGAAACCACACATTTTTGAGTCTCGACACGCCGTCGCTCTCCGCATATAGCGAGTTTACAATTAGAGGAGAGACCTCAAAGGAGGAACGAGACGAGGCGCGATACATCTGGGAGCCGGCCTATCAATACTTGGACAATCTGCAAAATCTGTCCAAGCCGGTCATCAACAGCGCCATTGCCGAGATGTTTCCTGATGCAGAGAACGTCCCCGGACGGACTCCTCAGCAGATTGCTGATGCACGAGCAGCAAGCGATGCCCTTGTCAAGCGACAGCCTTCTCAAACACAGTTGCCTGTCATTTTACTGTCACACGTGCCGTTCTACCGCGACCAGGGCTTCGATTGCGGCCCTCTGCGGGAGAAAGGAAGGTCCATTCACGTTTCAGCCGGATATCAATACCAGAATGTACTCACCAAGGAGCTCACAACTCACATTGTCCAGCGAGTCTCGTCTTCGATTGGCGAAATTGCCCACGTCTTCTCCGGCGACGACCACGATTACTGCGATGTCGAATTCCCTTACGATATAGGAAGTGTATCTGGTGAACCTTCCCACTTCTGGCCCAGTGTTAGAGATATCACTGTCAAGAGTTTTAGTTGGGCCATGGGCGTTCGGAAACCTGGTTTCCTGCTGGTTAGTCTTTGGAACCCCATAGATGCGAATGGTAAAAGCATCAGATCCACGAGGCAGACCATCCAATCCAAGTCATGCCTACTGCCCGACCAATTGGGCATATTCATCCAATATGCATCGCTCCTGGGCTTCACCTTGGCAGTCCTCCTTGCTCGTGCCGTCTTTGTCGCTTCCCGCGGCTATTCCGATCAAGACGATCTGGTTCTCAGCACCCTCACTTCCCGCTCTGCGACAAAGCACAGCAGCAGCAAGTCAAATGGCTTTTCCGCGTCACAATCCTCCCCACTGCTCCACGGTCGCCACCGCGCCTCCTCAACTTCTACTTCAACCAACACCAGCGATCCCGAGAAACTCAGCGTCCAGCGCAGCTACAATGCCCGCACCCGAAGCATAAGTCCCATGCCGCTAGGAGAAGCTTTCACCAAGATCGCCTCCATTGCAAAGAATGCCGTTTCCTCCCAGAATCTTTCACCAGAATCACATGCCGTGGAATATGAGAAGTCGCGACTTTCTCCACAAGTCCGCTGGGACGATGCTCATTCGGATCTCGAATCGCAGATCGATGATGCTGAGCACGATCAGGACGAAGACTATGATGACTTTGATCCCATATTCTCGTCTTCTTCGGGTACGAGTGGGACAAGGGACAGTCAAGCGAAATGGAAGAAGAGGCTGCGGCCGAAGAGGAAGGGCGGTGGGAAAGCTCGTCGTGCGATCATCGAGTTTGGTAGTAGTTTGGTGTGGGTTGCGGTGCCCAGTGCAGTCTTATACGGTTGGTTAATCTGGAGTGGCTGAAATTGCTGGACCTGGTACATAGTGTTGACAGACGACCGAATCCATATCGCATCCTGCCGTTCCAACGTGGGAATCTCATCCAGTGTTTCGGACGGTCGCTCCGCAGAGAAACCATTTGCCTGCGCGAGTCATGCGTCCCCAGGAAGCGGAGAAGCTCTCCCATTTGGATGCTGCCCGCGAGTGACGTTGCGTCGTTCATAGCACTCAGTGTATGGTCTCGCTGTAGACCACGGTTCGTCCTCCCAGCATCCTCTTTCGAACGATTGTCTCTCTCTTCACGTGCGCAGTAATCAAGACTTTCATCGATCCTATCATCAGGTAGGTGGCGCAATGCGCATTCTGGTAGGTGCCAGCGCGGCTTGCGTCACGCAGCTATGTCACAGCCACACCGGTGAAGGCGTCGCAGTCTTGCCGCCGTGATTTTCGATTTCAACTCTGCTCATCTTCTTCTTTCGAGTATTTCATCATTTCAAACATGTCCAAGATACGGCTTCTCAACGTGAGCACGCTCGAATTCACCGAGTTCCCAGACGACAAGACGCGGCCAAAGTACGCGATTGCGTCGCATAGATGGGGAGTCGACGAAGCTACGTATGAAGATGTGAAGGAGAAGCGCAACGAGAGTAAGGACGGATACCAGAAAATCCAAGCGTTCGCGCAGTATGTGAGGGAAAACACAAGTGGTCTCGATTGGTTATGGATCGACACTTGCTGTATAGACAAGAAAAACGCGGTGGAGCTATCGTACGCGATTAATTCTATGTTCAAGTGGTATCGCAACGCAGAGGTCTGTTTTGCCCACCTCGCTGGAATAGCGTCCTTGACACAGCGGAGCGATATAGGAAGCGATGAATGGTTTCGCAGAGGCTGGACACTACAAGAGCTGCTCGCTCCACGCTTGGTTGTTTTTTTGACGAAGGACTGGGAAGTAATCGGCAACAAGGGATCTTCATTCCAGTTCTACTCCGGCACTGATGTCGGACCCGATGTTGTAGCAGAGATCTCGAACATCGTGGGAATACCTGAGCGCGTGTTGAATGATTGGGGTGCGAGCCTCACGATACCTGTTAGGGACAAGATTCGCTGGATGGAGGGGAGAAGAACAACCCAAGAGGAAGATATAGTATACGCTTTGTTTGGAATCGTCGGAGTCATGCTAAATGTCAACTATGGAGAAGGAGAGGACAACGCCAGAAATCGGGTCCTCGCTGCACTGCGCCAACGCGATGAATTCGAGGATGAACGCAAGGAAAAATTCCAGAAGATCACAGCGTGGCTTCGACCTTCTAATCCATGGACGAACCATGAATCTGCACGGAAATTGCATGAGCCTGGAACTGGAGATTGGCTGCTACAGACGGACGAATATCAGGCCTGGAAATCTGCAGATGGACCGCGATGCCTCTGGCTTTACGGTGGCGCCGGGTGTGGCAAAACGGTTCTCTGTTCTACTACCATCGAAGACATGCAGGTGCACTGTCGAGGCAACGATGAATTTGGATATGCAGTGTTTTATTTCACGTTCTCAGATGAGAGGAAGCAGACTTATGAAAGTTTATTGATCTCTCTTCTTGCACAGCTTGGACACAAGGAGCCGGCCTTCTCGATGCTTCAAACCTTGTATGACAGACCTGACAAAAGATCCCCAGGGCAAAGGGAGCTCGAACAATTATTAGATGCAGCAGTAAAGTCTTACAAGCAAGTCTTCTTGCATCTGGACGCGCTCGATGAATGCCCCGAGGAAGATAATGCCCGACGACGTATACTAGAAGGAGTAGGAAGACTATTACTACAAGCACCAAATGTGCACTTGATCGCCACAAGTCGAGATGAGCTAGAAACCCGCAATTGCATGGACCGACTCGGAGCCAAGTCTGTTAGTCTCACTAGCAGGCTTGTTTACCCTGACATACAGCGATACGTCTTGAAAGAATTAGCTATCAACCCAAAACTTTCTCGGCTCGATCCTGCTTCGAAGATCCTGGTTGAGCAGACCCTAACACGAAAGGCTAATGGGATGTATGTAGAAGAAATCCTTTGTGGCTGTTGATGTGCTCACTCACCATGTAGGTTCCGATGGGTCTTCTGTCAGATCCAAGAATTGAATAAATCGAAGTCCACCCGACCAAGCTCAGTGGAAAAGGCGCTGCTGAATTTGCCTGCGACCTTGGATGAGACGTACGAGCGGATATTGCAGAACATATCTGCTGATGATCAGCAATATGCACACACACTTCTTCGATGGATCGCCTATGCGCAGCGTCCTTTGAGTCTGCGAGAGTTGGCCGAAGCGAGCATCGTCTTTCCAAGTGAAGACGCTTCCGGCAATGACACTGTAGCTACCGACGACCGAGGCGGCTGGGAGGACGCTCTCAGTATACTCGTCGGACTCATTATCGCAGTCCGACCCCCTCGCCGTATTGAGGCAAGTATACGTCGTACTCGCTGGGATGATTTCGAGATGTACTACGATCAGGATTCGAATTACGAACAACAAACCACGCCACACACATTCATACGATTAGCGCATTTTTCCGTCAAGGAGTATCTCGAATCTCCGCGCATCGCACACAGTGTGGTGAGACGCTTCCAGCTGGATCCGGGCCGAGATCATCGATGGATCACACAAAGCTGCCTCGTATACCTGATGCATTACAGTGATTTTACGCGAAAGACATCGCCTGAACCGGTTCTTGATGCATTTCCTCTGTTGAGGTATGCTGCGATGACGTGGCACCGCCACGCATCGCTACAACAGTCGCCAGATCATACCCGAGAAGTGCGTTTTCTCACATGCAAATCGTATCGAAGTGACTGGCGCAATCTGCACAATATTGATAGTGGGGACCCGACCTCTGGTCCTTATCGCGGACCACCCCATGGTATAGGGGGTTCAGTATACTACGCGAGCATGCTCGGTCATACCGACGTCGTTCGAGCGCTTTTAGCTGCAGGCGAAGAAGTCGACGCGCGAGGAGGCCGACATGGCAACGCGCTGAACGCTATATCATTCAAAGGTGACGAGAGAATGACACAAATATTGCTGGCAGCAGGTGCAAAGGTGGATGCGGACGGGGGAGAGCATGGCAATGCGCTACAGACTGCGTCTACGTTCGGGCACGAGATGGTGGTGCGAATGCTGTTAGCCGCAGGCGCGGAGGTCAATGCACAAGGTGGGCAGTCCTGTCATGCGCTTAAAGCTGCAATTCGAAGAGGACATGAGTCGATCGTGTCGATGCTGTTAGACGCCGGAGCAGTCGACAAAGAGATGGAGGATGAATTGGCAGCTAAGTTTCCGCGTAAATGGGCAAGGGATGAAGAGAGGGAGCACAAGAGGAGGGACAGTATTCTCTTTCGCGCGCGTCGCAAACGGCACGAAATAGCGTACGCTCGTGATCCTAAGAGCAAAATATGGACAGAAGCATTAGAGGAACGATGATGTTGCCTTTGCACGTGCGTCGCAAACGGCATGAAATGGAGTACTCTCATACCCTTGAATGAACACTGAACAGCAAATTGCCGACTCGAGAACCAAAGAGAACTCATCATGAAACGACTTCACACACACACCGCGCACGCCGAGTCTCGGCAAACCAATAATAATCGCACTATGAATTCGCTTTTCAAAAGAACCACTACGAATCCGAACGAGAATAACATTCCACCCCCTTTCACTTTTTTTGACCTAATCCAAATATAAAAGAAAAAAATGCCTCTCTAAATCAATAAAGAACCCGCACAAAGCGCCGCAGCAAGCGCACCAAGTGCCTGACCCGCAGCAGCAGTACGGCAGGCAGCACCGGGCGAGGTCGATGTCGGCGCAGCAGAAGAAGTCCTCGAGCCGGTATTCGACGAGCCAGTAGTAGGCGACGTGGTCGCGCCGCCGCTAGTCATCGTGGTCCCTGCACCAGAGGTGGTGCTTGGGGTGTTGTTTCCAAAAATGCTGACGCAGGATTTCGTCGAGGAGACGGTGACAGTAGCGGCGAAGGCGCTGGCGGAGGAGCCTGCGATCTGAGCGTATTTCTGCTTGACGAATTGCACGGCGGCGTTTTCGGTCTCGATGTTGAAGTAGGAGAGGTGGGCGAGGCCGTTGGTGCCGGTCGCGCAGCAGAGCGGGTCTTCGGCGTGGCAGTTGTCTTGGAGGCGGTCGGCGTAGCGTTCCATGTTGTCGTAGTATTGACTGCCGAAGGGACGGAGAGGGAGGAGCTGAAAAGCGAAACCACGTTAGAGACGTAGATCTTCGCTGAAATGTTTCATTCGACGACTGAAGACTTACAGCTTCGCTGGTGCAGTGATTGCAAAGCGGCATGCCACCTTGGTTTGCAGCCCATGTTCCGTCTCCCCAGGTAGCGATGGCAGCGACTGTAAACGGCGTCAGTGTATTGTCCATTGTATTCCATCCACATCAAATGAAGACCTACTATTCTTGCCAATGTTGTCCGGCAACTGCGCTGGCACCGTTACGTTCTCCAAATCCGCCAGATTAGGGATGATCCGCGTCAAATTCGAGTTCTTGAGGGTCGAAAAGGTACCGCCAGCGAGCATCAAATCGATGACAATGGCACCCTGTGAATAACCGAGAAGGACAGTCTTGCCATCGGGACACGAGTTGTAGTAATCTACCAAACGCTTGCGCATGTCGGTGACTCCTTCTATTGTGGACTTGACGATCTGGAAGCTGGCTGGGTAGTCGATCTCCTCGTAGTATGAGTCGGGAATGGCGATGACAAGAGCGTCGCCGATGGTAATCAGGGAAGAATTCTCTCGTGCCTCGTTGGTTCCGCGAGCGGACAAGATGTAGGCGCCCTTGTAACAGGTCGCGGCGGAGATGAGGGAGGGAGCGAGCAAGGCTGCGAGCGCCGAAGCGACGACGGTGGAGCGCATTTTGGCGAGGATATTATTACTGTAAGTGATAGCGACTGTGTGGAAGCGAAAGAGCGAGCGGCTGGTAAGAATCGAAAGAGCAGCAGCGAACGGAGATCGTCTATCGTATGTATCAATCTATCGAGAGGAAGGTGAAGTGGAAAGGAAGACGCATGTGTGATGATCGGCAGCAGACAACCACGGAAAGGGAGGGATTTCTTTGGCTGTACCAGATCCAAGTCCAAAACATGCGTGGTGACGCGGCGGCGCCCGATTGCTGCGGCTGTTCGCGGGCGGTCAATGGTCAATGCATGGTGATCATCCGGGCTTCCGGGTCGGATTTAGAACGCACACCGCAGATACATGAAAACATCATGCACATTTTGCAGAGACATACAGTATTATCATACTAAGCATGCACGTATATTCAGCAATTCATGCCATTCGATTCGCCTACATTTGAGCGTGCTGCGCACACGATGCTTCTCGTCACAGCTTTGCAAACACTCTGCTCACCCTGACTCCTATCCCCAAGCCGAAGCTGAACGGTCGAGCGGGGCGATGATACTTTCGGAATCAATCTCTTGCCCAACGGCCAGGCTGATTGCTGTTGATGGAGATACATAAGCCCTTGGCAGCCTTGTCGCCGTTCCGAAACGATCTTCGAAGTCGGCAGCCTTGTACTATTCTAAGGAAAGATACTCTGTCGATGCGTCCACGTGCCGAGGGTATCGTCGACGGGCAAAATACGCGGAAAGCCCCGAGTGCGCTGTAACACGGATGAATCATCGTCGCAAGGTGGTATCCATAGAAAAATGCTTGCATGCTGAGAAGCTTTTCGAGTACTGTCTGAGCATGGCACTGCTGATCACATGTCTTGGAGGCCCCATGGTAGACGTAAAGAAAATACCCGGGATGCAATCATTCTCGTGATCTCATACATGCATTACATACAGATGCAGATCCGTTTGCCGATCATGGTTCTTCGGACTTCCGATCGCGTGGTAGCCGGGTCCAGGGTCGCGCTACAACGTTGCGCGGTTCATGATCTCTTGTCAAATTGCATGGGTCTAGCTGTCGATGAAGATGATCATCATTGGTACATTGCAACATCGGCAGAGCGACATCGAGGTAGACTCCAGGCTGGAAGGACTGGTGAGAAGAGTGATTGATGTGAAGTCGCTGGGATACAGTAGCCTCATGTGTGAGGCTTATTTAAGGATGAGGAGGTTCTCCCAGTGTTATTTCTCAAAGCACGGGATGCGACTAGCCGCACCGCCGATGGCACGTCTCGCGAACATACCGGATTAGGCAACTCCGCAGGCATCTCGGGGAAGCCCATCACCTATGTCATCCAGCACTGTTGCGGGCATCAGTAGGAAGACATCGCAATATCTTTTGTCACCAGATCGCCAATGCTACGTCTCTAGAACTCAATTAAGATGATTATCCGAAGAGCCGTCCTCCCTCCAAAGATCCTGAATGGTCGCTTTTCACTTGCTATCCCCACAATCCTTCAGCCTCTCACGTGCGAATACCTTCAAAGCTCCATCCAACGTGATCTGGCGATTGACGATCTCTCAGTTCCTCAATATCATCCACTGCTACACCACCGTTGTGCCACTCAATAGCTCGCTCGGTGCCGAACGTAAACCGACGTACTTTCACCGCCGCAGTTTGCTTACGACGAGACCCAAAGAAATTTGGCAAAAAGAATGCGCTGTCCAAGGATGGAGAAGAGAAACCAAATGCTACGGACCCCAACGATCTCGAGGTGCTCAAAGCGGAGCTCGCTGAGGCGATGAAAAGCTTCAAAGCCAAACTCGGTCAATTGCGACCGGATGGACGCTTGTCCCCAGAAGCCCTGGAGGTGATGCGTGTGAGAAGTCCTGGGATGCAGCTGCGCGATGCACCACAGCTCGGCGACCTGTGTACGATCGTTTCCAAGGGCAGGACCTTTGAAATCCTCGCCTATAACCAGAATGTAAGCACGAAGAAAGAAAAGAAAGAACGAGGGAGGGAAGTGAGAGCCGAGAAATCCACTGGCCCCTCTTTAAAACCCCCCAAAAATATCTCAGCGATAATAAACCCCAACTGACCACACTTTCAAACAGGACGTCAAAAACATCTCCAAACTCCTTCAATCCACAGCCCACAGCCTCACTCCCAAAGTCAATCCAGACAACACCAACCCGAACAGGATCGTGGTAGACATCCCGCCCGCGACCGCCGCCTCGCGTACTCGCGTCGTCGAGGAAGCCCACCAACTCGGCAACGAAGTCAACCGCGCCATCACCCTCGCCCGCGCCAATCAGCAAAAGAGACATCGCGCCATGCGACTGAACCACACCGCCCGTCCGGACGATATCAATAAGGGCATGTTTACGACGAATGACCTTACTAAGGCGGCGAACGAGGAGGCGAAGAAGATTACGGAGGAGTTTAAGAAGGTCGTGCTCTGGCAGTAAGACATGTCGTGTTATGTGATAACTTGCCTGATCGTTCAGGATCCTCGCGCTCCGGGTTGTTTCCCAACACACGGCATGGATATACATGGTTGTCGCTGGATCGACCTGGAATATTCTCGCTTCGTGAGCTGTATCTGCAGAATGAACGCGAAGGAAATATACGCTGGCTCGACATGCGCGCGCATCGTACTGCTGGACGTCGAGCGATGTTCATGCGCCCTACCATGCTCTTTTCCACGAAGGGCGCAATCTCATCTTGAGATTTCTTTTACCAACCGATTGGAAGAAATGCGTCAACGATGGGAGAAAAGGCACGGGTGAGCTTCTGTCTGAGTGAGAGGCCTAACGATGCCCGGAATACCCCGGAGATGCTAAATGTAGAGTATAGGCGGATTTTACAATACTTATGTGAACGAAGACGTGGACAACTAGGAAAGGAGATGTCTCAATACTATGCGCGAACCGACCATCTTGCCTCAGGATTCGTGCTTGGAAAATCAAGATGGACAAAAGAGAAAGTACTTACCACCATCAAGGCGGCGATCTCCACCTCGCAGAAAAATCCCTTCCCTCGTTCTCGCTTGCACCAATTGCGGGCCAAAGGGAGGTTGAGGGCATAGATACTATGTACGAGAGATATATCGAAAGCGAAGACTGAAGAATATCAATAGCTTGAAAAGGTTGTACAATGGGAGGGAAGTGTAGTGCTAGATACGAGCTTTCAAACGAAATGGTGCTTTTTCGACCGTTGGGATGCTTTCTTGCATTCACGGAGATATCTCGGCGGAGTTTCTTTGACCGTTAGTATGTACGAAGGCGACAACAGAGAGCGCATCGGCGACTTCATTAGCCTGGACTATGTCGTAATAATCAATCTGGGCTAAATTGTCAAAGATGACATTCCTCTTTGAGCCGATTTGTCATCCTGGACTCTCCCATGCGTAGATGGTCACGTGGAAGGGCGACGATATGAGTTTTCGAAGGACCCTGCATGTAATGGCTCGCGAACTTGCGGCTCACATATCATCCGACGAAAACGCCTCATTTCAGACGATCATGATCCTTCTCCTGCATACTCATCATCATTCTCCGCAGTTTCCGCCCACTAATGATTGAACAGTACTATACGACGTCCATTGGGCCGGAAGTGTAGCGTTCTCAATAACACGCCTCTCCGGAAGAATACACCCTCTATCCACAATCCTACTTACCTCTCCATCTATTCATCCAACGCCACCGAAGCCAACCAAATTGTTGACAAGTCCTGTTGCCCGATACGGCATGACTCGCAGGCGCAGTGGCAGGCTACAGTACTAGCAGCAGCATTGTCATCATCATCGTGCAAGCGCCTCCGGGGTTATCTCGGCCTCCTCCTCGTGAAAGTAGTCTTTTGCTGGTGGTGCTGAATCCCCGAGGATCAATTACTAAGCCCAATGGATGTTCTTCGCACCCTGAACGACACGCACCGGCAGCCACTGAGATCAATGGCAAGATGTCGAGTCACTGGCCAGTCACTCCAGCCCATTGTGGGCATCGTGCGTTTGAGTTTGAGACGATACATTTTCTTCGTCTTGTTGTTGTTATCGTTCACTATCTTTGGCCGCTGCTGCGCTACTCCTTCTGTTGGTGTTTCGATCTATGCGGGGTAAATCTAGAATTCCCAAGAGAGTTTCCAGTCTCATCAAGCGTGCATCGCCGCCGCTGCTGCTCTAGTCATCACTGCCACGACATGCCCAGAGCGACGATGCGAACCTTCAAGATGTCGTAGATGTCTAGGATGTTGTAGTATGGGGGCAGATCGATCATCAGACGGGTGCCTAGCTTATTCTCCGACCATTGTAGTGGTACCATCTTGGCGGACATCATGAAGGTCTCGACTTGCCCCATATTTCCGATTGAATAGACACTGATGAAAGACGGCCAAGTAATGAGAATTGATTGATTGGATCGATCATTTGTCAACGCTATAATCCTTCGCTCATCACCTCACCTAGTCGAAAATATGATCGAATAGTAGACTACCAGAAGCCTAACTACTGTGTGAAAACCAAGCCGCTGGCAAATTGGCAAAGTTTCGTGGAGTACCTAGCCAAAACTCTCGCGTCTACCCCACAAGTTCGTAGATATTGATGAGACCCTCCTTTCAGCCGGGTCCGCCTTCTCTGCTCTTCCCTCTTCAGGCGCAAGATCGACGAACACCGGGGCGGCTTCAACCTCCTCCGTCACCGCACTTCACTAGCTGTTTTCTTACATGCAGAAAGAACGCCTCATCACGCATCGTCATTGTACCTTTATCACTAAAACATTCAATAATACTGTACTATACTATTTCATACCACACGCCACCGCACTACGACGTCGGAAAATGAGCGGCTCCATACGCACTTACCGGACATGTGCTGCATCATGCACGAGCTGCTCGTATGCGGAAGAGGAACTCTCTGGAGTAATCTACGTCAAAGGATTGGTCGATCAACCAACGCCACGCGCGTCTTAGAGCATGATGAAGTTTTGTATCGATAGTGGATTGGTTTGGTCTGAAGGCATGCACACACACACACACACACAATCTGCAGAAGGGAAGCGTCGAGGGATGCAAGACCATGCATATATAGGATCGTCGAATCTCAGCTTTTCTTCTTCCTTGCAAGCTGCAACGACAACATCATATATTCATCAAGATGTTCAATAAACTTAGCACCACTGCGGTGCTCCTCTCGAGCTCATCGCTCTTGGTCTCGGCCTTTCCTCACATCGCTCAGCTTGTCGCTGAACAGCAGAAGAGTAAGATCCGCCTCTGACAGTCATCGATATCATTGAGAACTAACATGAAGCAGGACAAATTGGTCTTCCTGCTGTACCGTTCCCAGAATGGCCCGGTCTGCCGACTCACGCTCTCTACAACAAATTCGATGCCGCCGCTCAGCACGTCTCGGTTTCTGGCAAGCATGAATATCGTGCTCCTGGCCCCGGGGACATCCGTGGACCTTGCGCCGGATTGAATGCTGCCGCGAACCAGTACGTTTATGAATTTCCCTGAAACCGAAGTGAATTGTTTTCTGACAATTCCACAGCGGCTACATTCCCCGCGACGGTATCGCCACCGCCGAAGCCATCAATACCGGCCTCTGGGAAGCTTTTGGCCTAGATGCCTCCGCCACCCTCGTCCTCCAAGCCGCAACAATGTTCTTCGACGGCGACCCGCTCTCCGGTCGCTGGAGCATCGGCTATCACAGCGACAAAACAAACTCCCTGGGCCTCGTCGGCGATATCCTCGGGAACCAAACCGGTATCTGCGCCTACGGCCATCTTAAGACTGAAGGCGACGCGTCAATCACCCGCGGCGATTGGCTCGCACCGACCCAGAACAGTAATTGTGCTTCATACCCGGAATTTGCCCAGGAACTGCTCGACCTTGCAAAGGTGCGCACGGGAGGGAACATTACCCCCCAAGTCCTGGCCGAACACAGCCACAACCGCAAACAACACTCCATCGCGACCAACCCCAACTACTTCTCCCCGGCCTACGCCGGCGTAGCCTTCACTTTCGGCGCACACATGTTCGCCTTCGAGCTGCTCGCCAACCACTCCACAGCGGATCCCCGCGGCGTCCTCACGCCCGCCGTCTTTGAGGCCTTTTTCGGCTACACGCGCGACGCAGACAACAAATTGGTCTTCACCTACGGCACAGAGCGCATCCCGGAGAACTGGTACCGCCGCGCCCACGACGACGCCTGGACGCTCGCCGACATCGGAATCTCCACCGCCCAGCAATGCGCCTCCTACCCATCGAACTGCCAGGTCGGCGGAAACACCGGCACGGTGAATTCCTTCGCGGGCGTCGACGCCGGCGACATCACCGGCGGTCTGCTCAACAGCTTCGAGGATCTCACCGATCCGGACCGATTGCTCTGCTTCATGGCTCAAGCCATCCAGGCTGATGTCCCCAGTTTCCTGGACAATGTCTTCAACGGGGTGATTCTGCAGAGCGTGCTGGAACTTATCCCGACGGTGCTGGTGCCTGCGCTCAAGCCGCTCATGTTGACTTGCCCGAATTTGCCGCCTGGAAAGAGTGTGACCTCTTATGGAAGCAATTATCCCGGTGTCAAGGCGAAGTTGTCGGGACAGAGGAACCCTTACAAATAGATGAATGTTCGGATGGAATGGAAAGGAGTATTGTTCGAAGGAAATGGGAGCTATTGTATTATCGGCGGTCCAGAAAATGAAGAAAGAAAAATGAAACGACTATCATAAGATGAAGGTCACAATTCCCTCTGCTCCTCGAAAATAATTCCTTTTGTGCAAGTGGTGAGCTGGAACCGTCCCATTTCCCTTGGCTTTTAATTGTTCGTTTCCACAGCAGCATATGTAAGGATGATGGTAAGGTCGTTCTCATCTTGTGACATTGTCCCTCATCCGTTAGGGTTGGCGTTCTCCGATGAACGAACAAAATGGATCATTCGAGACTGCCATTTTGAAGCGTTTTTCCATCGCGTGGTGAGCCTTGTGAATTGTTCAATTGACGTCCCGAGGGGTGTGAAGATTGGATTCTGGCTCGCACTCCGCAGAGCGCACGTGCTTCTTTGGTTAATAAATATATTTGCTGAGAGGTTCGTACTCGTTGCACAGTCGCTGGCGACCGCTAGACGAGAAAACGATCCAAGCATACTCATTCTTCCTTTTTTGTTCACTCGACTAATCCTTCTCTGATGGAGTCTGCCAAAAGCCACTCGTCCCATTAGATGTAGCGGATGCTACTCCGGTCCTCGGATTTCCAGTGGAGCATTTTCTTGAGGAATTAGATGAGAAGGGCTTGTTCTTCACCGTTCAAGCAGAATTGGTCGCCCGGAAGCCTTCCGTTCGCGCATCTCCATGATTCGCAAGAGCTGCACACATACGCGCGTGCACAACCCACCCAAAATGCATGAAGCCGTGGACTTTCCGTTTCCGACATCTGCCGAGGCTTAGATGATGTATCATCCCGATGCTAAGCAGCAGCTCTTCCACGAGGATTATGGCAGTACACTTTGCAAGATAAAAGCATAAAATTTGCAAGCCGAGTGCGCCCGATGAGGAGGATGTTCTGGATCGAAGCGGTTGGCTCTCTACAAGAATTGTTTTGCATTGCCGTAGTGAAGCGCGACATCGACTATTGAATATGAGTTACTTCACTAAGCCCTTCACACAGCCGCCTGCCGATGTAAGACACGTTCACGCATTATGGTTCGAGGGACAACGCCTGCCCCAGTCGAAATCCGTCGTCGATAGCTGGCACAACGAATCTGTCGATGTACTAAAGGCGTTCCACGACGGCGAAAAGAATGCCCAGGAAACAGCCTTTGCTATTACTCGCCCGATTTCCTCGTCTCCGACACCAGAACTCGGCTCGTATGCTAACGAGGGTATCCCACTTACAAATCTCTGGGGCCTCTTCCATCACGCCCTGCTTGAATGGCCTATAAGCCGAACGCCGGATCTTTTCGCAGTACTAGAGGCTATGGCCAAACTCCCGGACAAGCTCTTTAACGGCGAGATGACTCCTAGCGAAGGAGGCGATGAGCCGTTCACATGGGCCAATTTTCCATACTTTGCAGCCGACTTGGCTGATACGGAAGAATGTATGCAGCCCGGCCAGCTCTGCCGGATGTTTCCCGACCCGGCGTCCGCGGCCGCAGCGCGGACGCTCTACCTACGGTTACAAGATATAGAAGCACAGTGCGTAGCGCGACACATCTTCAACTCGACCGACTCACTAGTTTATTACATCTCAAATACCTTAGAAAAGCCGGTCGACGAGCTTGACCGGCAGATAATGCCGGCTTTTGACCACGCAAAAGGTCGCAGCTTCAATTCTTATAACGAGGCAACGGCTTACTACCAAGTCAAGCTCGAGTGGAATATTCCCGCCGCGGCCTCGTGGTTCCGATACAACGCGCAGAAGATTCACGACTTCGTACACGCGGGCGTTCGTCTTCATAAGGTTCCAGAGAAGTCCGAGCATCGTTGGTCGCACGGCTCGGAGCGGTGGGCATATTGGAAACAACGTCTCGCGGAGCTGACGGCCTCGCACGAAGACGAGCGTGTTCGGACTTCTGCTCAAGAGGCTTTAGGGTATATGGAGGAGGTAGATACCAATACTACCTAGAGCGATGAGCCTCGTCGGCGTGCTCGTGGCGCGCATACCTTGGTTTGCTCGCTAAGGCGAAATCTCAATTGAACTCCTCCTTTGCAAAATTGCCATCCAAAAGTCTCTCATTCCATTATCGCGGAGCCAGGTAAGTCGCCCAGTGACCAGAGTACTTCGACGTCTTTTAGGCAAGGCTGCCTACTGGACGACTCGAGCATCAGCTGCCAGCAACTGCGGATGCATATTCTGGTGAAGGGCGGCCTATTCTAGAGGTTGCGCAAGCAGATTACTATTGAAAGTCTTTCTCGTGGTGGCCGGCATTGGCTGGGCGTGATACTGCCGCGGGAGTTTCAGTCGCGCGACGCTCTGTGATGAAGCCCTGTCTATGACTTGCTTCGTGACGGAGTCATGTCCATCGCTCGCTCGGTCCGCGTCGTCACGATCAAACCGGTGTCGTGCAGTGCCGCTCATTCGTCAGGCTTGCAGCGCTACCTCCATCCCGCGGAGCCAACAACGGCCGAATCATGCTGTGCCGCAATCACGCACATCGCTCGTCCGCCTCCCCTTACTCACCACAAAAGTTTTGAATGATGGCAAATTCAATCGCTCTTAACGCCAGTTCGGCCGTGGTGCGGCACACCCCGCCGATACCTTCTCGATGTACGGGGGCTCTTCGTTTCGCTGACTTCTATAACATGTATCGGTGTGGCCGAACTGTGATCGACCCGTGGGGTAGCCAATCAGATATTCACACGTTCATCGGCATGCACGAGATGTCTTCTGTGGCCATGCTCCGCGGCGCAGTGATGAAGCTGCTCTCAACAAGCCAACCGAGCTTGGCAACTTTGTCCTTTATCCCCTAGAGATCCTCTCGCCTAGAACAAGTATCAGACTGAGGGCATTCATGCCACAACAGCGCCAAAAAATTGAACTGCGTCATCGATTACATTCCGATGCCGCTACTCATTCTTCCGAACGAGCTGCTTCTTATCATCGGTGAAGGACTAGAAACACACCGCGACCTCAACGCGTTGAGCAGAACTGACGCCCGCCTGTACCATCTCTTCAATGGGGAACAGTACTCAAAAACTCCCGTCGAAGATCGCAATCTTGCACTCTTCTGGGCATCTTATCACGGGCATGCCCGTACTGTACAGCTCTTACTCGACTACGGCGTTGATGTTGACAGCGTTTGTTTTTCGCCAAAATACCCAAGAGCAACCGCCCTCCAGGTAGCAGTGGGCTGCGGCAATGAGGAAGTAGCGTGTCTCCTCATAGAGCGGAGAGTAGATATATCGCAGCTCTATGGGCAGTCGTTTCGCGAAGTCTCTATTCTGCATGTTGCCTGTTTTAACGCTTTGCCCCAGGCCGTACAAATGCTGCTTGAACGAGGTGCAAAGCCCAACCAGCGAGATAGACTCGGTCGAACTCCACTCCATTTTGCGGTACTCCCGAACCAGGGAAGCCCGAGAACAGCCAGTACAATGGAGGTTGTAAGACTGTTGCTCGAAAGGGGAGCGAAGCAGACCAGCAAAGACCACCATGGTCAAACTCCTGTGGCTATCCTGAATCACAATGACTTAGCAGGCACAGGAACAAAGGACTGGTCTTATGACTTCCATTTTCGCTTTTTCGAGCGCTGCTTTGCCCGGGATACTGAGGATCGCTTAATCTGGCAGAGGCGACGAAAGGTTGATCTAGCAACACATAATGTTGAGAAGCGAATCAATTGCCTTTTCAAACGTTACGCCGCTGAGGAAGCTCTAGAGAAGACGGAACGTAATCGGCAGATCAAGAAGAGGCGCGATGAGCAGCAAAGATGGGATGCCGACATCACTCTTCAAGAAGCTCGTCAGAGACGAGTGCGGCTTCTAGAAGAGGCATCTGTCGCCCAAAAAGTCCAACGTGAACCCCGGCAACGGGTGCAATTGGAAATCGAGCGACAGAAGCACGAGGCATCACGCATACAAAAAGAGAAAGATCTTGCCAGGGAAGCGACGGAACGGAGACTAGCTGTGCAGACTGCGATAGCCGCAAATTGGGGACATCTGCGGCAAAGCGCACAAACTCGGAACGTGTCTGTGGTACTCGACAATAGATGCGGGCATCCTCTCGGTAGGTTACGAAGGAAGCAGCGTGGCGAGTGTCACGTCTACCACCAGGTGAAACCTACATTGTATGTGTGCCCTGATTGCACCTCATCGCAGTGCCGCATCTGTCAGGATGGCGATCACTCGCGCTGAGCCTGATGGCGAACAATCCTTAGGAAAATGAATTCGTTAATTGACTCCGCGTGATAGTTGTCAATTTAGACTTTGGTGGAGAGGTCCGTAGCTCGTCCAATATCGACCTCAAACGCCAACGAAGTCTGCTATAACAAGAGCACGTCCAACGAGATGTCGGTCGAGCGGCGAGGAAACACATTGTTGGGTTATGAAAGAGCCATGCGCGAGACCAGACCAAACAGCGTTATTGTTTCCATTTGTTAACAGAGACTGTTGAATGAACATCCAATTTCGTAAGAGCATCTTGTCACTGTCTGCAACGAGGCGGAAGCTCGCTGATAAAGTGAACATGTTCGGAGTAGGCGACCGCTTTTAGAACGAAAGCACCGTTCCATACCCGTTTCTCATGGCCGGGCTCGAGCAGACGCGCTGCGCGCCCGAACAGTTGCCCCGTTACCTCTATTATGGTCTAGTCTGCTATTGGTGGAGGATGTATCGGCTGTCAGCCCAAAACCCACACGCTGCTTTCCCTCGTGGAATTTATGATGCGGGGCAGCTTCATTCCGCATCAATTTAATGAGTTGTTCAAAGCTTCAATCGCTTAGCGGAAGGACGGGACCACCGTGCTATCACGGCACTCTCAACCTGGCAAGCATAGGTTCCGCGAGTTCTCTCCAAGAGTAGAGTGGGGTCGCTTCCATAACTACGATCACGTGTCTGTATTGAGCTGAGAAAAGCGTCTTGTTTCCTCATGTAAGCAGTCGCGAACCATCTGATGGCACAATTTTGCTACAATTCGGAATGCGAAGCGGCATCCTCCCAGCGCGATGGCCGATCCCTTGAGCATCGCTTCGAGCGTCGTGGCACTCGTGACCTTTGGTTTACAAACTAGCAAGATTTTGCGAACCACTATCGAAAGTTTCCAGAATCGAACCAAAACGATTCGTGATTTGCGCATAGATGTCCTCGCGCTCTTTGGTGCCCTCGAAGAACTGAATGAAGCCGTTGAAGATGGAACGGCCGAATTTGACCGCCTCAAACTTCCCCTCTACAGTTGTGCGATCCTGTGCAGCGACTTCAATGGGATGATACACAAGTGCACGAGTCGCACTAGCGACTCCAAGGGTAGTTTTCGGGATTGGACCAAATTACATTTCCGGGGGAACGACATTGAAACGTTCCGGACCACTCTTGCTGGCTATAAATCGACCATCCAAGTCGCAATTGGCGCCATTAATTTGTTAGTAAATACATCCTGCCATATGATCAATACTGATGAAAACAGGCGATCCATGCGAGTAACGCAGTCTTGCCTTGATGATTATCGCATTTTGATTCAAGACGCAAAGGCAGATCTCCAAGCACACCTGGCCAGCATCGAGGATAGACTGTCGTTAGATCCTCTGCTTCAGGCTACGCTGGACTTGACAATCACAAAGTTTGCAGACCCGCAGCATCTTCAACAAGAAAAGAGCAGTGCACTTCAATGCCTTCAGATCTGTTCTGATGTGTCGAATTACATCGAAATGAGGCAGGAAAGCGTTGCAAACGTCCCGGACGACAGTGCGCACCTTATTTACCAGTCGCCCGTCACTACAACCCGATCCTCTACGCCATCTTCGAAAGGGATGACCGCAGCCACACTCGACTACTGTCACCGGCAGGTGAACATGACGAAACACGGCGTTCAGTCTCGGCTTAATTCGCTGGAGGATGCTTTGGAGTCCAGACAGGCAAACCCCACGCATGCCTCAGAAAAGGAACGCATCCAGGAGTGTATGTCGCTATGCGACGAGGCCCTGCGCGAGTCGACCCAATTCCGACAGAACACCTATGAAGACATCACTACCGGAGAGGACTCTGATCAACTGATGATATCAACAGTTGGCGAGCTTATTTCGGCCAGGAACGTCAGTGCAGGCGCGAGAAGCACCCAAGTATTTGGTCAATTGTCAAATGAGTCACTTCAGATGTTTTTTCAAACAAGAGCAAAGCCGCGGTAACACAATGCAGAAGTGATTGCAAATACCAGCGACCATATCGACAGGTAAAGAGATTGATGACCACGGCAATCTTGGCGGGAAAATCAACGGTCGATTCGACTTCCACTTGTGTGATTAATGGCCCCCGTCAGCGGAGAAAGGTGAGGATGTAGCTCGATTCCCGTAGGTGCCATCCGCAAGATAATTACACGCAGACAATGCTACCTCTTCAAACTCTTCAAACGTAAAAATCTCAGAGTGTTTCCATTCTAACCCAAAATTCCTATTTGTTGCGCGCTCGATAGTCGATGGTCACTCTGTTGATGCGCCAGTCCGTCTCGATACTGTGCTCTAACGTACTATCCACATCCCATTTATCCCTCGCCTAAGGCCCGGCAACCGTTCGTCCAGACCCCTGGAAACTCTTGCTACTCTGTGCTGCTGAGGATGGTCCCTGAGATGCTTGTGCCTGTGGTGTAAGGTTGCTGACCGTGTGGCTGTGGTTTTGGGAAATAATTTGTTGAGTCGCATCAGATTGGCAACCCATAACAGTCAAGGTGCGCTCCCCCATGTGAATGCGTCGCGCGGTGATTTGGTCGCTAGAAGTAGTAGTGATGACGAGAGTAGCGTCGGAGAGGGAGTCAATATCCTCGAATATCATCGGGCGGCTTCGCGTGATCTGTATGCCAGTGCTCGGGTCGGGCGTCGTAGAGTCCATCAAGTCGTTGCCGGAGCGATCACGCGTATCCTGAGCGGTCACGACAAGCTTCCGAGGATATGCTGTGGAACATGTCAAACCGAGAACGTGGCGCTCCCCACGTATCGGTCTTGGCACCGTGCAATCGGGCAAGGTTCGCTTTTAGGTGTAGCGTGTGTCATAACTTCGCTGACTACGCAATCAACGGTGAGGACTTGATTCATCACCTTATCCACATTCTAGTACGGTATAGGCTGGCACACGCCCTAATAGATTCTTCGTGCTATGTGTTCTACTTTTACCCCAGAGCAACATATTTCATAAAGCCTTACCACTGGTTTTTTTCTCTTCCTCCCGGGTCATCGACACTGTGACTCCTCAAGCAGCCAATGAGGTTGATAACTGCGCTTAGGAACTATGCATCGGCAATGTCGAGGCCATTAAAGTGATCGAACGCGATGTCGATGGATGAAGCAGAGCTCGTCTGGTATTTAATTTCGCGAATTTGGTCGGGTCCCTGCGGGTGCGGGCGCACGAAACAGTAGAGACATGTCGGGGACTGCGGCAGCTTGCCCAACATGCTTGGCTCGCTCAAGCGAAACCACAGGAATAATGGTTTCTACTGTGACACCAATGGAAGGGTCAAATCGGGGTGCAATCATCGAGGGGTGGTGCCAGTGCTTCTAACCGTGTACGCCGATACGCACCGCATCCTGTGATTCAGACAAGACCAAGGACATGGCGCCGTCGCAGCAGGTATTGAAGACGAGGCCGGAGGAGAATGTTACACGTCCGTTCTCTTTCGGGCTCAGAGGCGCGCCTCGAGCGAATGCGTCATGTAGGTATCGCTCGGCGAGGACTTACCATTTTGGCCTCGCGCTGAAGGCGAAGTTCAGGCATAAAGGACGAATCCAGGCTTATGTAGACCGGTGGTCTGTCACTGCCGGTCCTGTCCCGTCACAACCCGTCGTTCTCGCCGAATGTTCTGCAATCACAACCGGAAGCACGACGCGAGGAGGAGGTATTGTCGAGGGCGTTAGTCTTCGCCGCTCACGTTCCGTAGGGCACTGCTCACTGCTCCAAGAAGTTCCAAGCGAGTCACGGTTCACCGCAAATCGCAACAGAAGACAACCATGAGATTGATGAAATACGACGCAGCAGGCACCTACCTTCTTTAAGTGATCTTGGGAACTATCAGCTGCTTGGCATGGCATCGCTCGAACATCAGACGTCCGCGCTTTGACAGCCTTAGCAGCATGGACACGATTGGCTTGCGGTCATTCATCCATGTAATGCTTCAGTAGAAATGCAAATTATGGACGTAGCATGAAGGTGTGAAGAGATTTCGAGGTCGCGCGAGACGGCGTGAGTGAGTGAGTAAGCCGTCATTTGGAAAGAGGCTCGCGTTAGGGTTGGGGTAAAATCCTCCAGCTGCTTCTTTCCGAGGTGCTGGCAGGTCGCTTGCCCGCGCGATTGGTCACCTCGAGCTCATTGTATTGTTGTTTTCTATCTAGACAAGCAGGTACACATGCAAATGGTAGTACATGTGTACGTGGATACTGTAGCAAAGCGACAGTAACGACCGTGTCAGGCTGTCCTCGTAGGAGTATTCTTATTCAGAATGTATCTATTTTATTGAGCTGCAGTATATGCGAGGCGTGCGATAAAAGCCTATATAAGATGATGTTATCTTAGAAGTAATACGTCGGGATCTCGAACGACTCGAATATACCAAAACGATTGTTACTAAACAAAGAGCGGGGCCAGGTCGCGGGCGCGCGCCTGGGACCAAAGACATACTGCATCCAGCACCTACCGATCGCCGTATCAGGGTATCCCGACGGCGAACACGCATAGTGCTAGCCGGCCAGATAAATAGCGGGGGCAGAGTCTAACCGTCGGCAGAGATGCATTCCACCGCAGTAATAAGGATCCGCTGCATGTAGGACGATCGGGCCGTGCGCAGCTCATCGCGATCAACTAGGACTTTCAGTGACCTGAGCACGCGCAACATCACACCCGTCTCGTTCTTATTGTACACGTTCACCTACAACACCGTCGCGTGCTCGAGAATGCCAAAGCTGGCTGTGTAGGTGAGTTGGCAGCTAGAGGCGCTGCTGTAGGCCGTGGCGCAGTATTCAACATGCGGGGCATGTACGAGTGGCCTCGCACTATGAGCGGCGCCTCTAGCTGATATACGATCCCTCTGTTCCTTTCAGACTGTCACATTCTGGGCTGCCTGCTTTTATATATCGCGCTATATTCTACACTTGTACGCCTTCTGCCAAATCGACAAATTCCCCCACGCGCTACTTTCGCAAACGCGTCCGATCTAGTGTGAATCGATCCGGACGGCCACTTACTAGCGACAATCTTGATCTACGGAAATCTTGGTTCACGACAATATAGATTAATTATCGCCGCTACGCAATGCGATGGCGGTCCGCGCGCAAGACTTCGCTGTCGCATGGATCGCCGCTCTTTCGCACGAGCGTGCCGCCGCCGAAGCTATGTTCGATGAAGAATTCGACGATCCACCCGATGACTTCGCAAAGAGCAGCGGCGATGTGAATGCGTACTCGTGGGGTCGTATCGGCAAGCACTACGTCGTAGTGGTCTCGCTACCTGCCGGTGAATATGGCCTGGCGCCGGCGGCCACAATCGCGCAAGCGCTGCGTTCGTCACTGCCGCATATCCGGGTCGGTCTGCTCGTAGGCATCGGTGCCGGCGTGCCCGGCGAATTTGTCAACCCCGATGGCACGATCACCGTGCAGCGCGACATCCGGTTAGGCGACGTGGTTGTGAGTGAGCCGAGCGGCACGAGCGGCGGAGTCGTCCAGATGGATCTGGTAAAGATGAGCGAGAGCGACGGCAAGCTAGTTCCTCGGCGCATAGGCTCTCTAGATCGTCCTCCTATGGCACTACGGACGGCACTTAGCAAAATGAAGGCGCGCCACGAGCGCAAAGGGTCGTCGATACCGTTCATTATCGAAAAAGCGCTACGCGAAAACGTCAAAATGCAAACACCCTATGCGCATCCTGGGCTGAAGTCTGTTCCTCCGGCTCGAGATCTCTACTACTTCAGCAGCGGCGAGTTTGTTGAGCTAGACTTTCGCGAAGAGCCTACGATTCACTATGGAGTGATCGGATCGAGCAATCAGCTTGTCAAGTCAGCAGCGCATCGCGACCAGCTTGTCGAAGGGCTAACCGCTGATGGCCACGATCCGCTCTGCCTCGAAATGGAGGCGGCGGGGCTAATGAACAGCTTCCCATGTCTTGTGATCCGTGGCATCTGCGACTATGCTGATAAGCATAAGAACGACGATTGGCAGAGATATGCGGCGATCGTTGCGGCAGCACTAGCGAAAGATTACTTGAGCTTCGTCCAGCCAGTTGAGGTGCAGCAGGCAGCTCCACTCCGCGAAGTGCTACAGACGCGTAAGTGATCACGATTGTGTACCAGGAAGGCCCCGCTGAGTAATTTACATATAGTACAACAAATGCAAGAAGGTATAAATGACGTCTCGGCGAATGTTCATAAATGGAACAGAATTTCTGAAATTCGAGAGTTGAGCAGCGAGCAACGTAGAATCAGGAAGTGGATCAACGCCTCCGATCCTTCTACCGACCTGGACCAAGCACGAAAAACACATCTAAAGGGCTCAGGTCAATGGTTTCTTGCCGGCCCTGCATTTGCGTCCTGGAAGACTGCTTCGAAAGCAATGTTGTGGCTGTACGGCATCCCTGGATGTGGAAAGACTATTCTCAGCTCCTCAGTGATTGCGGCACTGCAAGCAGACGCGAACCAGGAACGTGGCATGAACAGTGCACTTGCATTCTTTTTCTTCAGCTTCAGCGATGTTGAGAAACAGACGGCGGACCAGTGTGTGCGTTCTCTTATTATTCAGCTTAGCGAGCAAGTCCTCTCTAGATTAGACGACGTTTCGAAACTCTTCCAGGCGAACAACGACGGTGCAAAGCAGCCGACATGGGACGACTTGATTCGCACACTTCATACGCTACTCACAAGATTTCAATACGTCCGTATTGTGCTCGACGCGTTAGACGAATGCAATGCTCGACAGCCATTGCTCCAAATGCTTGCTAATCTTGCCAACGTAGACAATGTACAGACGATCGTAACAAGCCGCGACGAGGCTGACATCAGAGAAGCATTGAGCGCTCAGATATCGCCAGAAAGTGTTATCGTGTTGCGGTCCGCCGTAGTGAATGAGGACATTCGGAGCTACGTTTCGCATCGCCTTCAGAGTGGAAAGGACTTCCAGCGGTGGCGGAACCATTCTACGATCCAAGATGAGATTAAGGAAGCGCTTATAGATAAGGCCGATGGGATGTACGAATTTGTTCAGCCCTCAAATCACGCCTAACGAAGCTGATCTGATTTGCAGGTTCCGTTTGGTACAGTGTCAACTCGATCAAATTGCGCTGTGTATAACACTTCCAATGTTAAGAGAGGCATTAAAGGAGCTTCCAGATGATTTGTCCGACATGTACAGCCGCATAGTCGATCAAATTCCTCCACAATATCGAAAGACTACTATACGATTATTGCAGTTCCTCGCTCTCTCCGAAAGGCCACTTAGACTCGACGAGGCGATCGATGCGATTGCCGTGGCTATAGAGCCGACGCCGCGCTTCGACCTACAAGACCGGATGGGCGATCTCGGAGACATTCGTAGGCTTTGCTCTAGCCTGATCGTATTACGAGACGAGTATGCGGCTAAGAGAGGCACAGACGAGGGCTTGCTAGAAGACAGAAAGCACTCCATTCCACCGAACGAAATCTCGGTCCAGCTCTCGCACTTCTCTGTGAAGGAGTATCTCTTATCTTCTGATGTGCACAAAGAACGGAGTCAGTTCGCTCCTCACGTTGCTAACGCTGAGGTCGCCAAAGTGTCACTAGCCTACCTAACGAACCTGGACCAAAATCTCACGACAGCTCAAATCGTGCAGCGGTATCCCCTCAGCGCGTTTGCAGCACGCTACTGGACATGCTTTTGTGTGAAGGCTGGCCCTAATGACGACTTGTTGAACAAACTAAGCATTCAGGTTCTAGGATACGGATCGAAAGTCTACTGTACCTGGTTACATCTGTACGATCCCGACGCAGTTTGGAACAACGAGCCGTGGAAAGATCAGGAGGAATGCAGAAGGAGGACAGTAATAAATCCGCTCTACTTTGCGGCAACGACAGGACTACTGCCAGCACTTCAATATATCCTTGAAAGAGGAGGCGACGTCAACGCGCAGGGAGGCTACTACGGCAACGCCCTCCAGGCTGCATCATTGGGCGGTCACGCCGAGGTCGTCCGGCTGCTGCTCGACAAGGGCGCCGACGTTAACGCGCAGGGAGGTAGGTACGGCAACGCCCTCCAGGCTGCACAAGTTGACGGTCACGCAGAGGTCGTCCAGCTGCTCCTCGACGAGGGCGCCGAGGTCAACGCGCAGGGAGGCTTGTACGGCAACGCCCTCCAGGCTGCATCAGTTGACGGTCACGCAGAAATCGTCGGGCTGCTGCTCGACAAGGGCGCCGACATCAACGCGCAGGGAGGCAAGTACGGCAGCGCCCTCCAGGCTGTATCTCGCCTCGGCCACGCAGAGATCGTGCAGCTGCTGCTCGACAAGGGCGCCGACGTCAACGTGCAGGGAGGCTACTACGGCAACGCCCTCCAGGCTGCATCATTGTGCGGTCACGCAGAGGTTGTCCGGCTGCTGCTCGAAAAGGGCGCCGAGGTCAACGCGCAGGGAGGCAAGTACGGCAACGCTCTTCAGGCTGCATCATCTAGCGGTCACGCAGAGATCGTCACGCAGCTGCTCGACAAGGGCGCCGACGTTAACGCGCAGGGAGGCGAATACGGCAACGCCCTCCAGGCTGCATCAGGGAGCGGTCACGCCGAGGTCGTCCGGGTGCTGCTCGACAACGGCGCCAAAGTCAACGCGCAGGGAGGCTTCTACGGCAACGCCCTCTCTGATGCATCAGGAAGCGGTCACGCCGAGGTCGTCCGGCTGCTGCTCGACAAGGGCGCCGACGTTAACGCGCAGGGAGGTAGGTACGGCAACGCCCTCCAGGCTGCATCAGTTGACGGTCACGCAGAGGTCGTCGGGCTGCTGCTCGACAACGGCGCCGAGGTCAACGCGCAGGGAGGCTTCTACGGCAACGCCCTCAAGGCTGCATCACATCGCGGTCACGCAGAGGTCGTCCGGCTACTGCTCGACAAGGGCGCCGAGGTCAAGGCGCAGGGAGGCTACTACGGTAACGCCCTCTCTGATGCATCAGGGAGCGGTCACGCCGAGGTCGTCGGGCTGCTGCTCGACAACGGCGCCGCTGTCAACGCGCAGGGAGGCTTCTACGGCAACGCCCTCAAGGCTGCATCACATCGCGGTCACGCAGAGGTCGTCCGGCTACTGCTCGACAAGGGCGCCGAGGTCAAGGCGCAGGGAGGCTACTACGGTAACGCCCTCTCTGATGCATCAGGGAGCGGTCACGCCGAGGTCGTCGGGCTGCTGCTCGACAACGGCGCCGCTGTCAACGCGCAGGGAGGCTTCTACGGCAACGCCCTCAAGGCTGCATCACATCGCGGTCACGCAGAGGTCGTCCGGCTACTGCTCGACAAGGGCGCCGAGGTCAAGGCGCAGGGAGGCTACTACGGTAACGCCCTCTCTGATGCATCAGGGAGCGGTCACGCCGAGGTCGTCGGGCTGCTGCTCGACAACGGCGCCGCTGTCAACGCGCAGGGAGGCTTCTACGGCAACGCCCTCCAGGCTGCATCATGGCGCGGCAACGCTGAGATCATCGGGCTGCTGCTCGACAAGGGCGCCGACATGAACGCGCAGGGAGGCTTCTACGGCAACGCCCTCCAGGCTGCATCATATCGCGGTCACGCAGAGGTCGTCCAGCTGCTCCTCGACGAGGGCGCCGAGGTCAACGCGCAGGGAGGCTTGTACGGCAACGCCCTCCAGGCTGCATCAGTTGACGGTCACGCAGAAATCGTCGGGCTGCTGCTCGACAAGGGCGCCGACATCAACGCGCAGGGAGGCTTCTACGGCAATGCCCTCCGGGCTGGATCATTTCGCGGTCACGCAGAGGTGGTCGGGCTGCTGCTCGATAAGGGCGCCGAGGTCAATGCGCAGGGAGGTAGGTACGGCAACGCCCTCCAGGCTGCATCAGTTGACGGTCACGCAGAGGTCGTCGGGCTGCTGCTCGACAAGGGCGCCGAGGTCAACGCGCAGGGAGGCAAGTACGGCAACGCCCTATCCAAAATTGGCCAATCCAGTCAGGGCTGTCTCCCTATCCTTAGGTATACCTACGAGTTTTGTCCTCCTAAAAGGAACGACAAGTCGCCCTATCTCTAGCCTACTATAGCCCTACCCAAGATGATTGATTGATTGATTGATTGATTCTATCAGGCTATTCACGGTGTCCGTATGAGCCGTCCCTTCCTTCTTGCCTTACATGTTCTCAAATCTGCCTTCGTCTCATGCTGGCATCTCCTTGCCGATACTTTTTCCTTTTCGAAGATGGGCAGGAGAACCCACTTCGTGAGAACTCGAAAGTTGTATTTATAGTGGGACCTGGGCCACTTAAGCACGGCTGAAGTCGGCTGGCCGGAGGTAAAAAACCCCGTTAGACGAGGAAAACCATCCGGGCGACCACTCAACTTCATGCTTATCCCTGTCGTGCAAGTTTGCCTTCCAAAGACTCATCCTCCACATCGCCGTTTCTGCCAAGCATTCTAATCACGTGACCCACAGCCTTTTTCGCATGACTGGTTCTTGACGAGCCTGAAGGCCCCTCCACGTCCAACTTGCGGCGCTATCGCCGTGTTCGTATGCTTGTGTTGTCGGCGGTGTCTTGTAATGTGTCTTGTCGAGGTTCGCTCATGTTGTGCGCCTTGGTAGTGCTGGGTGCACTCTCGGCGTTCTTGTCGTTCCTTGCGGTGCCAGTAGGCTAGAGGCCTCTGGACTTGTTGCGTATCAAGCACGCCTGCCGCTCGCCTTCCGAGCACGTTGGTGAGGAATCTTGGCTCTCTACACTGCATCCCAAGCAGGTAGAGGTTCGTAGCCGGCACCGCGTACAGGTGTTCCTCGTCGCCAGCCCTACCCAAGATGATTTGATTTGATTTGATTTATTCTATTAGGCTATTCACGGTGTCCGTATGAGCCGATCCTTCCTCATGCCTTCCCTGCTCTCGCTTCTGTCGTTGTCTCATGCTTTCTAGTCACGCCCAATTTTCTTTCTACGAGTGGGGCGGAGGCACTACTTAAAGAGAGCTCTTTACTGATCTCCAGAGTGGTACTAGCGGCCACTTGTCGACGCTGGAGTTGATGTGGTAGAGTGAACCGCCGCTGCTTGTGTCGACTTCAGGCGCCCTGTTGCCATCAAGAACTGGATCGTTTTCTTGACCATCTGATGATCTGGCTTCCACTTGTCGGGCCCTGGGTCCTTGCGTTTCCCTGTCGTTGGGCATACCTGCGAGCTTTGTCCTCCCAAAAGGAAAGACAAGTCGCCCCATCTCTGGCCTGCCATGGTCCTGAGTTCTTTTCGTTGCGCCTCCCACAGGGGGCACGCGAGGATGACGTGCCGAACGGATTCTTCGTCTGCCCCGCAGCCGCACTGCGGTGAGTCGGTCTTCTTCAGCCGGAACAAGCATTTGTTCAGATGGCAGTGGCCGGTGCGAGCCTGCACCAGCACGGCTGCTTCCTCGGACGTCAGTCTGTCGTAGAGCTCTTTGGTGTGTGCGCCCGGAAGAGCTCGATCCAGCAACCAGGTGTACTTGCCAAAGGCTTGGACGTTTGATCCAGCACGCTCCTCCTTTGATCGTGCTTGCTCGATCTCCTGGAGTACATCGTGCGCTCCCCGTTCCTGCGTCGCTTGATGCGCACCACCTTGCACGCCAGTAGCCACCGCTTCCTTCGCGCACTTGTCGGCCATTTCGTTGCCAGCAATGCCGCTATGTGCTGGGACCCAGCACAATCGGATTGACGGGCATTGCTTCCTTGCCGCATCTAGGAGACGCGCTACCCTATCCAGAATTGCCCAGTCCAATCAGCCCTGATTAGGGTCAGAAGATCCTGAATCCGCGTTAGGGTTAGGGTTGCCTACATACAAATTTTTCTGAGTCCAAACAGCCCTGATTGGACTCAGACCTCAGTACCCGCTACAGGCCAAGATTCATACAGTTTATAGAGCGCATTTTTCTGAGCATATTTTGTATGAATATTACTATGCTAAAGGCTACTAATAACGTCGTAGAGCTCGCCAAACCGCCCGACTTCATTTGACGTTCTTCCGCCGTGCGACAGAGGCGGGCGGACGCGAGCAGCGTACGGGAGCTGCCGCCCGCTCGCCGCGCACTCTGACCACGCGAAGAACAGCGCTCACTATGACGAGCACTACTACGCGCCAGCACTCAAACCAACGACAGCAGCGTACGGCAGCTACCGCTTAAACACAGCGACCGCCTGCTCGGAGCGTACACTCCGACGACACGAAGAATAGCGCTTACGACGACGCCTACGACGGAGCATATACTCCGAGGACACGAAGAAGAGTACTCACTACGACGAGCACTGCTACGCGCCAGCACTGAAACCAACGACAGCAGCGTACGGCAGCTACCGCTTATACACAGCGACCACCTGCTCGGAGCGTACGCTCCGGCGACACGACGTAGGATCTTCGGAGCGTAGAGCGCGTACTACGCAGCGGCGTAGCTACTACGCGACACGTACACGACATCTACTACTATCAATCAATATGGCGAGTGAGTACTTTGAGTACGAACGCGAGTGGCAGCTCGCCGTCTGCCGAGAATGCCGCGTTGCTATATGGCCCGCTCATGCAGCCGCACACCTCCGCGGTCCAGTACACCGCGTGCCAGGGGCGAAGGCGCAGCAGGCTGCAGACGAGCTCCAAGCGTGGCCCGGGATTGTCAACCACGTCAGCCAGTTCGCAATACCAATTCATGTCGACCGCCCCGTCCCAGCACTCGCGCTCTACATGGACGGTATTCAGTGCCGGTTGGAGCCAACGACATGCCGCTACATCAATCGTAGTATGCGCGGAATACAGGAGCATTGGCGGACGTGCCATCAGTGGTCGGTCCGGAGTGGGCGCGGAGGTGGATCCGGCGCGGCAAAAGCGCGAGACGTCGAGGCGGCCAAGGCGAGGGCGTGTGCGCCCCTCCAGTGCCAGCGCTTCTTCGCACAAGGCCCACACTCAAGCTACGTCGAGGTACGGCAGCCCCAGCAAGATCCAGACCCAGGCGCAGCACCAGCGGCCAGCAGCAGCAACAGCACCGAGGCCGCGTGGCTGCAGATCTGGAAGCAGGCTAGCGAAGCATTCGACGCCGGCGTCGCGCAGGCCGGGCGCACCATCACCGAGGGCGGCATGAACGAAGCCAACCCATGGTTGCGCCGGACGGGTTGGGCACCGTATCTCGCCGGCCAGCAGCGCGACGAGCTGCTGCAGCTTGTTGAGGCACCAGCCGAGCAGCCGGACGAGCAGACATCGGCCGGAGCGGCGAGCCCGGAAGCGGCGCAGCGCGAGCGCATCGCTCGAGCAGTGTGGAACGCGATGGCCGGCGTGGCGCGGGCCAGCCAGGCGACCGTGACGGAGAGCGGGATGATGATCCGCATGCAGGCCGTACGGACGGAGCGCGATCAGGTGCGCCATCAACCGCTCCAGCCGTATCAGGAGCGGACGTCGATTACGAAGCGATGCCGGCCGTGGCAGCAGATGCTCATGTTCTTTGTGCGCACGCAGCAGGCGCGAGCGGCCGGCGAGGAGGCGGGACCGCCATATCGCTTCCACCAGCAGCAGGCGACCGCCTTCTCCCGGATGATCACAGCCGCCGAAGCAGCTGCTGACGCAGCCGCGGACCCAGCGGACGAGCCAGTATCGGAGAGAGTTGAAGTTTAGGTTTCATCTCACGTATCACCCTTTGTCGCTAGTGTCTGCTACTGCCTAGATGGATGCCTACTGTTGCCTAATGGCTGCCTGGGCATATGGATTGTATTTAACCACGTTCATGTTGAAGATCCTGGTGTTTCAGGGGTAGGCCGCGTAGCTATAAGAGGGCCAGGCCTACTACTCTTTTAGAAAGACAATCAATCAACCTTTTACCCTTACTCTACACCCTATATTCTAATAGTTCATTCCTTCCACAGCAATACAAGTCAAGCAAGAGTGATTGAACCGGTCGGTCCCTCCAAATTCAACTTTACTTGATAAAGTGAGGTTGATTCACAAAGTGGAGTTTTCTTGATAGTGAGGTTTCCTGTACAATGTGATGTTTCTTTTATAGTGTGATGTTTCTTTTACAGTGTGATGTTTCTTTTACAGTGTGATGTTTCTTTTACAGTGTGATGTTTCTTTTACAGTGTGATGTTTCTTTTACAGTATAAGGTTTCTTCCCAGCCACGACAGGTCCCTTCTTTACAGCGGAATTTGTAGATTCTGCCTCCTTCGCACTACAACACGCTAGAAAGTCTGTACTGCAAAACACACCAAATGATGATCCGTAAAAAAGTTGTTGAACCTCGGCATGGAGTTGTTGGTGTAAACATACATAGCGTGATTCTGACACGAGCACGATGTACAGCCATTGGACTCGAATGAATCCCGAGGTCGATCGGCACGTGCCGGGGGTCTTGGCATCCTGCACTTCCGAGAGCTTGTCGTGCTTAACTGTCTGTCCTTGTAGATCCTTCGACATTCTCAACTCGATTTATGCCAGATCTGCCTCGCTTGCATCTTTTCACATACGTACGCATCTTTCGCGTGCGCGTCCCTTTTGATCCTGAAGTCAAAACATCGTACATGTAACAAGTATGCTTTACGTACGGATTTGCGCTACTGTGTAAACATGAATCCTTCACGGAAATTCTTTTCCACGCTCGCCCATCCTTGGTGATGATCGTCGATGACCATAATCGTCATGCCGCATGGCGTGGCCGCCAGCAGCACGGATTGTGAATCCTTACAGCTGGAGCTCTTCTTGCCAATGATGCCAGCACGGCCCACCGCAGGGCCTGGCATGTCGGCGCAACATGATCAGCTTACGCGCGAGCTTTCTTGCTCTCCTGAGCGGCAATGAACAGCCGCTGGCTTGTATGGACGTCTGAGCACAAATACATTTGATGACCGTCTCAACGTACATTCAACTACTCGCTGCCCCTCGTTCACCATGTTTAGTCTCTTCGAAGATAATCCCAAAGACTGGCCAGTCGATGCGTCCTCACACGCAGGACCTTGCTCTCTACAAGAAACCGCAGACCACCATCAATAATCACACAGTATGCCGGTCAATGAGCGAACGTTGCTCCCGTTCTCCGGTTGCTCGGCGCTGAATCACAGCGTTCCGCGCGCCTCATCTCCAAACAACTCGGCCTTCAATCCTTTCTCGTTTAGCATGTTAGATCCGGCTCTGCAAGCAGCTATCTCCGAGATATCACCATTTTCCGCCACAAATCCAAACGTTTCCGGTTTCGTAGCGTCCGAGAAATTTATGCTCGAGCTCTCGGAAGTACCAATATTTACCCATACCGAGCTCATGTGGATTGAAGCACCAAATGAAATGGCCACTATGTCCACCGATGATGTTGAGCACTGTCCAGAGCTTCTCACCTGTCTGGATTCGGACTCGTCCTCTCCGCAGCAGCTCCTCGACGTCTGTTTCTCCGAGACCGCGGATTCATCATCCTCATCCTCAACAATATCTTCCTACCTCTTTGAACAGCAGCAACAGCCAACGATCCTCGACGCAGAGGACTACAACGACGACGAAATACCTTTCCCGGAAGCTGAGACCGAGACAGACCTCGAAGTCCCCGAAGATCTCCACCAAATGGGCCGCCGCGCCAGCGGTGATGGCGTCGACGGCGACGGCTGGATTTGCCGCTGGGAGTCCTGCAAGCAGAAGAGTGTCTTTCACGCGCCTGTGATCTCCGGAAGCATTTCGCCACGCACCAAAAGACGCATGCATGCGCGCAAGCCGACTGTGCCATGGTCTTTGCTTCGGCCAAGGATCTCCGACGGCATAGCGCATCGCATATGCCGCAGATAGCCTGCGCCGCGGCGGGATGCCCTCGTGTGATTTCGAGAGCGGATAATATGGTACGTTCGCGCGTCGATATCTTTGTCTTCATTGCGTCTACTCCGCCGATGACGAGGAAGCTTTCTGACTTTCTTACTGATTGTCAATTTTGCAGAATGATCATTACAGACGAGTTCATCGATATAATAGGGTGCGGTGCACCGGCATTGCATTCCGAAAACCAAGGTGAAAAACAAACACCGCGGCGTTGTGGTTTTGCTTTCCGGCAAAAGTGGGCTCCTTTGAAGACTACTCTCTATCAAGCGAAGAAGAACAGTGCGTCGTTGTCCATGGGATGGCTTTTTGATTTCGCATTGTTTCCATTCTAGATCTTGGATTTCTTCCCTTGCATTCACAAAAGCGAAGGATATGCATTGAGTACACGAGCTAGGCGTGAGAAACAAAAGTTACCGGGATCTTTTCATGTTTCGCTTTTTTTTAACGAATTCACCGTTCATTCAACAAATTGATCACTTCACTCGTTCCTAAGAAGAGCAACGCCAGGTGCACCAATACCTACATACCTACGCACGCAACGACATGACCTCTTACAGCTCCGGTGCAGTGGTCCCGCAAAGATGATAGGTCCTTTTGCGCGTTCACCAGAAACGGGAATCTTTCGATTAGACACCTCACAGGGACTTTACATCACGAACAACCCTCGCATTAGGAGAACACCTCATTTAGTGAAGAAACATCACATCCTCACTGCGTCAAGAAACATCACATCTATGGTCTGCAAAGATGACTCACCCCAGAGAGATATCCCACCTCACATTCACAACGAGACATTTGATTTATTCAGCTCACCCAACTTAAGACAGCTAGCAACGCCTCCGAGCCGAGGTCATCGATTCCCTCATCCAACCACTTCGCCGTCTTGAATCCGAAACTCGACAACGTCGTCAGAGAAGAGCCTTGCGGGTAGGACTTGCTTGTTCCAAAGTCGCTTGGGAACCCGAAGTCGCTGGGGAACCCGATCGTCGCTGTCGGCGGCGAGTTCATCCTGTGAGGCCCAGCACCACTACATGCCGCGTTCAATAAGATGGATTTCGTACCGTCCATCGGGCAGCCTTCCTTGTATCGGCCAACCGATGATGAATTTGGAGATATCCACCAGCCTGACCACAGGACGTCCGGGCTCGATCGTCACCATGTCGTCCAAGAGAGGTGCGGCCGCTCCGCTATAGCCAGGGGGCCCCTGCGCTGAAAATGGTCGTGGACTTCGTACGATGTTTCCTGTTGCTTGATTAACGATGCGCAAACACGTCTCGGGAAGCGGCTTGTCCGGGTGGATGATCCGCCACATGTATTCAAACTGCGGTTCGCCCCAGAGGTCCGTGGAGTGGATATACCACTGTTTCCCACCTGTCTGGACGCTGACGGGCTCGCTGCCCGATTGCGTTGTGGTCACCTTGAGGTAGACCGCCCGCTCCCCATTTGCAGTAATCTTTGCTTCGCTTGTTTGCAGTAATCTTTGCTTCGCTTGCAGGGGGAAGAGCGAGCTCTAACTTTGTGACAAGCTCAGGGGGCCAGAGCAGAGATGGCACGACCTGGAATCTGACATGCGCTTTCGTTGCACCTGTACCCACGAGTGTAAGAGGCTCGGAGTCATACAGAGGTCCAGCAGAATCGCCAATAACATCCTTGGGATCGCCATAGGCGCACCACCGTACGCCCAAGTCGCTGAGCATGGGTGTTGGTCCAACCCTTGGAAATCGAATCTCGTATTTCGTTCCAGGTCTTAGCATCGAACCCAGCGCACTGTCCTTCTCGATGAGGTACTCGAACCGGGTGACTATATCTGTCCTGAGCCCTTGAGGTCGATCAACCGGGGTTGGGAGGGTCATGAATGGCTTCATTTTGTCGTTATCGAGGTTGGGAAGCTCGCGAAGGGCCTGTGGTATGTGTGTTTCTCGCAGAGCATCAATGAAACCACCATCTATGTTGAACAAGCAGAGAAGTCCATGTGCGATGGCGTAGGGGACGTCGAGGGCCGACTTTCGCGTGTCGATAGTCAAGGGCCGCGGGTCAAGATCGTCTTCCGAGTGGCGCGTCAGTCCAAAGAGGACTACAAACGGCAATTCTCCAGTGCGATCGAAAACGTCGTGTCGCTGCGCTATTGTTGTGCGAATCCGGAGTTCACTCATGCTGAATCTGAACGGAGGATGTGGGCGAGAGGGAAGGCTGTCGTGCCCTGAAATGAATAGTACGTGAAGTCGTCCAGAGGTATGGGCGAGTATTCGAGACTATGATCGGATGCATCTTTTCTAGGAGGGCGGATGTTTGCTCCAGTGCATGTACATACAGAAATGCGACACAGCGGAATGACTCATATCAGGTCGAATTGGGGACACTCCTCCGCGCGTTGGTGAGCCCAATCCAAGTTGTGCCAGGCGGGTTCGCGACTGACGTCATTGCGGCACAGTGTTCAAAGGCTCGCAACATCAGCAGCCTGGTCGAGGAGTATTGACTGTATCCCACGATGCGAGCGCACTGGGTCTGGTTGGAGCTGGCGCAGCGCACATGCAACAACAAGAATAGACATTGCGGCCGAGATGTCTCAAACTTGATCAAAAGACTACGGCAAGCGGCAGAAATCGACGATGCCCTCGCTGTTACTGCGGACAGGAGTTACAGGACAACCAACACGGGACAATGCCCGCGCTATTACCGCGCGGCACAGTGCATATGCAGACAATCTCACTGCAGATGGGACACCTAACATGGGGCCAGCAGAGTCCGAGGGGGCGCAGTACACTTACAAACAACAGCCCAAATATCAATCATGTCGTCATGGCAGAGACTCTGGGCATTGATGTCTGATTGAAGCTGGCGCAGCACTTGATCACTGTAGAGGGGACGCCTAACATGGGGCGAGGAGAGCCTAACATGGGGCGAGAAGTGTCCGAGGGAGTGCAGTGCATATGCAAACAACAACCCAAATGTCACCCATATCGTCATGCGAGGGGCCACGGGCAGAACGACGAGCGATCCCAACGAATCCCGATCCAAACCCAACGGAGAGCTCGTCAAGTGCTGGCGTCAAGGTCAGATCGAGTCATCATTCAGCACTGCCCGGCCGGAGGCACCTCGTTGGTGAGGGCGACTGAATGCTTCCATTGGCTCCTCCAACAATATACTGGCAGACTTAGCAAAAACTCTCTGTCTCTCTTCCTCAAATGAGAGGCATGAGTTTAAGTCGCTCGATTGAGCTATGCCGTCATCTCACCGGCGGAGGCCTGACCCAACTCACTGCATGAATCTCCGCGTAGGTTTCGTGTAGGAGCTCGATCACGAGCATTTCGATTGTGCTGTGAGAATGGCATTTGCGGGTTGTAACGGAAAAGGTATAAGAGACTGCAAAAGACTCCGTGAGTCCGATCCGCGCACATTCCCATTCACTCCACGTCCTCCTCCATCCAATATCCTCGATCACGTTCGCTTTACCAATCCTCCTCGTCGCTGTGTCTGTCACTGCCTACGCAGTGCCTACACCCACTCATAATCTTTCGGCTCTCGTCGATCGCGCAGACCCCCCTGCCCCATCGTCGTACCCCCTCGCTGCAGCATGCGGGAATGAATGGCAATACCTCAACTTCGATACTTCGAGCGGCACCGACATGAATCACCTTGGGACGTTGCACAACTTAATCTGCTCCGGCGAGCTGCGTGCCTACCTTAGTTGGGGGTACAAGTCAGCCACGGATGAGAACAACATCTTCAAGTGCTTCTTTGAAGCGGATGACGAGAAGGTCCCAGTAAGCATCCTCGGGCTCCTGCAGGGCACTGACGTGTCGGGAACCTTTATCGGCGATGTTGTCGGCGGAATGATCATCGACAATAACGGTAAGCTCACGTCTGATAGATCGAACGCGCTCCAAAGATTAATCAAGAGTCGTCCGTGAATAGATTTTGCCGGTGAATGTGCAACTGGCGACACCTACGGCTACACTGATGTGGATCCTTTGGACTCTCGCGAAAAGATCCATATTTGCCAGCCGACATGGAGTCTTCCGGAAGGCTTCGATGAGTCAACCTCAACCTGTAGCGCGATAGCCGATCATCCTACAGAGATGGTTGATACTATCGCGCTCGTTGCCATCCACGAGATGACGCACTACAGCACTGTCGGTCCAGCGTCGGCCTTCGAAGCTTTGATCACTGACCAGCTCAAATTCGACGGGCAGAAAGCGTACGGGATTGAGAGAGCAGCTGGACTGATCGGTCAGGATCACGAGGAACTTAGAGCTGAGGGCAACGCTGACAACTATGCGTGAGTCTCCCCGTGTCTTCTTTTTCGATGGTCGAAGTCTACTTACTCATGATTCTTTCGCAGATACATGGTTTCGGCGTCATGGGCCGCATACAGGTGCAGTAGGGAAGATGATGCCAACTACGGGAATTATTTCCACTCCTGTCCCGCCCCTTGTTGATGGACGAGTGGTTTGCGGAGGTTGGTCCAAAGTGAACCAGCTGATCCGGAGCCGAAATCCAGTCCATCAACCAGGGTTTGGGTTACATATAAACTGTATGTAAGTAAGATGGCAATGAGTGAACTGAATGGGAGGGTCGGTGGAAGAGGGAGGAGAAGAGAAGAGGACGGAAAGAAGGAACAGCAAAGTAAGGTCAATAATCATCGTAGTTGAATGTATTGTGTTGGTTTTGATTTTGGAGATGGAAGAGAAAAGGGGTGATAGACGAAGTACAGTGGATCGGCAAAAGTGATAGAGCATTGTGGGCGCTCACTAAAAACCACCCTTTTGTCAGGCACCTTTTGACTGTAAATAAACCTCACATCGTAACAGACCTTACATCGGAAAAGAAGAAACCTCATATAGTTGAAGTTTAGGTTTCATCTCACGTATCTCCCTTTGTCGCTAGTGTCTGCTACTGCCTAAATGGATGCCTACTGTTGCCTAATGGCTGCCTGGGCATATGGATTGTATATAACCACATTCATTCCTTCCATAGAAATATAAGTCAAGCAAGAGTGATTGAACCGGTCGGTCCCTCCAAATTCAACTCATAACAATGCAGCAGAGAAAGTGTATGCTGATCGAGCAATGCTGTTCGACGACAACAAATTGTTGTTCGAGCAGAATAACGAGAAGCGAGTACGCGAGTCAGTCCGGCGGACGATGGTCGGCCGCGTCAAAGTCATGTCGTATGAAGACATCCTCGAGGCGGAGAGGCAACGCAGCGTTAGGGGTGCGAAGAAAATTGCGCGTGGCACGACTATCGCGACAGAGACACCTTACGTAGCTGTCGCACGAACTTTGAGCTCCGCGGAGGAAGAAGCGCTTGAGGCGCGACGGGAGCTGGCAGCGATGGGTCTCCAGGACCACTGTCATGTTTTTAATTTTGAAAAGGATACTTGTGTGTAAATGGCGGATGGAGTCACAATAACTCAACTCACGTCAGGCTTGAAAGCTTCTTTGATAACTTCGACTGCTTTCGTATACTTCACGGCTTGCTGTTCCACGTAATGGGGGCATGATTATAGCCCACTTGCATGCTGTTGGTGCTGTTCCCAAATGTGATCGTCGTCGTTGCACCGCTGTGTTCTGAAATACGTGCAACATCTTGCTCCTGTGCCTTCTTCTGAAGCTCTGCGAGCAACGCCTGAGAGATGCGCAGCGTCTCTTGGAGCCCTTCGAGAGTGGTGGCAGCAGCTTCCTGATCCTCTTCATTTTCAGCGGAGCCGGCATCAGAGCTTATACTTGCTTGTTCCAGAGCACGCTGCAGATTGGCGACGTCGGAGTGTATAGTTTTGCCGGCGGCCTCAATGCTCTGCCGCTGTATGACGATGGCTCCACGAAGCTCTTCTGTTAAGCGTGTGTTGCAGAGGGTACTGTACCTGTTAATGTCGTCAGTGTCCATCAGACTTGGTGCAGCATCTTACATCATCCATACAGATTAGCTGTGCCCACAACCATAGTAAAGGTAAGCTTCTGCGTCTGCAGCTGGCTGGCGTATGCCTTCAACTGCTGCTCCTTGAAAAAGCCGACGTTGACTCGGTCGCGCCAGGACAAGCTGCCCCCGGTAGAGCGCTTCGTCCAGCGGTGGAGATCGCCTCGGATCGTATCACAGACGGACTCGCAGCTTTGCAGAGCAGTAGCCGACTGCCGTAAGACGGCAGGACCTAGGGAAGCCCAGAGAGACTGGTCGATGTCTTTGAATTGAGCCAGGCTGCCGTCGAGTGAGGCGACATCATCCCTCAGTCTGGCTACAGCAGCCGGCGCATCGACAATGCGATCCAGGTCAGCCTTGAGAAGTTTCAATCCGTGCAAGGCTGGGACGACCAGACCAACGACACCAGCTGCGATACTCAGAGGATCTGCCATGCCGAAGTGAAATTAGAAGTTGACGTGTAAGCCTAAACGATGACCATCTGTTTACGAGTACAGGAGCGGCAGAATGCGTTATCGCTGTTATGTACTTGAAAGCCCCAGCCGAGTCGGGCAGCATGCTGTGGGGTTCATGCATATGATGAGGGGCGCAGCGCACACAGCCCTGCGGCGGCCATACCTCTTTCCATCTTTCCACTTCCTATCTACAGTGCTCACCTCGTTAGGAGCGTTTCGGACGGTGCCCGTGCGACGCACAGCGCATCATGGCGAACGCGCAATCGAGCCACATCACCTTCGGCGACAGCAGCCACAGCGTTCAGGTCGGCGTGAACAACGGTCCGATCCATATGACAACTGGTGAGACAAACTCCTGCCACGCGACGGGTGCGCAGCTAACTCGCAGTCCGGCAGCGCGATCTGTGACGCCAGTCGAACCCTCATCCAACGTCCCGTTCCGACGCGACCCCGACTTCGTCGCGCGCGCAGAAGTGACCGCACAGATTGCCTCCGCCCTGGCAGCACCGGCGGCACGGCTGGCGCTGGTGGGGCTCGGGGGTGTGGGGTATGTGGAGCGTCGTCGGCATCGCCAGCGACACAGAGATCATCGACGTCAGCACCAAATCCATCCCGGCTGACGTGTGGATAGTAAATCGCAGATCGCCATCGAGTACTGTCATCATGTGCGCCAGACGTCGCCGGACACGTGGGTGCTGTGGATACACGCGAGCAATGCGGGACGATACGAGCAGAGCGTGCGCGACGTTGCCGAGCTGGTGCGCATCCCCGGGCGGTCAGAGCCCAAGGCGGACATGCCTACGCTGTTTCGCAACTGGCTGCGCGAGAGAGCGACGAGGAAGTGGCTAATCGTGCTCGACAATGCCGACGAAGTAGACTTTCTCGTCGAGCGGACTGATAGGAAGGCGTCTCTGTTGGAACTGCTGCCGGTACATGACCAGGGCGCTGTGCTAATCACATCCAGAAGCATGTCTGCGGCGGCGAGGCTTGTGGAACGAAGTGCTATCGTGCCTGTCATGCCTATGAATAAAGAGCAAGCGACGGCACTCCTGGAGAAGAAGCTCGGGCGAGGGAAAGACAATAGAGCGCTCGCGGCGGCATTAGACTATATGCCGTTAGCCATGACGCAGGCGGCGGCCTACATCCAGCAGCGTGGTATGCGATCGTCGATCGCGAAGTATCTGGAGAAGCTGCAGAAGAGCGATCGGTTAAAGAAGAGCGTTCTCGACGAGGATGCTGGCGATCTGCGGCGGGACCCCGAGGCCAAGAATGCGATCATTCTAACTTGGCAGATCTCGTTCGAGCATATCCGTAAGGTACGGCATTCGGCGGCAGATTTGCTGTCGTTGATGTGCTTCTGCGACCGGCAAGCGATACCGAGCGTTCTACTACAGGTGTCAGACAAGGACGAAAGGAGGGACAGCATCGCTCGAGAGCGGGCTGACGATGGAGAGAGCACGAGTGGTAGTGGGTCCGAGGACTCGTCGCAAGCGGAAGAGGAGTTCGACAAGGACGTCGCTATTCTTGAGGGGTTCGCTTTTGTGTCGAGCACGATCGACAGCTCGACGTTCGAGATGCATCGCCTAGTGCAACTTGCGACCCGGCGATGGCTAGACTCACAAGGGGAGGCGGATCATTGGAAGAAAGTGTTTGCTCGTAGTCTTGACGATGCATTCCCATCGGGAGCCTACGAGAACTGGGAGATGTGCCAAAAGCTATTGCCGCACGCTATTGCAGCAATGAGTCTCAAAATGAAAGATCGCAACGCATTGTTGCACAAAGCGTCTATTTGCAATCGTGGGGGGCTGTATATGAGAGAGCAAGGATTATTTAGCAGGTCGGAAGAGATGTGCGAATGTTCTAACAACATACGACAGGACATATTGGGCGAGGAGGATCCCTCAACGCTGACAAGCATGGCCAACCTGGCGGCGACATACCGGAACCAGGGGCGATGGGGCGAGGCGGAGCAGCTGGAGGTGCGGGTGATGGAGACGAGGACGAGGGTGCTCGGGGCGGAGCATCCCGACACGCTGACGAGCATGGGCAACCTGGCGGCGACATAC